TAAGAGTGATGTTGTTGTCATCCGCTAAAATCGAGTACATCTTAGGTCTTATGCAAACGGCTTCTTGAATGACCTTACCTCCAAACTCGTCTTTAAATTTACCGATCACTTTCTTATTGGTTGGATCGTACAACTCGTGATCCAGATTGTAATTTGAAAAGTCGTAGTGTTGCCCGTGAGATTGCATGTCTTTGTATATGTCATCCGTGTAAACGACAATCAACAGACTGTCCGTATCCGTATACATCAACCTGATTTGATCTCCGTACTTGTCTTTCAATCGGTTGTAATAAAAATCGTACATCAGCGTCTTAGAGAGATCTAAGATGCTCACTCCGCAGTAAATGGGTTTGTTTAACAAGGTTTTAGTCTTGTACGTTTCGACAAACGACAGGTTACATTCTGAAAACGGCGTTGTTGTTTTATAGCTCGGTTTTTGAATTATTTTTTTGTATTTTTCTTGATCGCTCTCGTTATTGTCTCTCAGTAGGTAACCGTCAATCCTGTTTCTGACGTTTTCCATCGTCTTACCAAACACGCTGTTATTCATCAGTTTAAAAAAGTCTTTCTCAAAATCAGAGGTTGCTTTGGTTCGGAGTTGCGTGTTTTTATCGATGTAAGATTTCATCCAAGGCGCTTGTTTAAATTTTAACACGCGATGCACCTTTTTTAATTTCAAACCTAGATTGAGGTATGACTGCAACGTAACGTAGTGCAACACGTATTTTTGTTTTGGATTGAGCGTACACGTTAATTTTTGTACGTCGCTACTAGGTTCGGTATCCAATAAGTCATTTTGATAATCAGACATCCAAGCTTGGGGTATGACGATGTTTTCTGGCGCTAGGGGATAATCGTTGTGCTTTGCGTGTAGATTGTGCGGGTAATCGAGGTCTACTTCGAAAAAATAACCGGTGTTGGACGTTTTCTTAAGCGTTAATATTCTTTCTTCGGTAAACGGTTTCGAGGGTGTCCATTTAAAATCGCTGTACGGTAGATATTGACTCATAGCCCAACCGTACAGATTGTTGGCATCCAGATAAGCGATATAACTCGAGGGTTTGTTTGAATCGTAGTCATCGAGATATTGATTATTGGCTTTGTGATGTCTCATTCCACCCACGCTCGATATGCCTCCTCGTTTTGCTTTTTCAAAAAATAAATGTTTGTCTACGTCTTGCAATAGTTCGAGTTTAACTTCCGAGTGTTTTAATAGAGCATCCCACGACAATCCGGGTGCGGTAAAATAATTGGCTGGATCTAACCCGTAGTTTGTAATGCACGTTCTTCTAAAGTTTTCAAATACGCCTGCAAGTAATAACGTATCGGTCGTCACGTACAAGTCGTGATATTCTCCTAGATTTTGTATATTAAACTCGTTCCACACGCATTGAGCTCTGTCGTAGTCTTGTTGCGATATATGTTCGTCTTTTAGTCTGCTGTAAAACTTGCCGATGGGTGGTAGGCTGGTCTCTTGAAACTTATCAAACGAGTTCATATATTCGTAGGGATAAATTCCTTTTTGTAATAGCAAGTCAGGATGTTTAAAATGCTTTTTGAGTAGCTGAAACGACTCTTTTGGGCAAGCTTTCACTAATTTATCCAACGACGATGCCATAAAACTAAACGAGTCTAAAAATCGTAGATTTCCTATCGAAAACGAAATATACTTTTCTGAATTTTTAGCGATCACTTGTATTTCTGTTTGACTATCGTATTCTGAAATACTCTGCATGATCAAGTGAGCGTCGTAATTTTGTAAATTGTGAAAAAAGACTGGTATCGGTGTACAACCGGGTTTAATTTGTAGTTTGAGGTTACAATAGGCGTGTGCGGCACCTCTATATTTACCAGTGACGTGGCAGTGATCTCTCACCTTTCTAAATTTATTAATGCTCTTTTTGCAGTCGAGACATTTAGACTCGATAAATCCCTTACTATTTTTGTACTGATATTTTTTCTTTTGTTTTATCGTCTTGGGTTCTCTGGGTTTCTGACACTGACAGTTGCTCGAGTAATTGGGATAAATTGGTTTTTCACAAATCCAACACGCGTTTGTTTTATCGTGATGGTCTTTAGCTCGCTCGTTAAATTTCATGGTTTGGGGTTTTTCAAATATGCAATTAATATCGCTTTGTAATTGTAACAGCGTCGTTATAAATCTAGTTGAAGCGTCTTTGCCTCTATAAGTCTCTTGATACACATTTTTACCGTCGCATCGGACGACAACTAGCGAATAACCGCTAGCTTTGTGAACGTTAATCTTTTTTGTGTTTGTCTCTTTGTCTGAGTGAGTAGGTTTAGATGTTAGTGTCTGCGTGGGTGTTGTTGTTGTTTGTAGTAAGGATTCAAAGTCAGCATAAATGACAAATGGTGCTTTTTGTTTGTGTCTATAGTTTTTAAATTCTAATATCGGTACGTCTCTTTCGCCTGGATGTCCGTCTATGTATTTTGGTTTACCCATAGGAAATACAATCTTTGATGGATGCGCATCTATACCCTTACAATCGGCGATATGTCTGTCCAATTTGTTTTGATTGGTAAAATGGCATAGACATCTTCTACAAAAATATTTCTTACATTTATGTTTTGTAACGTCGTACATCAACCTCGTAAAATATTTTATCCAACAATAGTGATGCTTGTCACCTTTAGAAATCAAAAGCAGATCGATCTCTTTTGCCCCGTAGTTTTTAGACACGTATAATGGATATATCTCACCCTCATAACCGTATACGTTTATCGATAAATTATTTTGTCTTTCTATCTTGGGTATCTGATCGACCGGTGTCGGAAAGTCAACGCCTTTAAAACTGAGTCCGTCGTCTTTGGTGTATACAACGGGTTCTTCTTTATGAATTTTATATTTAGGATTATTTCTTATTTGATTTTTTACTTTATCCGTATACAACTCAAGAGCAGCTCTCAAACACCATCTCAAACACTCGTCGTCTTTGTTTTTGATGTTTATCATCGCCTGTTTAATTTTAAGATGTTCGGGTAGGTTTATGTAAGAACTACCTCTCGCTGGATTATATCTGTTGATGTTTATGTATAACGCCATTATCTTTTTTAAAACCCAACCCGATCCTTGATTCGTATACCTTTCATCCTTTTTGAATAGCTCTTCGATCTCTTCTCTTAAAACCTGTTTTATTTGACTTTGATTTAAAACGGCTTTCGGCTTGCTATAATGAATAGCTTCGATCGTTTCGATCGTACCATCCGGTTTGGTTTTTTCGTATTTTATTTTGATTGTGAGCTCCATTTTTAAACCTCTCAGCTCTCTCAATTCTGACTTGATTTTATTGACTATTTGTTCCTTGTGCGAATCAAAAAACTTGATTAAATCATGGTTATAAAGTCTGGGGTTTAATTCCCAGTTTCTGTAGTAATTTCTAAACCTTCTCGTTTCTCTAAAAGCTGACTCTGTAAAGTATTCGGGCTGTCTGTATGTTTTAATCGCCGAGATTAAATCTTTTTTCAAAAATCGTCCTTTATAACCCGTCGGTACGTATTCTAGATTTTGTTCGTCTACAATCTGTTTGAGCTCATGTAGTTTCTTTTTCCTCAAGTTTTTAAATTGACTTTCATAATGTTTTATCCCCTCGATGTAAACTTTACGAGTAAGAGAAACATTTTCATTGTGCGGTATACTATACCGCTGCACGTAATCACGCAGTGTGGCTTTGTTCCATTTAGAATATCCTTTGACGGTCGGTCTAAACATATTACTCTCCATTTTATTATAGGAAATATAATATTTTTTTTCTCATTTTTTTTGGAAGACAGACTTTAGATTTATAAGCAATCAGACTCACCTCATTCGTGCCTCAACACGTTTCAAGGTCGCGTTGTTTACGCCAAAATTTTATCGTGCCTCAACACGTTTCAAGGTCACGTGGTGGTGACTCCCACATTTTTCAAGGTCACGTGGTGGTGACATCACCTCATTTTAGCGACGACAGATTTTTATTTTTTTTTTCTCTCTCTCTCCCGGAGTCAGGATTTTTTTTTTTTTTTTTTTCTCCCGGCGTCAGAGATATTTTTTTTCTCTCTCTCTCTCTCTCTCTCTCGGCGTCAGGATTTTTTTTTTTTTTTTTTTTTTTTCTCCCGGCGTCAGAGATATTTTTTTTTTCTCTCTCTCTCTCTCGGCGTCAGGATTTTTTTTTTTTTTTTTTTTTTTTTCTCCCGGCGTCAGAGATTTTTTTTTTTTTCTCTCTCTCTCTCGGCGTCAGGATTTTTTTTTTTTTTTTTTTTTTTTGAAATCGGGGATTCCCCTATTTTTCCAAAATCGAGAGCGGCGTGTCCAGGCTCGCCGCAGATTTTTTCGATTTTGGTCCCGTACCCCCGCCTCCCTTACTACTTAGACCATTATCATGTTGCGGCCATCATGATTTTTTTTTCCATTCATAACAACATAACCAAAGCGAGGCTGGAAGGGAAAATAGTCTGGTTCCTTGTCGCACAAGAAACACCATTCAGTACTTTATTTGAAACATTGGAAAATGACTGAAATGGTGGCTGCATGATAAAGGTATATTGATAAACGCCCTCACTTAAAAAAAAAATGGAAATTTAATCAGAACTCTCACAGGTGATCAAGACTTACATTAACTTAGAGCGTAATTAATCCTCTTTAATTTTCTGTTAAATTTTTGAGGTTAAAGCCTTAAAAAAATAGTTCTAATTTTGTATGGGAAATATGAGAAAAAACACCCTAAAACTACCTTTTAACCTTGACTACACGCGGACGCCTCCATATGTTTGTACAAAAAAAAAATTGGCAAAAAAAGAAGAAATTCCCTACCTACATTTGTACCGTCCCTATTTTCGAATGCCATGTAAATGGAAGCAGAACTCTTTTTTTTGCGTAACCAATGAGTTTGGATGAGTTTTCCATCCAAAGAGGATCATCCCTTGAAGAAAGTTGACAAAGTTGATAGAATATTCTTCAAATCTTTGTTTAATCTTTGGTGATTTCTTGGGGTTTTTTTTAGGTGGAGAGTTACATGGAACAAGTTCGGCATTTGGCGGAGGAGCGAGATGCGTTGACCCAGGAATTCGAAATGGAGAACGAACAACTGAGGAAAGATTTGGACAAAATCCGCGAAGAGATTGCAGATAACAAGAGAGAAGTGGCTCAGCTGCTGATTCAGGTAAAAGAAGAGACTAGGCAAGTCTAGTAGAGATGGTCCCAGAGGGCATAAACATTCAAAATGGCTTTTCACTGGAAGTCTTTTCATGAATCTGGTCTGCAAACTTAGCCGGATTTAGCCCATTCATTGGTGTTACAGGTAATCCTATATGACAGCACTGCTCGGCTCCCGTCAGCAGCCTACAGCCAGTCTTAGTCACAAGTGACAGTCAGTCAGTCAGTCAGTGAGATATTTCCACGGTCATATTTACTTGTTTCTAGTGCTGATATCTTAGATATATATGTTAACCCTAACCTTCCCAAATCCTCCTAAATGCTCGTTGCAAAATGGAGGATTTTGCAGAATTGAGGCTACATGGCAAAAATGTGTGGCTGATTTTGGAGGATGCACTGTGTCAGGGTCTTAGGCTGGACCTTTTTTTGTTTATGCTCAGCCGTGCATACATTTAGGCCTAGATTATACTTGAAATCCTCCGCACTGCTCCAGGATGTCACTGCCTCAACATATTGACAGTGATTGCTAGAGGATTTTGCAGGATTGAGGCAGTGGTCACCCCTCCAAGGACCACATTCAAGAAATAACGGAAGATTTTGCAGGCTTGAGGCTGTATGCAGTTTTTACATGGAGGCAGTTGTAGGATTTTGCAGGATTGAGGTTGCATCCTCAGCAAAAATGCCTGGGGAGTTAGGGTTAATGAATGTCCTCTTTAAAAAAAACAAATGTAGAAAGTACATGTAAGTAAATGTCTACAAAGCAATATTCCTATGTTGGATACTACATGTAAATTGCAAAGGAATTGAATTTCTTCAAATTGAAAATGATTGTTGCACATTTAAACACATTTCTTTTCTTTATAAAATTGAACAAAGAAATTGACTGGAGCGGGGTTTGAACCTGTGACCTCCGGATTGCCGTTCCGGTGCTCTACCAACTGAGCTATCCAGCCCTATGTTGGCAGTTCCCAATTTGTCATTGTCTTTGTTCAATATTTTGGTCAGAATTCCTTGTCGCAATATCTGGCTAACCAGTTGCTTTAGAAATGATTTACGTTCAAGTTGGGCTCATGACAAGCTGGATTTAATCTAATTGATTGATTTCTTATTCCACCTGCTGTGTGGATTTCAGGAAGGGTTTATGGACCTTGCTGACAGTACACCCGGTGAAGCAATCGCTTACTTGCTGGTGGAAAGAACAAGAACCATGGATGAGCTGAGAGAGGCCAAACGAAAAGCGGCCAGCAGCCCTGGCGCGGCGATTACAACCAGCAAACAGGTTAGTCTAACAAAAAACGTGTTTCCATTGGACTTTTTCTTCTGTTGTAAACTTACCGTGACTCACTTTAAAAATGTCCTTTGTGTAATTCTTGTACCTATTCCCACTTGGACTTTTATGGTACTGTGGTAGCAATATAGTGCATGCAAATTGATGTCAAAATTGCGTGAGATTTTTCAAGAATACAGTACATCCAGGCACCATGTATACAAATTTGAAGCCTTCGTCTTAAATATTACTTTTGCTGTAATTTTCAGAAATTGATTCGGGGGGGGGGGGGGGGGGATAGGTAGTATTTTATAGCAAATATTGTTTATACACTGACTTATTTGGAGTTGCATGTTAGTAGATGCTAGAAAAACAGTCATATTCCTGTAGTCTGGTTCCCTGGCCCCACTTTAGATGAAACGGAGCAATTTATAGACGTCGGGGAATTGTAAGGTCAGGGAACCACTCTAGCTGGCTTGTACCTGTTCATACATACTACTGTACACACCATACAGTAGGTGTGTAATCAATTGCAAAAAAATGCGGACAAACTAAATTTGGTAAATTGGAGGCAGTATTGGAAAAAAAACAAGTTTTTTCCAATGCTGGTTGGTTGTCCAGCATTGAAAATTCATTCAGAAAGACCACTTTTCTTGAAAATGACAGCACACCAGGTGCCATGATTTTACAGGATGCTTAAGACTGTCATTCACTAACAGTCCAGTAAGTTATTTAGTAATAATTTGATAGTTTTGCAATGTTGTATATTCCCTTTAACTTGTTTGGTGGCTTGTAAAAAACAAGTCCTTCAAACGAAATGCTGCTACAGAAGATGTCATGTCAGGAAATGTAACATAAATTTGTTTAATCTTTAGCTGAACTTGTAAATTTGCTTTTGAATAAGGAATTTTTTTTCGAGTCTGTGATACTTTTGGAAAGTGGTTACACTTTCCTCATGAATGCAATGTATGGCTTTGAACCCTGACAGAATCAGGGTGCTTGTGTTCTTGGGCAAGACACTTTACTACAATAGTATGAAATATTACTAAAATATTACTAAATTATTATAAGCACAACAATATTAGTTTTATTTTTCAGATTCTTGCAAATTAAAAAAATAAACAGTTACAGTGGACCTGATCTGTAGATTTACATGTAGAATCCTGATGTCAATGTTATCTATGATCGTTATGTTTACTTAACATGTATCTAATGGGCGACCATAAAGTGTGACGCTACCTAGTGTAAACACGGTCATACACCCACAGATAAACTTGTTATACATTGCCCCTGACATGGGGTATACTGCCACAGTCTATCTGTAGTTGTTGTTGAAATTAAGTCGAGGGTGTCAAATTCCGCTGTGATATAATCTAAACGTGAAATCGGATACGATGTCAAGTGTCATTATAAAGCTGTGATCGTTCGAAAATGTGTCAAAGAAGTTTACTTTTTAGTACGAGGTAGAAAGATCAAACTTGATTTGCCGTTTAAAAATTTACTGTATATGTCTGTGCTATTTTCAAGTTTTGCCTTGAAAAAAACCCAGGTTTCTTCTGTAAATTGATATTTTTTTCAAGCAACACAAAAGTTATTCACTTTTGAATGAGAGATTGACCAAAAATATGGGCCCGCGTTTAGATATTGAATAATTACTTTGCGAAGTTAGAATTATTTGCAAACAGACTTTAATTAAACAGAGATTAAACTTTTCAATTTTATTCGGAATTCTGACTTTTGTAATTTAATAGGCCGCTCCGAACCCCGTCCTATTTTCTGATTTTTCTTTTTCCAAAATACCAAATCTAATTTTATCTCTGATTAAATTCTCGCAGGGTAGACTGGTTCCTGCCTTCTATCAGAATTGTCAATGTAGGGATTGGGGACCAGTCTATGTGTAGGGCGGATCTGTTTTTTCGCAAAAGTCAATATTTAGAGGGTTTCAGATTCCCAGAATAGAGAGGGAAAAATATTTTTACATTAAAATAAACACACAAATTGCAGGCATGCAATTTTTCCTCGGATCAGCTGATTTTTCTTGATTATTTATTCTCATTTCTGTCATGCAATATTGAAAAAACACTGTACAAAATCTTTTTAATTTTGGAATTTCTTCCTTTTTTGTGTGTGAATTTTTTGCATGCCTGAAATTGAAAATTAGTTTGGAAAAAGAAATTAAATATGTTGAAGAGCACAGACCATACATCCTTCAATTTCAAGAATTAAGTAGATTTAAGAAATACACCAAATTTATATTTGGATGAAAAGTTGTAGAAAAAAATGTATCAGGCAATTTGCATTAAATTAATTGAACTTTGGATTTTTCTTGAGGTTTGACAATTTAGCCTTGTGTCTGCATAATTTTTTTGATTTTTTTGCCTGATTTTTTTTTTAAGAAACAGCTAAGTTTTACACAGTTACATGTAACTGGCTGAATGCATGTTTTTGTTTTTATAATTTGTCACATTAAACTAGAAACGTTTTATTGCGGTCAGTGTTTAAGCTCAGTATTGCATGCTGTAAATTTTTTTTTGCTAATGTGACTGTAGTTAAATCCATAGGCCCTTTCACTCTGTCTGAAAATTCCATGTTGTACCTGAGTCGAACCCAGGGATATTCATGAAGCCCGTTCACACTAGCAGGAATTCAACACGGGTAAAATGAAGTAAAGTTTGTCAGGAGCCAATTTGGCCCATCAGGCCGGCGTTTATCTCCGGTTTCCGTGTTATGAAACGACTGAGAATATTTCTATTCCCCCTGGATGGGATGCCAGTCCATCGCAGGTCACTCCCCAGCTAATGCTGGTACCCATTTACAATGTATACTCCTGGGTGGAGAGAGGCAAGTGGGGGTGAAGTGGCTTGCCCAAGGACACAACCCCTGGATGGGTTGCTAGTCCATCGCAAGTTACTCCATAGCTAATGCCGGTACCCATTTATACCCCTGGGTGGAGAGAGGCAAGTGGGGTGAAGTGGGTTGACCAGGGACATAACATACGGCCAGCAGCTGGATTTGAACCCCTGACCCTCTGATCATGAGTCACAAACCCTAACCACTGGGCCACACTCCCCATGGGTAAAATTCAACCTCGGTCGGGACCAGGCGTGAGAGGCTCGACCCGGGGTAGAAAATCCAAAATCTACGACCATGTTCGATCGGACTCAGTTCTGCTCATGATGGATCACTGTTAATTTCACCCTGGGTAGATGAGACAAGAGTGTGAAAGGGCCTAATGAATGTGTGTCACTGTTTCGTTTGCATGTTGTCTTCGTTGTTTTAAGGTCCAAGAAGTTCTGGACAAAGAGAGGAAAATAATGGAAGACGAAATGCGGACAGAAAGAGAGAAAGTCAGGAAGATGAAGGATAGTATTGAACAGGTAAAACACACGTGGAAAAAAAAATGCTTGCCATCCTGAATTTTTATTCACAACAGTTAACATTCAATTAACTTTCAGTTTCTGTGATGAAACATTCGTTAACCACGAAGCAATTTCTGCAGGTTAATACTCTTACTGATCGTATTCACTTGTAAAATATCTGGTTGACTTTAACCCAGACACTAACGTCAACGTCACAGAGGTGTAAGTTTTATTAATGAAAATAATAATCATTTATTACAATGATAATACGAAAATTGCACCTTAGGAAAGCATTCCCATTGACTATTGCCTTTGGAAGACGTTCCCAAAACCCTCCCATAAGAAGATTTGAAAATCCTGCCCCCAAACTTTTTAATAAACTATTGTCAACCAAAGGAATTGTGTTATTTGTGACAATAGAATTTGTTTGAAAAATGGTAGTTAAATCATTAGGGAGAAATTAAAATGTTTCCCAAATGATCAGTGTCTCCCCAGTGTCAAATAATTACAAGTATAAAGTCCCCACCTACATTTATAACCACTTTTTCCATCACACGTCCAGTCAACAGTAAATCACAAGTCCTTTCATCACAAGTCCAGTCACAAGTACTTTTGGGGACGTATTCTCAATGAAGAACATTTGACAAAAGAATGCTCTGTTAGAAATTCTGACATTAAACTTGAGAAGACTTGTGAGGACTTGTGATATATTACACTTGTGAGGACTTGTGATAGACTCGTGAGGACTTGTGACAGACTTGGGACAGACTTGTTGTGACAGACTTGTGACAAACTTGTGATTGACTTGTGATAGACTTGTGATTGACTAGTGAAGACGCGTGACGGTGTGATATATTAAGCTTGTGAGGACTTGTGATAGACTTGTGAGGACTCTTGGCAGACTTGTGACAGACTTTGTGACATTAAACTTGTGATAGACTTGTGATGGACTTGTGATGGACTTGTGATGAACTTGTGATGGACATGTGATGGACTTGTGATATTTTTGTGAGAACTTGTGATAGACTTGTGAGGACCTCCAAAATATGACAGTGTTGAGTATTGTTAAAACGTTTCACTTTAACTTCATAATTGCATATGACATTTTTTTAATTGCTTAATATTCTGTCGAATGTTATTTGTATGCACTCACTTTTCTCTGCATGTCTGCTTTATCTCCCACTACCCTGCATGCTATGAACTTTGACCTTTGACCTTTGACCTGTCACCCGTGACCTGTGCTGTGTACCTTTTTGTGTTTGCTGCCCTCACAGATTTATGCTAAAGAGCTTAACAGAGTCAAAGCGGTGAGTTCACTAGTTAATTAACATCACCTCTGAAAATCACGAAGGCCTATCATAATATTGTATACTCATTGCTGTCTAATAGCTTGTGAGAAAATCATTTGTAAGCTATATACTCAGTGTGACTCGAACCTACGACCTCCTGCTTACTAGTGCAGACGTCTCACCACACGACCACAGAGCTTGCCAGGGTGGACTGGCTGGTTTGAATCACTGTTTTGTATGGTGAAGTGTTTGAGCTGGAGAATTTATTTATTAGAATCTCTCGGTCTTACGAAATTATGCCAGTGTAGAGCAAAAAAATGAACTTAAAAAAAGAGTAGATCATTTGCAGCTATCCAAAAAGTAACTGACCAAATTATTGTTGAAAAGCTTACTTGGTTTAAAGTTAGTAATGACACTAAACTCCCTGTGAAATGATTCTTTCTGGCATGCTGTCATTTTTAGGAAAACATTAAAAGAAGGTCATTTCCAATGATGCACCTTTTTGGAAGTTTCCTTTAGTACGTTTTTAATTTGGCAAAGCCATGAATGTTTGCACGCAAGTGTTGACACAACGCACATGCGCGCGGGGTTGCTAACATTGTAATTCGTCGGCTCAGTGCGTGACATCGCGTAGCTGCAATCGGCCAAATGAGAATGTGTCCCGGATGCTAATTTCGGGCGCAATTCAAAACATGACTCGGCAACTTTTGAATTGAGATCGAGATCCTAGAATATTGTGTTCTCAGAATATACAGCATTCACTGAGCTAAAACTTCATCAGGTAGTAGTTGTTGAGCACCCCGCATTAGATTTTGAGCACTTTTGTTCAACCAAAAAAAATTAATAATGCACAAATGATGTACTCTACCTTTAAATTAATTCCCCTGATGCAAACATTCCATAATGCAGAATAATTTAACCTCCCTTTCCCAGGATAACAAGCTAAAGATAACCAACTTGGAATCCCAGAAACGTCGTCTGGAGCATGACTCAAGACAGCATCATCAGAAAGCGAGAGACCTGGAGTTTGAGAACGAACGACTCAAGAAATCACTGGAGAGAGAGAAGAAAGAACGGAGGGAGGAGGTGGAGAAAGCTCAACAGCAGCGTGCAGGTCAGGCGCTCTCTTGTATTTAATGGTTGACCCAGAGGGCCAGCGTAGTACACAAATATTGACTGCTTCGAGTGGTGTAGTAAACCTAGCCTCCTGAGGTGATCCATGGACATTCTATTTTCCCGAGGCGAAGCTGTTGGAAAATAGAATGCTCCATGGATCACAGAGGGAGGCTAGTTTATACTACACCATGACATTAAAGCAGTCAATATTTGTTTTATAACACCTCTCTCACAGATTACGCATAGTATTAAGTGATAACTGAGTAATGTAATGTAAATACAATTAAAATGTACTTCAATTCGAATACAAAATTGGTTGAAATTTTACCTGCACTTTTCCAAACTAACCCTTTACGAAATGTTTGAACCTACAGCTCTGTAGTGCTAGTGCCTCGAGCAATTTGCGCAACTGGCACACCCGTACCCATACATGGATTTATGCGTATAGTTTGGTTGCTACAGGTATAGTACTTTGGTTGCTACGGGTATAGTACTTTTGGCCGTGCAAAGCAAGATAGCAAAAATAGTGAATGCCATGTGATTCACTCTCGGCCAATCAAGATACAGAATCTGTGGATGAGGTGTTATAAAGATCTCTATTTCACTGACTGACTGACTCCCCATGACTTACTGACTGACTATGACTTACTGACTGACTGTCACTTCTGACAATGTGACTTGGGCTGGATGCAGAGAACCAGGCAGTGCTGTCGTATAGGATTACCCCGTAGGGATTTACAATTTTAGCTTTTCAAAAAAAAATTATGAAACCTTTGAGTTTAGGCCTATACAATAAGTTACAGTCAACAAATTTTTTGTGGAGTCTGAAAAAGTCAAGACAACTTTCAGACTAACACAATTTGTAAAATAATTTTGTTCCCTAGCAACTAAATAGGTTTTGTTATTTTTTGAGGTCCTGAAAGTTGCATTCCCTGTGCTGTTTTTGAGTTTCATCAAAAAAATGTGTTCCTTTTCTAGCTTTCTATTTTCTAGCAATACGAATGTTATTGACTTTTAACTGAGATGTATACTAATATTGGCTCACGGTTAGCTATTGAATTATGACTAACAGATTTTAAATAACTTGTGGCCCAAAAATAATGCTGTTTTCATGGGATAGGCTGGTTCCCACCCCACAATCGATATCGATAATGTACATGTACGGACAGGGAGCCAGTCTGCTCGCAAGGCAGATCTGCTTGTGTCCAAATGAAAAACTTTTTTTTTCAGAGAGTTGCAGATGCCCCCCCCCCCAAAAAAAACCCAACAACAATGGATTTTTATTTGGAATAAAAATTGCAAGTTGTAGATTTATTAATAGAACAAAAATTGAACTTGTTGCAGAGCATAGGGAAGGAAGTTTAATGCAGGGTTCTTGCGGCCTGGGAAAAAACCTGGAAAAATCATGGATTTATTTTTTTCAATTTCCACGCCTGGAATACTTACGGAAATACATCCATAAAAATGACAAAAGTCCTGGAAAAGTCATGGCATTTTGTAAGGACCAGTTTATTTTCAATGTTAAACTTTGAATTCATTCATCATTTATTATTGGAAATCTGATTTTATCTGAGAAATTGCGACAAATTTGCTGCAGCAAGCATTTTGATTTCGAATGGGTCTTGGATTTTCAAAATTTGATCGTGGAAAAAAAATCATGAAAAAGTCGCGGGAATTTCATTGTCAGAATGGTGCAGGAACGCTGTTAATGTCAGAATTCAACCAAATTTTGTAAATAAGACCATTTGTATGAATTTTTCAGTAGGAACCATATAGCTACAGTGTTACCTTAGTGCATTGTGTAAAAGGCTTTATAATGCCCCATTATGTCTGCACACATTACAATAGATCCCGATATTCCACTTGATTGAACACTCACAAAACCCACAACAGAAGCAACAGGGCGATACACCACGCATATAATTATGATGGAGCGCATTGCTCAACTAATTACGACGTGAACTGTATGGCGAGTTACGCTGATGATCCATTACCTCAGAGCGCGTAGATGACGGTCAATATTGATGAATACTTTATTATGATATTTGGTTGGTACCAGAAAATGCCTGCGGTGTGCTTGATGGATCTCGTTTTAAATTTGATTCGGAAGGAATTATTATAATGATGGTACGTACAGTGTAAATGTAATGCTGATGACCTGCAGGTAAGTTTAGTGGGGGAAATTAGGGGCAAAAATTAACAATGCCAAAATACCGTTGTCTAGTTAAAGTCATAATATTATAAGATCATGTGCATTTATACCAAATGTAACTTACCGAATTATTATCAAAAAGCATACTTGGATTAAAGATTGTACTGGTACTAAACACCCCATGAAATTATATTGTTGAGCTTGCTGTCATTTAGAAGAAATCAAGAAATGTAGGTGATTTCCAACGATCAGTCAATTGACTGATTTTTGGAAATACAGAGTGCTACTGACGCAATCGTGTTTCGTGATCAAAAGGTTGTGCCATGGTTTTTCACTTTTTTTCTTAAAACTGTAATATCCCCTGAGCTGAAACTTCAACAGGTTAGGTTTTGAATATTCTTTGGACTTAAAGTGGTGTTATTAATGGAAACGAACAAAATGCATGAAAAGCAAATGATCCTTAAAGGGAATGTACATCATTGGCTTTTGCTGTAATTTTCATAAATGAACTATTTGAGGGGTTAGTATAATAGATCAAATATTGGTACACTGACATGTTTGAAGTTTTGTGTTCCAAAATGCTGGAAAAACCAAGAAAAACAAAAATGTTCAAGTAGTCTGGTTCCTTGACTCCACTAAAGATAAAATGGATCAATTCATAGATGCCGGAAAATTGTAAGGTACACGGATCCAGTCTAGCTGGCCTGCACCCGTTCATGAACATGTAACCAATGGCAAACAAAATTTGGCCAAAAAAAAGTGTAAAGTTGGAGCAGTAGTTGAAAAATGGTTAGGTTTTTCCAACGGTGGTCGGCCGACCACCGTTGGAAATGTATACAAAAATACCATTTTCTTGAAAATGACTTCACACCAGGTGCCATAATTTTACAGGATGCTTTAGACTGTCATTTACCAACATCCTAGTAAGGTATTTCGTAAAAACTTGGTAGTTTTATTTTTCGATATTTGCAAATGTTGTATATTCCCTTTAATTTGCACAAGTTTGTAAAATGTTTTTATTTGAAGCAACAAAATTGCTCAAAATATGAAATAGGGTTTCATAGCAACTAACCTGTTGAATTTGGTACCTCAGGGACTTAAAAAAAAAAAGAGAAAAAATTCACAAATTTGCAGGCTGCTTTAAAAAAAATCTATCTTCAATGATTGTATTCTTTCGATTGAAACCATGTCAGACGGAACAAATTCACAGGGTTTTGGGACTATCCCTTGTTACAGTCAGGGATTTAAATTCCACATTTCTAGGTCTGGCTAGCCAATGAAGATTATCAGCTTAGGATTATCAGCTTAATCCTCCGGGGCCTGAACCCCAAAATATTTTCCATTGTATTAAACTTTGCATAATGATTGAACAAGTGGAATGTGCTGGCCCACTATAAATTGGGTAGACATTCCCATGCTGAGGCCTCTGTTCACCATACCATCACGGGCAGGCAGACCACTGACATCACTGACACCAGTTCCTGTATACTCAAGTTAAGCTACCTGGAGTGGGCTCTATTGGCGTGGCTTTTTCTTTAGGGCTTGGTCAAAAGTGTATGCATGCAGGCGCACTTTGCCAAAATTTGACACGCGCTCAGTGAGAGTGCAATTATCACGACCCATGACGTCATGCAGCATGACAATGGCAGCCCAAATTCGTCCGAATTCAACCCGAAATTACAAGATAACTAGACCTCTGAAGGTAATGAATTCAACGGTTTCTTGATATTAAGCAGTTATACATTACTTGGGGTGATTTTAAATTGATAAAATATTTTCGATCTTGATTTGATTTTCGGCTCTCTTAGCAACGGACCTCTCCGGCCATTTTGCATACTTGACTGTGGCGGAGGATACAGTGGAAGTTCAGTATTTCCGCCACATTTATGGGGTTGAAGCCAAGATTACATTGGACTTAATTTTGTTAAAAACTTACTGCGAGTGATTGTTAGCATTGCATTTTGGTTATTTTTTTTCTGCATAAACTTTACCGTACCATGCTCTCGCAGAATCTTATGAGGGCGCTCTGCTGTTGATTTCCCACCTGAAACCAGTTGTGGTTGTGGAAAAACGCATCTGATAGAATCTCGCATAGCTAGACCTAGAATCTCACACGCGTAGTCCTTGTAGGGCTCGTTCAATGACGGCCATCTCTGTAGGAGAACTGCAACTGCGTATTTTACTGCGCATTGCGCAGTGTTGAAAATGTTCCAAACACGCGCGCTTGTTGCTCGAAATGTGTTCGAAATGCGACGCAGCCAATGCGAGTTGACGCTCAAAATGCCGATGCATGTGGCTGGTCTGTAGGAAATGACGTCATTTGAGAGAGACCTATAGGCCTCTGGTATACGTGTGATTCGCGGCGGTCAATATTGGTGACCCACACAGGAGTCCGCACGGGACTTTTCAGTGATGTGAAACTAAAACAAAGTGATTCTTCGGCAACTCAGTTGGCCCTGTAAAACTCACCGCTGCAGACTGTACATATGGTAAAACTAACAATAAGTCAACAACAGTTTTTGTTTAGCTCTGGTCGTCTTGCATGAAAGTCTTGCATGAAATCTATGAAAATGATCCCTGCCAGAGCTTAAATATTCGACGCCCAATAATGTGATGGCAATGATACATATATGGAACATATTTTTGATGTATACCTAGATTTATAGCGATTTGTAATGAAATACCACATTATCTCAATATAACTGCACATTTTTTGCCTCCATTTACAAACTTTTAATAAACATCTTTCCCAATTGTTGCAAACATGTTTTAGTTTGTTTGCTTTTTTGTTTTATAAAAAAATTTAGATACCTTTTTTGGAATCAAAAATATTGCAGCCTAGCTTTCAATGTCATCGCGACATCTTCATTCAGCATAGTGAATTAAACCACTACGGTCGTGTGACCACCTTTTGGGCGATCACAAACCAAATTTTCCTTATCAACGTGATGGAATTCAATATTATTAGTATACATGCTGCTAAAAACAATTTGGTAGAAGTTTGTGGGAAACTTTTGGGTATTTATTTTAGTTACTTTTCCAGGGACAGACAGACAGACCGACCACCAAGTAACATGTAGAAAGTCCTGCCAGCGTTTAAAAATTCTACTGCGAACACGACTTTAGTCAAGATGAATGGCATTATTATAAAGATTAACCCCGGTCGGGTAATTAATAACCTTGTATTTAATATAAGACAGCTCCCATAAGTCAATACAGTATGTTTAAGCTCGAGCCACTGTAGGTAAAATAAATAGAGACTTAAGCACACTACAGCGCTTTGTAAATACAAGTACAATAGATGACAGAACAGATGCCTTTTAAATTCATTGTAGTTAAGTATTGTGTAAAAAGACAAACATTCCGAAACTAAACCGAAATCAATCAGTAGTGTTGTCATGGCAACGAAGTGGACTTTGAGATTGTCATAAAATGGTGGATCCCGAAATATGATTTATTCTGTGTGTTTACGACTTCTACGCTGGATATTCAAACACCGTTCATTCACTGTGATATAGAATTTTTGATAAAAACCACATCAGCAACGGTACAAATTACCATTCACACCAAACAAATCAGGAATTTGTTGAATTAGTTGGCAATTTGTTGCAATGGATAGAGAAGCGATTTCCAACAAAATGGCACTCCAACTACAAGGATTGTGCCAGCCAAATAGCGGAAACTTTACCAAAGGTATTTCAGTTTATTTATTGGTGAAATGGCCAGGAGGACGACCTCTGGTGACGCAAAATCCGTGAGGCAGTAGAAATCCGCAGACACCGCCCCCATATGAACAGAGATGGAGGGTACGAGCTGGCCCACGTGTACGACCGCCTCCTGTCGTGTGACCAAGCCTGGTCACGTGACAGGTCACGTGACAAGTCACATGAGGGCTCGACAACGCCGGTTGATAAAGACACCGTGATGGTGTCGCAAGCTACTGATACGACCTCTGTAATTTAAAGAGGTTGTGGAATGCTCGAAGACATTTCCGTCATTTTTTGGATATATGTAGCCTAAGGTGTGATGAAATAAAAACGACTATTGTTTCTGTCATGAAATGAGTACAAAGGGTACTTTTGAGAGCTATATTTCAGGTCCTGTTTCGACCCGAACGTGCAATTTGTGTAAAAGTCGTCGTTGCGGGCAGCAAACAAAACACAGTAAATCGTGACGTAATAAACAGGACTCGTTTATGCTACTCTGCATCGGGAGTCCTGTTTATTACGTCACGATTTACTGTGTTTTGTTTGCTGCCCGCCAAGACGATTTTTACACAAATTGCACGTTCGGGTCGAAACAGGCATGACAGGACTTGAAAAACAGCTCTCAAAGTACCTTTTGTACTCATTTTATGACAGAAACAATAGTCGTTTTTTAATTTCATCACACCTTAGGCTACATTTACCCGAAAAATGACGGAAATGTCTTCGAGCATTCCACAACCTCTTTAAGTCCCAAAAAGGTACCTTTTCATTTTAATACATAACAGAAGATAGACTCACCATTTTCTGAGTTTTTTAATCATTTTTTTCCAGGATCTCCACGAGATCTGAATCAGTCGGAATCATCTCAGCTAAGAGAAGCAAAGAAGAAACTGGAGATGGAGCTATCATCCACCAAGTATCGTCTCAAGACAGGCGAGGAAGACAAGAACAAGCTCAACCAGAGAGTGAGTCACTTGTTTATATTTCTTATTTTATATTTCTAAAAATGTTCAATTTTTGAAAAGCGTTGGGAAAGCAACCTTAATCATGTATTAAAACTAAGCTCAGCTGTACATAGAATTAATTCAATGACAAAATTGCAGAGACTTGAATCAATCAGAGTCATCTCAGCTAAGAGAAGCGAAGAAGAAACTTTCAATTTGTATGCACATTTCCTTCTTAACCAGTTCACGCCGGGATTATTTTGACAAGAACGGAATGAGGTGAGGGATAACTTTTAATACTCGACCTCAAGCCATCGGGCGGGTTGAAGCCATCTCCCTCGGGCAGCACACTCATATTTCCGGCCTCGCACGCTGCGAGTGGGTAGCTGACAGATATTTCCGGCCTCGCTCCCTGCGTGTTTATCTGTCATCCGTTCCGAATACGGCAAAACTTTTGCGTGTAATAAACAGCCTCCAGTGCGAACTGGTTAATGGAAAAAAAAAATCTGGTTCTTGAAAAAGGCATTCCATAAATTTGTTTCATTCCAGTAAGTCTTGATAAAAAAAAACCCTGAAAAACAACGCAGAAGTAGTAAAAGCAAGTATTAAATTGTCACAACTCGAAATTGATTCATTCATATCTGGGAGACACTGTATAAATGGATGAGAGGTGTCTGCAGTGTGACCAATTAAAAGATGAAAAGTTCACATAGACAGCTCATCTTCTAAGCACAAAATCTCCAAATACCCAGTCAGCATCACCATTTTTAAGCCTACTATTATGGGAGAGTCTGACACTTTCACCCCCTCTTTTGACCCCTTTGTGTTCATGGAGGGACAGTAATGCCCCCCATTCAAGCCATAGACTCGTAGTATTGATTATCTTAAAATAGGTATAGGCTGCTCATCAGTCAGCCCTTACATAATCACAACAAGGTTTCAACAACAAAAAAGCTCAACGGTTTATCCCTGTACTTATACATGTACCAAGTAAAGTGAGCGGTCTTTCTTTCTGGGGCTGTAAGATTTTTGGAGCTCGTTGTTTCGGTTGATAAGGGAAGGCCAGGATAGGTGTTTGTTGATTGTTGTTTACAAACAACTAGTTGTGCGGATTTATAGGATAGTTTGAAGTCGTTCATGGAAGGAGACAACATGTCGTTCAACAAGATACGGGTATGTTGAATCGAGTGTCTTTCGATCTTTTTACAAAATTGTTTCGGCCTCTTCGTTTTTTTTAGGGTTTTTTTTTGCGTCTGTGGTATTTTCGGGTTTCACCTAAAAAAAAATAGAGTTTGTTTTGCAATCATGTTAATTGCTGTTCTTTTAGCAATGCAAAAGCAATTGACTTTTGAATGAGACATCCACTGAAAAAATGTTTAGATACGGAATAATTATTTTACAAATTTCAAATTATTTTCAGTCTGATAATAAATGAGTTCTCGCTTGGTAGACTGGTTCCCACCCTCTTTCAGAATCAATAATGTAGGTACTGGGAACCAGTCTAACTGGAAAAGGATCTTTTTATGCGCAAAAGCAATCTAAAATAAAAGTGCGGTTTTTTTTACATGGCTGCAAATGCCGAAACAAGAACAAAGGAGTTTTGTCATTTAAAATAAATCATTCAAAAATCAAAATTCATCAGGAAAAAAAAAATAATTTGAGAACAGACAAAACATCTTTAAGTGTTTTTTTAATTTTCTGAGCCAATATGTTTTGATTCCAGAATGCTATAAAAATATATGTTCTTCAGTCACAAATAAACTAGAACTTGAGCAAAAAAGCATGGTCGTTGTTTACAATGTACCATGCATAATACAAAAACAGGCAATAAAGACACTCTGTAAACGTTGTGTGCTGCCCTCTATTGATGCATGTGCTTCAGAAACAGTTGTATGCAAATGAGGGTATGCTCTGCCAAATATGCAAATTAGGGTGTGCTGGGAATATAATGGGAAGAACTGTCACAAAAAAAGTGTGCAGTAAAATGTTACAATATGCAAATGAGCAAAAATGTTGTGCGTTCATAATTAAACCAGAACAGCGGAAAAAGAGGTAATGTAATATGCTTGCACAAGAAAAAAAGACACTTTGCAAATGTGATGTGCTGCCCTCTATTGATACTTCAGAAACAGTTATATGCAAAGGAGCTGTGCTTGGAAAAAAATTGGCACAAAGAAACGTGCAGTAAACATAACGATAGTAAGAGGCTTCAAAAGCCACTTGAGATAATCTGTCCCAAACTTCCAAGAGGCTTGCAAATTCCTTTCGGCCAGTTAGTCTCAAATAAACCCTCGGAATTCTTTTGTTACCAAACGGTCGGATAACTGTAGTAATGTCGCCATAGCAACCAGAGACAATGTCTGCAAAGGAATAGGGACTTTCACAAAAATCAATACATCTCTTTTATTTTCATTTGTATGGGCTCCTAGAAGGCAGAAACCTAAGCTGTGGTTCGCAAAAGATTTTGTTAAGAAATTGCACATTAATACCCTCATTAAGTAGCTGAGAATACAACTTTTGCTTTTTGCAGTAATTTTCAGAAATGGATGGATTGGGGTTAATATTTTATAGCAAATATTAGTACAGTGATCTTTTGTAAGTTTTGTGTTCATAGATGCTGGAAAAACCACACCAAAAATGCTCTTCTTTTAGTCTGGTTCCCTGTCCCTACATCAGATGAAACAGAGCGATTTATAGATGTCGGGGAATTGTCAGGTCAGGGACCGCTCTCACCCGTTCACAGACGTGTAACCGATTGCAAACAAAATGTGGACTAACTAAAATTGGTAAATTGGGGGCAGTATTTGAAGAAAATAACTCAGTTTTTTCCAAGGATGGTCTGCCGACTGTCGTTGGAATTGATACAAAAATGCCACTTGTTGTTAAAATGACAGCACACCAGGTGCCATGATTTCACAGGATGCTAGAGACTATTATTAATTTACTGTCAAGTAATGTATATAATATTAGATGTAATTTTGTATTTTTTTTTTTTATGTTTGCAAATGTTGTAAATAGTCTTTGGTAGCGTTTGTCGGCCATTTTCAACAATTCAGTGGTATGGTTGGAAACATTTATAACTTTTCTTTATTTTTCCGAGTTGGCCTTCCATAGTTTGCCAATGGATGGGCAGCAAAATGTCTATTGCCTCAGTGGTTTCTGGTTAAATTGTTGATTGGGGTTGTGTTGCTGTCATAGAATGTATCATATGCATGATACCTCTATGTCTGTGGTTTTGCTAGGAACTTACCCTAGAAGAGCCTTTTGCAATAAGAAGAAAAGGTTATATTTCAAGTGTTTCTATTTTTAGTATCTAAAGTGGAACCATCAACAATGGTATAGGTGTCAGTAAAAGCGGCCCTATGTTGCATACTGAGTTGTGTGACCATGAAAGAAGTGATCACGACTTTCTGCTTTCATTCAACTAAGCTTTGGGTATTGCAAAGACTGGAGTTAGGGCCAAGTAAAAAAAAAAAAAACAGTTTCTCGTCCCCGCCTGCTTCCGTTTTTCCAACTGCCTCCTTTTCTTTTTTTACTTGCCAATTAAATTTCAAATCACAAATTTCTCAAAACTGCGTTTGACCGAATGTCTGTTAATATTCAAAACTAACATTTGCAACAGTACAAAGTTGCACGAAGAGTGCGCCAGTTACGATTTGCGTGTGGCAATCGGTATGGCACTGGAGTGCTTTGCAATGAGTATTTTTAACTGTAAAGTGCGTTAACCTCCCAAAAGGATGTGAACAATGAACCACCATCAACCAAAAAGGTACCGCCGACAAAAAAAAGGGGCACCTGACAATAAAATGCAGCAATTTACAATACAATAACATCACAGTTGTGTGTGTACCGGTATCTGCGAAGTGTTTTTATGCCCCGTGGCGAAGCCGAAGGGGCATTCTGTTTCCGCCTTGTCCTTCCATGGGTGGGTGTGTGGCTGGGTGTGTGTGTGGGTGGGTGCATGGGTGTTCTCGTGTAGTAAAGTTTTCGAGTTTGAAATTGAAGTTTCAAAATGCTCTTATTTTAACCAGAATTAATTTCCTGGGCTGAAATTTGGACTAAATATCCCTTTTCTAAAACTCTTCCATTTGCGACAGATCAACCTACCTTGGAAATTCCTAGTTTTTGAGTAAAATCCATATATCTATTTCGTGAAATTCTTGTGGAGACGTATTCATCTATAGAAATGTTCTTCTGGAGACGTATACAATCTTTTGTTCCCTATTGTGTGCATGTCTCCGTAAGGTAGTAAATTCCAGCACAAAGAAATGTCTCCACAGGAATACAAATTCCAGAATGGGTGGGTGGGTGTGTGTGTGTGTCCGGATATATCTTGTCAGCGCGATAACTTGAGAAATACTTAACATATGAACTTCAAATTTGGTTTGTGTATTGTTTTTGGTAATCCTAAGAAGCCTATTGCATTTGGGGCCGAAGGGTCAAGGTCACAGTGGCTAAAACAAAAGAAATGTTGTCAGCGCGATAACTTGAGAAATACTTTACATATGAACTTCAAATTTGGTTTGTGGATTGTCCTTGGCAATCCTAAGAAGCCTATCGCATTTGGGGCCGAAAGGTAAAGGGTCAAGGTCACAGTGGCTTAAACAATAGAAATCTTGTATTTATATTCTGAGATCATAGGGATTAATTCATATAAAACCTACAGAAAACACTAATGCTGTCAATGAATTACGTTCCATGTGACCAAGGTACATGTACATGTAAGTTGATGTTAAAAGAATGGTGTTATGTCATGGGAATAGTCACGGTTGCGGGGCATTTGTGTTTGTAAACACACCTGACTTCTTGTTATTGAATATTCAAATTGGCAAAAGCTCTTTGAATATTAGATTGTATCAGCAAAAGAGTCGAGAAAATGGAAGAGTCCATCTGCCATCTTTAAATATCTGTCATTTTGAAGGAGAAAAAGGGCCTCTTTCCTTGTTTTCAAAAAGCATGGACGATTAACAATTTTTTGTTTTACTTGGGCTAACAAGTTAGCCAGCGGTCCCTTAGAAGTTACTACGCTGAGAGAGATTTCTAAACTTGTATGGTACCTCAACCTTCCAAGGTTTCGCGAGATTTCAGCTGGCCGCTTTCAGAAAAGAAAAGCTCCCCGTAATCCCTGTCAGGTCTGATATATCACCTCCCCATATTTCACCCCCCTGAAACTTGTTCAGCGTCCCATTGCCTCATTATTACATGCACTACAGCCTGTTGCTCTTTATTTAATGCCTGGGTGCTTCCATTGTGAGACAGGGTTTAATTCACCTTGAGGGATCGAGTTTACAAGTGGGCCGGCTGATCAGAGTGTTTGTTTGCGATAAAGGCACGCATGTTTACTGTTTGTATTTGAATAAAGGTGCGTTTCAGGTGTAGTGTGTGCCAACATGTTAATACCATTACACTGTGGCCTTTTAGGAGTTATATCACACGACCTATCTGTAGTTTGTACCGCACCTTCGATGCATATACCGGTATATTAGCTCTGAAATACTTTGGATCCATGGAATAAGATTATAAGAATATTTCTTAATACATTGTACTCTTCTGTGGATGTAAGTACCAGTATAGTATGACATATTAAAGATCATAAGATCATATGCTTTTTGTGCATTTTTCTTTTCGTTTGAAGCAATAGAATTGCTCAAAATCTGAAGTAGCGTGCACAAATAACCTGTTGAAATTTCATGTCATTGGTTACCAGACTATACATTTTGAGAAAACAGAAAAAAAAAACTTGCACACAATTATTTGGGTCTTGTAACTAGATTCCATTGTTAACACTCGTAAAAAAGTGCACCTGCGGGCACGCTGGATTGAAACCATCAGCAATGGCTTCCAAATGATACCATTTCAGGCAAATAATTCACAGGGTATTTGATGCCAGTCCTATCTTCACTTTGAGCAATGTTTCTGACATTAAATCGGTACCGTAGGTACTTTTCCGAGTGACTGCATACGATCATACATGGATTTAAAGCTTGTGGCTTGAACTCTCTGCCTTCTTCCTTAAAATTATAACGGTGTTGCTATTTTACATTCCCTGTTACTTGTGACTAGACTTTGTGAGTTTTGATGATTCACAATGCAGTGCGCCACCAAGAGTTTGCCATGGAGAGTCAAGTTTTCAAGTTAACATTCGACAAAACACAGCCCATTTTGAATGAGTGTCAGTAGACAACTTGAGCTAATTTGTCGCAGATTGGGGCATAGCATTCTGCCGCCTTACAAAAAACACCATATTGATAAAAAGAAAAGGAAATGGCACACAGATACTTGAATCATACACTTGCGAAATTACTGACCCGAAAAAATAACAATTTCAAACGGACTTGTTGACAATCTCCCACAATGCACTGGGAAATATGAACTCCCCTTGGCAAACTCTTGATGGCGCACTGCATTGTGAATTAGCCGAATTGCTTTGTTATTGACTTATGGCTTCAATCTTAATTCATAATGTTTTTGGTCTATGCTGATTGTAGTTGGCTTTTATTGACTCGATATTTGATTTCTGTTTATTTTGTAGGTGAAAGAGCTCACTGAGTCTCTGGACACGGAGAAAAAACGACGGTCGTCCTACGAGGGGACCATCATCAAACTAAAGACAGTGGTCGATCGGAACAAAAAACTCATCGCTGGTTTTGAGGTTAGTTGTGAGTGCTGATTGAGTGGATCATGAGTTATGAGTAGGAGTAATAAATCAGTAGTTGATGAGAATTAGAAACTCATTGCTGGTCTTGAGGTGAGTTGTGAGTGTTGATCGAGTGGATCATGGGTTGTGAGTAGTGAGTAATGAATCAGAAGTTGATGAGAACCAGAAACTCATTGCTGGTTTAGAGGTGAGTTATGAGTGTTGATTGAGTAGATTATTAGTTGTGAGCATTGAGGAATGAATCTGGAACAAGAAACTCATTGGTGATTTAATGGTGAGGTATGAGTGTTGATTGAGTGGATCATGACTTTTGAGCAGTGAGTTTATGAATCATTGTGAAAAAAATGGTAGAGAGGAACAGAAAACTCACTGCTGGTCTCGATGTGAGTAATGAGTGTTGGTCAAGTGGATCTTGAGTTGTGAGTAGTGAGTAGTAAATCCTCATGAAAACTGTGGTATTCAGGAACAAGAAACTCATCGCTGGTTTAGAGGTGAGTTAAGAGTGTTGATCGAGTGTTTAATGAGTTGTGAGCAGTGAGTAATGAATCATGTATAAAACAGTGGTAGATGGGAACAAGCATCTCATTGTTGGTCTAATGGTGAGTTATAAGAGACCGATTGTATTGTGAGTTATGAGCAGTGAGTTATGATTCCTCGTTGTAAAAACTTGTGGTGAGTTATGAGTGATCAAATGGATCAGAAATTGTGAGCAATGAGTAGTTTACAAACGATTAGTAGGAACAAGAAACTCATTGTTGCTCTTGTGAGTGGCGAGTAATGAATCATCATTCTGAAACAGAGAATTTGAAGATTGTTTGAGTGTTAAGTTATGAGTATTGAATGAGTCCAAAATGAGTTTTGAGTGGTGAGTAATTATGACAGGGAAGAAAGGAAACATTTTCAAGATGATGCCGACAATTTTTTTCATCAAAACTGATTTAATTTGGCAGGATGAAAAGCAAACGTTAACCGAGGAGAAGTCAGCATTACAGATGCGCATCGGCTTCTTAGAGAAAGACCTACAGGAGCTAAAAGAACAAGAAAAGAGCCTTTTGAATCAAACTGTAAGTGCTGTCATTACATCTTATGATCTCTCTAAAAATCAAGTAGTATTGTAGTTTCGCCCAAGATCTGGATTCAGATTTTATTCCCTGAATGCAGCCCGAGTTTTGATGGACTTGAGATAAATCATAAGTAACTCGAATACAAAATTCAATCTAGAAATCTGATGGAATTGTTAATACAACAAAGACTAACCCATATGTCTGGCCCTCTAGTTGTTTTTTTTTATTAACTCGGCAGTTTGCAGCAAATTTATTCATTGTTTTTTGTATTTTATCTTCTAGAATTCCCTAAAATCAGAACAAACCATCATCCAACGACAGGAGAACGAGATCAAAAGCCTCCGGCAGGAAAACGAACAACAAGCGCTGAAGCTGCAACGAACAATGGTTTCCTTGGAAACCGAGAGGAGAAAATGTCTCGAGTTGGGCGAGAAGCTCACATCCACGGAAGAGAAATGGGAGCAGATAGTGCAAAGATACAAAGGGAATGAGAAGGACCTGACTAACAAGGTATGATTGAGAGGAAAAGAGGCGGGGGACCAGACCTGATTTTCATTATATTTTATTTTAATGATTGTGTTTACTGCTTTTATACTCTTTGATGTATATGTCATTCCTTTTATATTGAAAATTTTGATATATTTGTATTTTTTAAAAAATTATTTAATATCCTCTAAGCCTGTAACTGGTGGTTTTACACTGTTTAGCTGTTGATGAAATATATAAAAAATAACTTAAATGAATGAAAGAAATAAAATAACTCAAGTGAATAAAACAAATATAATAAATAAAATAAATAATATAAATAAAATAAATCAAGTAAATAAAATAAAACAAATAAAATATTTTAGATAAATGAAATAAATACATTTATTAATTTAGGTAACTAAATTAAATCAAATATTTAGTAACAAAATAAATGAAGGGGAGGGGTTTGTGGTGCTGAAGGGTGGGTGAGTGATGTAGTTTAGCAAAGAATTTAGTCATAAACATTTGGTTGAATTTAATTCATGGATTTTTTTTAAGGTATACAATTTGTTTGTTTCAGCTGGACAAACTAACGAGGGATCTTGACTTATCCAAGTCGGAGCTGGAAGCAAACCATCAGAGAATCCGTCAGATTCATCAGGAACATGGCAAAGTAAAAACATTCTCTTTGTTGTTTAAGAAACTTGATGTAAGGAAATATAGAATCAATCTAATTTGTGCTCGCTGAGTGTCCTCTTCATACCTATTAACTGATTGACTGCCGCTTTTGAGCTAGGCAGTGCTATTGTATAGGATTACCCTGTAACGTCAACGGATGGGCTAAATCTGGCTCATTGTGTAGACTTCCAGTGAATAGCCAATAAACAGAATTTTGTGCACTCTGGGACCAGCTTTACCAGGCTTGCCCTTTATCTCTGTGGTATTTGACAGTGCTGACATTGTCAGTACATTTACAAATAATTTTAATTTGAATGTAATTTTTTTTGTCAAAAAATTGCACACTCCACAAGTTCCCTATTGAGACATAGCAAAAAAGCATCATGAATTTCTGAGGCAAAGATCAGACCCAGGCCAACCCCCATAGGATTTGTATTGTATGTACATGTATAGCTGCTATTATCACAAGGCCATCAATCATCCTGTCACTAGGCCAGGTCTTGAAGCCTTGGGAAACAGGTGGTCCTCATCCTTTTATAGCTAGATGCATGTAGCCTCAAGCTGTTGTGTTGTGGGGGGGGGGGGGTGGTAAGGCAAGATGCAGGGAGATAAAAGTTGCGGTGCATCTGTCAGATGCCCTTTTTTATGATAACTTTTTTGTTGAAGGCAGTTCATTGTTCCCATCCTTTAAGCAGGTACTTAGAAAATACTTATTACATAAAACTCTAGTGGTCCATAATATTGATAGCTCAATGCAAATTTTAACCGGCGCGCTTTACGTGCAACTTTTGACCTATGCGGCACGCAGTTGCAGCTGGCATGTGTAAATCTTGGTCAAAGAGTTTGAAATATTTTCGGTGAAATGCAGTTTCCAATAATTGAATACTAAATTATCAGGGACAACTCTAAGCTGATACTTACACATTATATTATAAATAAGGCAGCAGTTTAGAGGAATTTTACAGCTAACGCTGTAAAATTTTAAACCGTCTTCAACATGCATCTCCTCCAATAGGTTACAATTCATTGCTATCTAATGTCTTGAAAAACCAAACAGCAAATGGAAGATGTAAAAAACGAATCTCAGATTCTGAAGGAGCAACTCAAGCAGGAGAAAGGTCTCTCTGACCAGGCCGACCGGCACAGAGAAACCATCAAAGAACTAGAAGGCATCGTCGATGAGCTCAAGAAAGACAGAGATGTCTTAGCAAGAGAACTTCAAATCATGATCGGTAAAGAGCAAAAACACAGAGAGTGGATGACGTCAATAGAAGCGGCTGCGGAGGAGACTAAGAGACTTGAGGCGCAGGTTAGATAATGGCATAAACCGAGTTAACCTCTGACCTGCCGTGAAGGATTAATGACACTAAACTACTGGTTAAAACTCTGCCACGTGCTGGTTAAGCACAGCGTGTTGCCAACTGAGTTAACCTCTGACCTGACTTGAAGGTGTGATGACACTAACTACCATTGAAATAACCGCCGAGTGCTGGTTATGCACAATGTGTGGCTAACCAATGTAACCTCTGACCTGCCTTGAAGGTTTAATGACACTAACTAGTGGTTAAAACTCTGCCCAGGCTGGTTAGCACAGCGTGTTACCAACTGAGTTAACCTCTGATCGGCCTTGAAGGTGCGATGACACTAACTATCGTTTAAACAACCGTGAAGTGCTGGTTATGTACAGGTTGGTTGCTAACTGATGTAACCTCTGACCTGCCTTGAAGGTTTAATGACACTAACTAGTGGTTAAAACTCTGCCCAGGCTGGTTATAGCACAGCGTGTTACCAACTGAGTTAACCACTGATCGGCCTTGAAGGTGCGATGACACTAACTACCATTTCCATAACCGCGAAGTGCTGGTTAGGCACAGGTTGGTTGCTAACTGATGTAATCTCTGACCTGCCTTGAAGGTTTAATGACACTAACTAGTGATTAAAACTCTGCCCAGGCTGGTTAACACAGCATGTTGCCAACTGAGTTTAACCTCTGACCGGCTGTGAAGGTGTGATGACACAAACTGCTACTTATAACTACATTTTGTACTGCCAAGTGCTGGTTAGGCATGGGTTCTTGCTAACTGATGTAACCTCTGACCTGCCGTGGAGGTATGATAACACTAACTTCTATTTTAACTACCACCAAGTGCTAGTTAAGTTAGTTAGGCACAACGTGTTGCTAACTGATTTAACTTCTGACCTTCACTGATGATATGCCACTTCAAGTAACTAGCACCAAATCTACTTACACATACAGGGTGTATCATTAAGTGCAATAGTCTCTTTACCAGAACTTACTACTAAAGGTTATACACTAACCACTAAAACTAGTTGCACGTGTTAGGGGCTATAATCTATGAGCCTGGAGTGAAAGACTACATTTTTTACCGACAGGTTTTAACAGCATGTCATTGCATGGAATTTTTTTATAGATTGTCTGAAGCTATAAGTCTAGAGTGAAAGACTAAATTCTCTGATGGCAGGTTTGCACAGTGTGATATTGCGTAGATTTTAAATTTGTTTAATTATTTTATTTTTTTATTTATTGATTTTTTTTCTAAGGTCATGATTTTATCGAACAAACAAACAAACAAACACCCCAAAAATTGTGCATATATTTTCTATGTTTTCTCACAATGTAAATAGTAACTACGGAGCTGAAACTTCAATACATTAGTCGTAATACATTCTTCTTATAATTTTGAGCAATTTTGTTGCTTCAAACGAATGCACAAAAAGGAAATGAAACCCTGTACCGTTACGTCACATTCAACTAAACCGATTTAAGATTTAGCCGTATCTGAACAAAAATTCTGAAAAAGAAGGTCGCTCACCTTTGAATCAGTGTTTGGCTATCCAACCGTCCATTGAAAGCATGTTTCTTCACTTGTAACAGTTGCGTTATTATAGCCACATTCACAGGAAAAAATAAAGATCTACATGTATAACATTGCAACGCCTGCTGTGAGCATTGTAAAAATACACGTGTGTATAAAATGAACCTGTGATAAGTGGATTTCTAATGAATATTTATTATATCAGTGCTACTATGGTAACCATGGTAACAAGTCCAGCAGGTGTTTTGGTCGGCAAACACTTCCTGTCTTTGATCAAAACACTGACACTTTCTCTTCATAAAACTGGCACCCACACACTTCTATTGACTTCACGACTATGCTACAGGTTTAGTAGCATTGAATAGTATGAAAATATTGACTGCTTCAAGTGGTGTAGTATTAAAACTGGCCTCCCGAGGTGATATTGGAGCATTTTGTGGAAAAAACTGAGGGAAATGGAATGCTCCATGGATCACCAAGGGAGGCTAGTAACAGTAGAAGTTAACCCTCCTGCTATTTAAACAGTCACAGACAGTCAGAATTTCCATCTGCTTCCCCTGCTATACTTTTAACACTGGTTAGTCACCAGCAGTCAGATCATATGTCAAGCAAGTACTGTGACTAGTCAAACTCGGTCAACAGATTAAGTAAAATGTAGTCTTACCGTCCTCTTTAACATATTTAATTCGTTTCTCCTGACGAATATGCAAACTGTGTTTTATTTTGAGTGAAAAATGCTATGTCTTTCTAGCATGGATGTTTTCAATCCTCTGAAAATATGCTTGTATTTTGGGTTGTGTCTGCGCCCATAAGGCAGAAACAGACTTGCCTGAATTATTGTCAAGTTGCAGATAATTCATTGAAATAATTCAACAATTTGTACATAATATGCCATAACTAACTATGGGTGGACTTTTTGTTGGATGTCTCATTCAACAGTGAACATCATTTGTGATCAGGCTAAATGAGTCATTTGTCGGGAACTTTCATTTGGAGATTCAGGCCAAAATGGGGCCACTTCATCACATCACTTCATCACATCTCTTGGTGTTCTGACATCCATAATTATTGAACTTGCTGGTACCAGCATGCGGTTTTCACAGCAGTAATGCTAAGATTGTGCTCTTTCCAAATCTGTGGAGAAAAAAAATGACCAGGGTCGACAAACGACTCACTTAGCTTGATCGCATCACATTTGTATTGCTAGAAAAAAAAACAATTTGAGAAACAAAATGTTTTTTTTGGGATAAGAGTCGAAAATATCATGGGGAGTGCCACTTTAAACTATTATCCAACACAAATGTGCTTCGTTTTTCAATATGAAATTAGTTGAAAATCCACCTTGCAAGTTTCCAAACTACCCCTTAATGAAATGAATGAACCCACCTCTTTAGCGCATGGGAACAATACGTGCAAATGTGCACACAGACTGGTTGCTGTAGTGGTTGCTATGGGTATACATTTAGAACTTCTTTTTTTTAGAAAAGGCAGCAGATGTATGGTCTTTTTGGCAGTGCTTGGCAAGACAGTAAAAACAGCAAACACCATGTGGCTCATTCTCGGCCAATCATGAGACAGGATCTGTGTGTGAGGTGTCAGAAAAATGATGTAAATTATTCTGACTCTACAGTCATTTGGCAAGACAGTAAAAACAGTGAATACAATGTGACTCACTCTCGGCCAATCATGAGACAGGATCTGTGTGTGAGGTGTCAGAAAACTGATGTAATTTATTCTGGCTCTACCGTCATTTCTGGTAAAGACGGTTGAAGGAAATTGTATTCATTTCCTCACTGTACAAAAGACTTGTCATCGTTTTGTTTGAAACAAATTTGAGATTTATTTCGCAGGTGAAAATTTGAAAGCGACAGTGCACTGAGACAGGTGGTGTGGCATTGTGCTTCCTTGCTTTTCTGTTATAATTTCCTGGGTTTTGTTACCATAGTACATAAATTTGAAGTGGACCGCTCGTGAGCTGCAGATGAAGTTAAGGAGTGCGGCTTTCATTTATAATTTACTCATCTTCTTCCCTGGTGATTTCTTGCGAGCGCCGATGTGATAGCATTTGGTTTCCAAAATCCAGCGGTTCGAGTTGTGAATTCATCGTCAGGGTTGTCGGAGTTGTTCACGCCTTTTTTGGCGGAATGTGATGCATGAATTGATTGGTTCGGCAAAGAGCAGTCGGAGGCGATGGTGTGGAGTTTAAATTATGAGGTGGGAGGATGGCAGACTCGTCATTAGATGACGAGGTTGTAGTCGATCGCTCGGAGGAGGGGACAGAATCGGAAGAACGGACTGGATTAGAAGAAGGAGTTGTTGAGGATAAGTCGATTGAGAATGAAGATGACGTTCTAGCGGGTGAGATAACTTCAACAGAAGAGGCAGCAGAAGAGAACGTTTCGGGAGAACAGGCAGGATTAGAAGAGAAAGTTGATGATCAGCCGATTGAAAATGATGATGTTCTAGCTGGTAAGATTACTTCAGAAGAAGTAGAAGATACGATTGATTCAGAAGAACAGGCAGTATTAGAAGAGCAAGTTGAGGAGCAGTCGATTGAGAATAAAGATAATGTTCTAGCTGGTACGATTACTTCAGCTGAAGAAGTAGAACACATTGTTTCTGGAGAACAGACGGGCTTAGAAGAAAAAGTTGACGAGGATCAGTTTGTCGAGAATAAAGATGATATTCCAACTGGGAAGATTACTTCAACAGAAGAGACAGCAGAAAAGATTGTTTTGGGAGAACAGACTGGATTAGAAGAGAAAGTTGTTGAGGATCAGTCGTTTGAGAACGAAGATGGTGTTTCAGAAAAAAAGATTGTGTCAACGGACGAGGCAGCATTAGATGAAGAACCTGTGTTAAGAGAAGATTTTGAATTTAAAGAAAACATTGAGGATCAGTCTGAAGAAGAAGAAGATGATGTTCCAGTTGATAAGAAATCTTCAGAGGAACATGCAGCAATAGGGGAAAACGCAGCGGCAGCGGAACATTCTGAATTAGAAAAGAAAACTGGTGAGGAACCATCTGTTGGAGAAGACAAGAGCATTCTTGTGAAGGGAAGTGTTTCTGAGGTACAGTCACCAATAGAGGAAACAATTACATCTGGGGAACAGACCGTCTTGAAGGAGACAGTTTCTGACAATAAGTCCATAGAAGAATTTCCAGTTGAGAATATTGTGTCTGAAGCAACAGCTTCTGTAGAAGAACCGGCATCAGGAAAAGGTGAAAATGTTTCAGAGGAGCACCCTGTTGAGCAGTTTGTATTGAATGAACAATTTAAGGACCAATATCTCGGCAAAGAAGGAAACATTTCTCTGGAAAAAGTTGCGGTTGAGGGAGAAAGTGTTTCAGTTGAAGACATTTCTGAAGAACACATTTCTGAGGAGCTAACTGATGTGAAGGAATGCCAACCAACAGTGTTGGAGCAAAATTCAGACGCAAAATCTCAAAAACAATCTCCTTTTGAAAGCTCGGATTTGGAAGAAAAACCTGGTGCAGAATTCGTCCCAAATTTGGAAGAAAAATGTGTTTCTGGAAAAGATACTGGCGTTTGCTCATTGGAAAATAATGCTTTGAATAAGCAAATTATTTTGGAAGATAGTGACATTTTGAAAGAAGACTTAAACTCGGATTTGGGGAAAGATAAAGAAATTGGGGGAAAAACAGGCGAAGTATCCAAGGAAGAGGCTACTGTTGATGAAAGAAAGAACATTGTTGAAGACGTGGCATTAAACGGAAAGACTATTTCGGGACAAAAGGTTACAGAAGAACACGCTGTAACTAACAAGGAGGAAATTGTGGACAAAGAGGTTGTCGAAGAGAAGGCTGCTTCGGAAAGAAATTCTTTGGAACAAGCTAAAGGTTTAAACCGACTGAGTGCCACTGAGAAAGATACCAATTCAATTTCGGACCTAAAAGAGAAAGGTTTTGGAGAACAGAGATTAACACAGAAGGGAGATTTTGGGGAAGAAGCTTTGAAGGAAAATCTTGGCGTGGAGGCAACTGATTCAAAACAAACTGGTCACTCAGAGAAACTGACCGCTTCAGATAAAGGTACTGCATCTAAGGAAAAGGTGTCTGCGCAAGTGAAGTTCACTTCAGGGGAAACTCGTTTTCGGGAGGAAAACACTGCATTTGGTGAACCGACGAGTCACAGAGAAAATACTTCGTGTGTTCATGCATTGGCTGAGCGGACCATTCTGGAGAAACTTACATCATTGTTAGAACAGGTTTGACATTTGAAATTTTGAAAACCTCTTCATTGCAAAGATTGGGGACAAAAGAAACACAGCCAGAATGGCAAGTTATTAATTTCCACTGAAATTAATTAATGCTGTTCCCTAACGTTTTCCATTGAATTTCAATTTTTGCACTCTTCCCGAGTCTGTTTTAATCCTTGTATTTGAATTGGAAGACTGCAGTGGTTTAACATTTCGATACAGTGTCTTTTAACACAATTATAGTTTTGTTGTCCAGTGGTTAAAGGGAAAATACAACATTTGCAAACATCAAAAAACGAAATGATCACATTACCACGAAATACCTTACTGAATTGTTAGGGACGGACAGTCTGAAGCATCCTTTAAAATCGTGGTTCCTGGTGGGCTGACATTTTCAAGACAAACTGTATTTTTCTACAATTGCCTCTGTCCACCCAGGAGTAAAAATGGGTACATGTGAAGGTAGAGACCAGATTGTGCTGATCTTGAGCTGCTGCAGAAAACTGTACATGGCTTCAAACACTGACAGGAAACATGATGCTTGTGTTCTTGGGCGAGACACTTTACTACAATTGCTTCTCTCCTAGAAGTATAAATGGATACCTTAAGGGTATAGACCATATTGCAACGAGTTTGCTTTACTGCAAAGAAAATTGTATATGGCTTCAAACACTGATAGGAAACATGTTGCTGGTGTTCTTGGGCAAGACACTTTATTACAATCGCCTCCCTCCACCCAGGAGTATACATGGGTACCTGTGATTGTGCTGATCTCAAGCTGCTGCAGAAAACTTTTCTCATGACCTGATGAATAGGTGGTAATGGTGTGAAGTGTTCTGGTCTAAAGTGCCATATAAGTGCCTTTTTGACTTTTTTTATTCATTAATTTATGTTTTGTAGCTGGAGAACAGTGTGATGAAACAAAGCAGTCTTGTGGAGGAACTCAGTGAAGAAAAAAGGAGAAGTCAAAGTAAGTCCCCCCCCCCCCCCAAAAAAAAAAAAATCTGGGGGTAGATTTCACTTCAACTTTGTCCCTTAAAGTTGTCAGAACGGATGTATGAAATAGTCATGAAATTTAAAATAGGGTTTTGTCAGTTGAAAAGTATTTATATGAGTTAATATTTTACATTTTTAAGCAGCATTTGTCTTGGACACTGCAGGGTTTTTTCATTTGTCTTAGAGTATGTGATTTGTGTTTTAAAAGCTTATTAGAAAACTTTTTTGGTAAAAATTTCTGATTATTTACAATTATTTACAAAATTTCTGATTATTTAAAATTAACTAGACATAAACTTTTGTGTGTGTTTTACTCAACTTTTGTATTAAGAGGAGTGCTGCTCACATTCATTATGCTCAGCAATGTGCAGTTGTGACCGAGGCTCTATGCTTTCTATAACCAGATTTTTTTTGGCAACACAATTTGTGTTAACGAGAGTTAATAAAATATTTTTGTTGATAGAATTACAAGACCAGCTGAATTTTAGCCAAGAAACATTGAAGATTGCAGAGGAGTCTACCGATCATCTCAAGGAGAGTATTGGACGCAAGTCAGCTGAGCTGGTCAAGCAATACGATTGGTCAAAGGAGAGTCAGGTGAGTTGGTCAAGCAATGTGACTGGTCAAATGAGAGTCAGGTGATTTTGTCAAGCAATACGATTGGTCAAAGGAGAGTCAGGTGAGTTGGCCAAGCGTTAGATTGGTCAAAGGAGAATCATGTGATTTTGTCAAGCAATATGATTGGTCGAGGGGGACTCATTGCTAAACTTGAAATCTTCCTTGTTTTCTAGATGAAACTTGAGAGCAAGGTGAAGTCGCTTGAGAGAGAGTTGGACGAGGCGAGGTCGGGGACGCAGCGAGACAAGACGGAGGTTTCTTGGAAACTGGAGAGAGAAGAGAAGAGAGTGAAGGAGCTGGAAGACATGCTCGCAGAGAAGAAAGAGGTAAGATGATGAAGCATAAGAAGGTTTCACAGATAACTTGTGTCCATCACAAGAACCTTGTGATCCATCGCAAGAACCTTGTGATCCATCACAGACATCTTGTGATTCATCGCAAGCATCTTGTGATCCATCGCAAGCATCTTGTGATCCATCGCAAGCATCTTGTGATCCATCGCAAGCATCTTGTGATTCATCGCAAGCATCTTATGATCCATCACAAGCATTTTATGATCCATCACAAGCACCTTCTGATCCATCGCAAGCATCTTGTGATCCATAACAGATACCTTGTGATCAATCACAAGCACCTTCTGATCCATCACAAGTACTATCGTGAATAAAACATTGGTGTGTGATATGACATATTTTTTTTTTTTTTTTAAGGAATTGGCCGAAGTACGACGTGAATCAGGGAGGTTGTTGCTGAATCAAAGCCGAGCTGAGGAGAGAGTTCAAGAAGAAGCAAGATTCAGGACGGATGTAGAACAAAGGAATAAAGTCCTGGAAGAAGAAATGACCAAGGTATAGCGGGAAGCACACCCTGATATTTCCGGCCTCACTTGCTGCGAGCGGGTCGCAGACAGATATTTCCGGCCTCGCTCGTTACGTGTTTAATCATCATCCCCTTGAATATTCCGCAACACCTTTGCGTGTCTGTCTGTCTGTCGTGCTGGCTGTCTGTCTGTCTGTGTATACACGCCATTTGCCATGAACTGGTTAAGAGTACGGACAGTAAATCTTTAAACTGAAAGGAAGTGTCCTATTTTTATTGGCTACAGGTGAAAATAGGAAGCCTGGATTTAGCCACTTCCATAGCCACATAAGTAATTGCTAGCCATAGTTATGTAATTCGAATGCGGCTTCAATTTATGTTGATCGTAGTTTTTTTTATAAGATTGCATTTGCGTCAGGGAAATGTAAATTTTACATTAGGTTTTGCCCTTGGCCATAGTATTTTTATAAAAGTGTTTTCAAGGGCTTGCAAGATCAAATTCACAAGGTCACGCAGGTGGGACTCGAACCCACGACCTCCTGCTTACTAGTGTAGACGTCTTACCACTTGACCACTGAGCTGGCCAGGTTAGGTTGTCGATCCTCGGATTGTTTCAGAAAGTTAAGTTGTTCCTGCTGGTCTGTAAGTTTGTTGGTGTTATTTTCAGCAATGGACACAGCTGAAGGACCTGATGGCCAGACTAACATCCAGTGAATCCGCCAAACAGGAACTAGAAGCACAGCTTGAGAAGGTGGGTATACGCATTGTGCATTGTTGCTAGAGGGCGCTATTCCCTTGCCTGTCTAACCGTAGACATCTTAAAAAGCGTAGACTTGACATTTTTATGGTTTAATGTTCTCTGACTACAAAACGCCGTGTCCTGTAACCGCCATGTTACGCGAACGCTCCTTTTGATCTTAAAATACGAACGTCATGTGACTTCCCTTGCGCAGTGGATGGTTCCAAGAACGCAGCAGTTTGTGGTCAGAACAGTCCGGTGAATGTCAGGATTACATTTTTTTGTTAAGATGTCTTACATGTCTAACATCATTCTGAAATAACTGGGAATATAAAGGTATTAAATACTAATTCTCTTTTTATTCAAATGTCTTTCTCATAACTTCAGATGTTCTTTCTGAGGAATAGGTTTCAATTAATTGCAATGTACATTTAAATGTCAATGATTTTATTCAAACTATTTTTAAGTGTGCATGTGGTATCTGCATTCATTTTGCTTCTTGCTTTCTGAAAACATGTATAATGTCATTTCCAATTCAGTCAATTCAGTTAATTTATAGTTAATTATTATCAAAATGCTCACTTAGATTAAAGATCGTAATGGTGTAAACACCCCGTGAAATCATACCATCTGGCTTGCTGTCATTTAGAAGAAATCAAGAAATGCAGGTGATTTCCAACGATCAGTCAATTGACCGATCGTTAGAAATAAAGAGTGCTATAGACGAAATTGTGTTTCGTGATCAAAAGGTTGTGCATAGTTTTTCACTGTTTTCTCAAGGTGTAATACCCACTGAGCTGAAACTTTAATAGGTTAGGTTTTGAACATTCTTCTTTAGATTTTGAGTGGTGTTATTATTGGAAACGAACAAAATTCATGAAAAGCAAATGTTCCTATATGCCTTTAATTCTCTTACTAATTCATATGCATGATAGATTCTGACACGGTTTTCTCTGAGTAACTGCATGTATTTCAGAAACTCACTGAATTTTTAACCCTGCTTCTAACCATCAATAACGCAGTCATAACCTTTGACCTTTAGCAAACTAACGAGACGCGACAACGCTACAGCGAGATACAGCAGGTGCAGGCTGAAACCAACGCAACCACAAGCACGCTCAGTGTGGTGCAGCAACGAGCGCAGGCCGCCGAACGCAAGGTGCTGGTCATTAACTCATTGCAATGACTAACTTAACTAATCTGATAATCACAGAGTATGTTAACCATTAGTATATGAATATGCTTAGTATATGCATGACTTCTATCGCCCTACTGACTTTTTGTCTAGAATAAGTATGGTGTAGTTGTAAAATTAATTAAGCTGTAACAGCATCCATATCTTTAACCCATTATTACCCTCTACCGGCCCAAACTGCCTTGCCTGTTTCTCATGCACCGCCCCAAACTATCCAAGCACTCTTTACTTTTATGGATTCATCATGAAATGTCATACAATGTCATACAATGTCATATAATGTCATACAATGTCATACAATGTCATACAATGTCATGTCATACAATGTCATGTCATACAATGTCATACAATGTCATGTCATACAATGTCATACAATGTCATGTCATACAATGTCATACAATGTCATGTCATACAATGTCATACAATGTAGTACAGGTGCTGATGGGCTTATCTAACTTGCTTGAGAGTATTCTAGATGTTTTTCTTATCCTGTCCGACAGTGACTTGGTCACATGACCGTCATGTGACTTCTTTTCAATTTTGAATGTAGATTCCAGAGTTGCAGCAACAGCTTGATGAGAAGTCGCTTCGCTTACAGGCCACCGAGGCTCAGCTTAGAGACTTGACAGCCACTAAGATAGACCTGCGGACTTGTAAGGACGATATCAACAGATTGAAGGCACAGCTGCACGAAGAAAGGATTGAAAAGTAAGCTATGAAATATATTATCCTCACTCTTGAAATTTTTTTTTTTTTTCCCGCACAAATTTTGACCTTCATATGATTTATTTTTACATAAAAAACAGCTTTTGCATTGCTTTTGCACACAGATCTGCCCTTGGTGTAGACCGGTTCCCAGTGCCTCTATTACCAATCTTGATAGTGGTGGAACCCTCTTTCAGCAAAACAAAAACATTTCACATCCATGGACAGAACTTTAAAACGGTGGTTGTGTTCAAAATTCCGTAACTTAAAAAGTACATGAGTGATTTGAATGATTCTTGTATTAAAGAAAGCTTATTAATTGGGCTTTCATATCCTAGATTTTGAAAGTGCTACTAGCAGAACTTTATTCAGAAAATGGTCCTGCCATTTGGGTTTCCTTTTTGTTTTACTCACGCTGTATAGATGTTTATTGTTACAATATGATAAACCATTACTACTTGGCTGTAAAATGTACGTTTGTATGCTCTCAATCAAAATTGCATTAACTCTGATAACATTGTTAACATTTTCAGAATAATTAATTTAATCATTCTTCTTGGCTTTTAGGTCATTATTGAACCAACAACTTGAAGATGCCAAGCAACAAGCGGCTGCATGCATCGATCGCGAAGAAAGACTACGACATGAAAACGCTGACATGAAACACAGATTGCTAGAAACTCAGAGTAGACTGTATGCAACAGAAGACAAGTCCAAGTCTGTTGAAGATATGGTAAGTCATTCAGAGACTGTGGGGGCGGGGTTTAGAACAAGCCCCGCGTCTTATTAGCATACCAAAGTAGACAAGTCCAAGTCTGTTGAAGATATGGTAAGTCATTCAGAGACTGTGGGGCGGGGTTTAGATCGAGCCCCGCCCCTCATTAGCATACCAAAGTAGACAAGTCTGTGTCTGTTGAAGATATGGAGTCAGTGAGAGACTGGGGGGTGGGATTTAGATCAAGCCCCACCCCTCTTTAGCATACAAAAGTAGACAAGTTGAAGATAATTATGGTAAGTCAATGAGAAACTGTGGGGGGGGGGGGGGGGTTAGATCAAGCCCCGCCCCTCATTAGCATGCCAAAGTAGACAAGTCTGTGTTTGTTGTAGATAGGGTAAGTCGATGAGAGACTTTTTGGGGCGGCATTTAGATCAATCCCTGCCCCTCATTAGCATACAAAAGTAGATAAGTCTGTGTTTGTTGGAGATGTGGTAAGTCCATGAGAGACTCTGGAGGCGGGATTTAGTCAAGCTCTGCCCCTCATTAACATACCAAGATTACTGGAAGCATAAAACAAGCTGTATGCCATAGAAGAAAAGTCTGTTAATCGGTGGAAGATATGATGAAGTCAATGAGAGAGTCTAGAGGCGGGATTTAAATCAAGCCCTGCCCCTCATTAGTACCAAGATTGCTGGAAACATGAAAAAGCTACATGCTACATTAGACAAGTCCAAGGCTGTTGAAGATCTTTTATGCAAATAAACGACTTCAGGGGTGGGATTAAAATTAAGCCTCGCCATGTAACAATTCCATTTTGGGATTATAAATAAACATGTATCCAACGTTATTGAAGCAAGTTGACATGTTGCTACAATTCAAAATGTTCGCTTTTACAGTCTTCAATTTTTAGATTCAAATAAAGGTACTAAACCGCTTTAATAAACAAGATTTTTTTAGTGTTGTGTATCAAGATAATGGGCCTTTGTTCATTCAAAATTATGGCCCATTAATATCTTGTTTTGTTCATTTTGTAGCACTCGTTAGCGGAGCAAGGCAAGAAATCCCTGTTTGATCAAGTGTCCTCACTGCAGCAGGAAGTCCAACGTCTTCAGACGGAACTCGTGCAGACGTCGCAACGACTCGACGCACAGATCAACAAATACGACGAACATAAGTTGCATCATAAAAACAAGATACAGCAAGCTAGGTAAGAGTAAAGTACAGACAGTGAATCATTTTCTTTCGCCTCTAAGGCATATAGGTTCACTTGCATTTATGCCAAAATAACCTACCAAGTTATTATCAAAAAAGCTTACTTGGATTAAAGATCGTACTGGTACTAAACACCCCGTGAAATTATTCAATCTGGCTTGCTATCATTTAGAAGAAATCAAGAAGTGTAGGTGATTTCCAATGATCTGTCGATTGAATGGCTTTTGGAAATACAGATTGCTATTGACGAAATTGTGTTTCGTGATCAAACGGTTGTGTATGGTTATTCACTGTTTTGTCGAAAACTGTAATATCCACTGAGCTGAAATTTCAACAGGTTAGGTTCGAACATTCGTCTTTAGATTTTGAGTGGTGTTATTATTGGAAACGAACAAAATGCATGAAAAGTAAGTGATCCTGCTTTTAATCATTGCAAACTTGTACAAAATCCATTTATTGGCTATTTACTTAAATCCTTTTGAACAGGGAGATTTTTACAAGGCACAAGACAGTCTTAGCCGACAGCTTGATGAAGTTACAGCAGGATCTGAATACAACGAACGCCGAGTTGCAGAAAGAACAGAACAACCGCGAGAACTTGCAGAAGAAACACGACAGCTTGTTAGAAGAACATCGCAAACTCCTTGCCACGTAAGAAATGCTATAAAATTCCCGAAATGTATTCCGCTTTGAAATTTCTTGATGTCTGTCTTTCTTTAATAATAAAAAAAAAAGGCAAGCGTAGTTGAGCTTGTCCCAACGGACACTAAATTGTGTTCAATTGATTCAGAATAGCTTTTCACAGGAGGTCTTTATGTGACACAATGGTCCGGATTCATAATAATATCGTATTAGTGTCGCGCTTATATAGAGCTTTGTACCATTGAAGGTTTTAAAGCCTTTCACAGTTATTACCCCTGTTCATCAGGCCATGAGACCATTTTTTACTGCAGCAGCTCGAGATCAGCGCAATCTGGTCTCTACCTTCACAGGTACCCATTGATACTCCTGGGTGAAAAGAGGCGATTTGAGTAAAGTGTCTTGCCCAAGAACAAAAGCGCTGTGTTTCCCCGCCAGGGTTTGTACCGTGGCACACGAATAGAACACCGTAACCATTGGACCGAGGTTCTCTACAAGTGACAGTCAGTCCAACCTCCACGTACGTCAGTGAAATATGACACCAGTGTCAACTTGGTCTGAGCGTGCGCACATAAATTATGATAATGGCCACCCGAAATCCCGCGGGAGAACGCTGTACGCACGCGTTTGTGACGTCACTACGCAAAAACGCGCACGAACTTTCCACGCGTAAAAACGAACCTCAAAAGTTCTGCTTTATCATTCCAAAAATGTTTTTTTCCAGCAAATTTGCCTTGGCTGACCTAGTAGTCCATTAATTATTGTAATTTTTCCATTTTATGAGAACTGAGCTAATATTTTTTGCACTCAACCAGAAGTTGATCTCGTTCGCGTATTTCACGCTTTTCATGAGAAGCTTGCGTGTAATTGTATAGGGAACTTACCTGCGTGCTAAAGCATAGGCAGATTCACGAGTGTTTAAGCAGTTCCGTGAAATTTTTTATTGTTGCACCTGGTAGACTGTTAAATTACAAGATAATCCATTATTTATGAAAAGTAGCAATGGTATTCAGTAGACCTATTCCTTATTTAAATTATTATAATTATTTCATTGAATTTTCTCTTTCCATCCCTTTCTTTTTGAAAGCCCTAGTTTCAATTTCAGTTTTAAACACCGACCAGTTTTAGTGTTTTGCTTTTTGTTCTTTCAACAAAATAATTTGTTAAAAAAAACACTTTTATTCGAAAATCACTAGAATGAAAAATTAAATCCTTGCTGCAATCCTAATTTCGAATCCAATATAACAGCCGATGTTACTAGACCCAAGCATTTTTGTCTTATAACCATACTGCAATTTTTGTTCACTACATGTATACTGCAATATCAATTAAATCAGGAGATATTTTGTCTAAATAAACAATTAAAGTCTCTAGTTTCGCATTGGCTTGATGATACATGTACTTGGTTGTCAGCAGAAGCCATGTAATTCTATTCTAAGACTAAGTCGGTAAACTTACTTTTGATTTCTTCTGACTACTTCTGAGTACATTTGTTAATGGTTACATTTCTGTGTAATGCATGTCTAGTCTCCATTATTAAAATAATTAAAAATCTTTAAAGTATATTAAATAAAAGGATTTTTTTAATTCAGTTCAAGTCTGGCCATAGTTTTATTCTTCACAGAGTTCTTCATCATGTCTCGTAATGTAGATTCCAAGGTCTGCATCGTCATCAGAAGGAACGACAATCAAAACATCTCCATTTACAGCTGCAAAAAAAATGGAAAAGGAAATAAAGCAAGATTAAAAAATGCAAAACGCAACATTAAAAAGTCTAAAAAATATATGACACAAAAATACATTGGAAGAAGGAATAGCCAAGTCATAATCACAAAATTTAATTTGAAATTGAACCAGTTTTCATATTTAATGCACATAACCAAATCCCTGTTTACCCGCATATTACACCCAAAACTCGACTCCAAAGCGGTGCCTGTCACAAGCGATGTTTGTGGTGGGGTTTCGAGCTCGAACTCCCGGCACGGGTGGCCGGCGATGACCGCGTGATGCCGCCGAATGGTGTCAGATTTCTTCCCACGAGCATGACGAGTGCGGGCATGCAATGCCTGCCATGTCCTTTATAACGTGGTGTGAATGGAGATCGGAGGTTTCTTGACTTCGACGAGACATAAGCAGTACAGAATCTTCGTTTTTACTGCAAGATTCAGCATTTTGGAACTCGTTTAGCAGCTTCCCAGTGTGCATTTCTTGATGCTCAACGCGTGTCACATGCGTTTTCAAGCCGAAATGTCGCCAAAAATGTGATATTCAAGGACGAAAATTCACGAAAAAAAAAATATTAGCTCGGTTCCCACATAGAAAACAATGAAGATTACACCCTCGTTCACTACTTTTCAGAAGTTAAAATTCCGTAAAAAAAACACTTTTAGAAATATGCCCTTTTTTGATGAGATATCAAGAAAAAAGTTAAATTTTCATGCAAAATCATCCCAAAATTCAAACTTGGATAAAATTAGTTTACAAAATGATATTTTCATAATTTAAAAAGTATTTATCATTTTGATGAAGCCTCCTTACCAACCGGGGTGCTTAGAAACCGTCAGAGGCGATGTCATCGCTGATATGGGGTGGTTTAATTGGTGAGTTTTCGCGCTGATAAATAAATGAATATTCATGAACCGATAATTAGGAGCACGTACGCGCGCGTACGCCCGCCATTTTTAAAAAAATACGCGCACGCGCAAACCGTTTTGCGCGGAATAAGATACGTGCCTCGTCCCCAACCTTGTTTCCAATAGTAAGCCCTGGATAGGAAACTTTCTTCCTGTATCTTGATTCGATACTGCAATTGGCTAGTAATGGATTTATATCGTGTACTTTGTGTTTTTATTTCCAACATGCATTACGTGTTTTCATGATCATTGTAAAAAAAATACTCCTTTCCTTGCAATTTGCTCATATTAATATGAAATGTCATACTGCATATTGGCGGGATAAGATTTTCAGATTTTTAATTCAAAAACAATCGTGATTTCGTACTCACGGCGCGATGAATTGATTCTATTTTTACCCCAGACACTGCATACAAAAACAGACGCTAATGTAACACACAGGCAGGCACCAGATTATTCCTCATTTGCATACTTGTTCAAAAATCTTGCACATGCAAATGGTCCAATACCAGGGTGAGAGAGCAGGTAGTGGTGGGCACGTACTGCTCGACACCCTGGGGACGAGGTTGCAGCCAGCTCAGGTCATGTCAGGTCAGCTCAGGTCAGGTCAGGTCAGGTCGGGTCGGGTCAGGTATTTAGAGGACACAAGGCTGGCCCTCTGGGACCAGCAAAAATGATATAATAGATTTTTTTTTTATTATTTGTTTTATGAGGGTGTTTCATTTTCTGTTTTTTTGTTTTGTTGTATCTCCAGACATTCCGATACAGAGGAGGCGGTCCGAGACCAGAACCGCAACGTCAGCACCATGGACTACCGAGTCAAGTACTTGGAACGAGAAAACGGCGTCCTGCAAAACCGCATCGACACGCTGAGCAGACAACGGGTCGCCATGGAAAAACTCATCAGGGAATACCGGCTGGAAAAACAGAAACAGGTGAGAAATAACAGATGTTAGTTGCTATGGCGATTGGTAATGGCTGCTATGGAAATTGTAGCTGTTGCTATGGTTGTTGCTATGGGCTGAATGAATGTAGCTATTGTACAGTGTAATTGTGCCGTCTAATTCTTTGGCTTTCTACTTGGTTTTTGCCTTTTAACGTAAAATTCATGAAAATACTGCCCAAATTTTCTGCTGTATTAATCGGTAGTGCTGCTGTTTTATTAGAGGAGCTGTATGTGAAATATACAGATATCTGCTTGTAAGTGTACCTTTTTTAGCAATTCGCGATTTAATTTTCTTTTCCAATTTTTGGCCTTATTTTATCCTTATGGCATTTTAAACCCTGTACCATATTTTTTTCTTAAGAGCATTTGCATCTTAAAGCCATGTAGGATCATTGCCTTATCCAGAAAAGTACCAGCTACGTTAATGACAGAAACCTTTCACAAAGTGAAGATAGGACTGGTATCAAATACCCTGTGAAAATATTCTGCCTGAAATGGTATCGTTTGAAAATAAACATTCATTGAAGATGGTTTGAAAAAGTGTGCCTGTGGGCACATTTCTTTATACAGCCTTCATGAGTCAGTCTGTGATGTTGTTTGAAGTTGGTCAGCAAGTGTCGATCAGTAATAAAGATCACGGTCAATGCTTACCGCCTGAATAAGAATTGTGTCCCGATTGCTGATTTAGGGATTGTATACTCTGGAAATTTACGAGGTGAAAACAAATTGTGCATAGATTTTCTGTTTTTGTCAAAATGTGTAGTATCTACTGAACTGTAACTACAACACTTTTGTTGTTCAACGTTCTTCCTATTTTTAGTAATTTTGTCGCTTCGAGCAAGAAAAGCAAATGGTCCTACATGCCTTTATGCATTGCCTTATTTAGTTTCTTTAATTTTGCACACAGTAATGCTTTGCATTTGTTCCCTTCGTGTCAATATTTAAGTTGCTTTTTTTTCTTGCTTCCTTTTGCTTCTTGTCTGTGACCTGCTTTGCTACCCTGTCTGTCACCCTATGCGCCTGTCTGTCTGTCTGTGCATCTGGCTGGGTGTCTGTCTGTAGGAGATTGACAAGTCGTTGTTAGTGTCGTCTTCTGGAGGAGTTATGTTTCCTTCGTCGCCACTTAGTACATTAAATTCCACCGTTCCTAAAACCACCTTAACCAGTGGTCTTGGGTTGTCGCAAAGGTAAGTAAGGGTGTGCATTTTAAAACAAAATTTAAGTATTCAATTATTACAACTTCAACTTGATCGAATATTCAAATATTCAATTTCAAAATGCACTGATCAAGTGAAACATGTGCAAGCTTGAACTAGCTTGAACTAATCGGGATTTGCATGCGCCTGCGATGACGAATATTGGCAAAGAGCTTATTAAAATAATACAAAGAAATAGGCAGCTGAATGGCTGACATTTAACCGATTTTAAAGAAGAAATTTGACCCAATTTTCCTCACGGAAGCTCACACATCATGTGTGAAAGTGGCCTTCAACAAAATGGTGGCATTTGATGAACAATAAAACCATGCAACTTAAAAACACATTGAAGACATTTTTTATCATCGAGACCGCTTAATTTTTTTTCCAAATATTTGAATAAAAAAAAAATGCTATGCTGATATTCCACTGATCGAGCATTCAAATATGTGTTATATTTTTGCAAACAAGAAGATGATGATTGAAAAGCATTGGTGAGGTATTGTGCACATTAAGAATGCAATTAGATGTGTGTTCTTCACGCCATATGCATAAAAACAGAAATTACATTTTTGCTCAAAAATAAGGCCTATTTTGAATATATTTGTTCGCATTTCTTTGCAGCCCGAGCTACATTTCAACCCATGACCTCCGCAACACCAACAACGGTCACTCACTGCGATCCAGTCTGCCGGGAACGAGGACATCAGGGTACGGTCACAGTCCCACCAATCGAGAGTTGTTACGGAGTCCGGAATTGAGTAATACGCAGAGCTCGGATGAGTCCTGAGTCATTCTTCATCTCGCATGAGTCATTGTCATGATATGAGTTATGGTTACTGGCCACTGGTAGCCCTACAAACCGCGAGTTACATGTATTACGGAGTCTAAGTTGAGTAACATGCAGAGCCTAGATGAGTCCTGAGTAATTTATTCTCTTGTGAGTCATCGTCAGGATATGAGCGCAATGGTCACTTGCCACTCGTAGTCCTACAAACCGCGAGTTATTACAGAGTCTAAGTTGAGTAACATGCAGAGCTCGGATGAGTCCTGAGTAATTTTTTCTCTCATGAGTCACAGTCATGATATGAGCTCACTGGTTACTCGCCACTCGTATTCCTAAAAACCGCGAGTTATCACGTAGCCCAGCATTGAGTAATACACAGAACTCAGATGAATCTTTTGTAACTGTTCATCACTCATGAGTCAGTGTCATCATGTGGGCTCAATGGTTACTCACTACTCATAGTTGTACAAACTGTTGAGTTATACATGATTCCAAAGTTGAGTAATACACAGAACTCGGAAGAGAAACTGTCATGATACAAGCACTGTGGTTACTCACTACTCATAGTTATGCAAACCGTGAGTTATTACAGAGTCAAAATTTGAGTACTACACAGCTCAGATGAGTCTTGAGTAATTAATCATCTTGCACAAGTCAGTGTAATGTGAATTGTATTGTTACTCACTATTCGTAGTTCCACAAACAGTGAGATATTACGGAGTTCGGAAACGAGTTATATACAGAGTCCAGGTTGATTAGAGTAACTGTTCATCTCTCATGAGTCAGTGTTATTGAGCTCACTGATTACTCACTACTCAGTCTAAAAACTTGAGGTATTACAAAGTCCAGAATTGAGTAAAACACGAACTCATGAGACTGAGCCATTCTTCATCCTACATGAGTCAGTGTTGTATAAGCTCCATGGTTACTCACTACTCATTCCAATCCTGAGTAACATTCTTTAATGAGTCACTGTCATGATATGAGTGCTACGGTTACTCGCTACTCGTCTGACAACGACTACGAGTAGGATAGTACTGAGTCACAAAGAACTCGGATGAATTCTGAGTAACTTTATTTTCTCATGAGTCATTGTCACTGGTTACTCATAATTCAGTTATTATGTAGCTCAGAATTGAGTAATTCTCATGATTCAATTCAATAAAATGGCGTGTTTAAGCAATAAAATCCTTCACTCAAATGTAAATTATACAGTATTCAATATTTTGAAGAGTAATTGTTTTAATATGAAAAATGACCATCAAATGGCTGATATTTGTACTGAGTTTTAAGTGCCTAGTATCGAGTTGAGTACTAAGTGTGCCTACAGACATTTTAAAGTTGGAATATTGTATCTTGTATTTTTCTGTAAGCGTAATTCATAGAAAAGTGTGTGTGTTATTGAAACCTTACAAATAAAGAATAATAACTAAGGGTGTGCATCGGAACCGGTTTTAATACCCGAGTACCCGACCGCTGATGTCAGGAACCGGTTCCAGATTATGGGATCGGGTACCAGTAACCAACTTTACAACTCAGTAACTTCTCAGACAATGAAAAAGAAAGGTTTTGAATGTCATTTATGGGAATTTTCAAAAATACAAACCAGGCTACATGGAAAACTGAAACAGTTTCTCATTTTTGTGCATTTTAACGCGCGACAGATGACGCTCGCAAAAATTGCAGTTTACACCGTAAAGCTATACAGCCTTTTAGACAACTTCCGGGATTTGAATTTTAGGGTTTGGGTTTCTTTTACGGATATCCGGATATCCGTGTGTTACTTCAATCGGGTACCCGGTTCCCATAATACCCGGAAATGCACACCACTAATAATAATAGAGTGCTATTATTTAATTTAGAGTGTTTTGTGTGTGTTTTTATGAAAAGTATGTTTTTAAGCTGTTGTTCATATGCTGTGATGTGGTTCGAGTCATATGACCAATGTATAATATTTATATTTATATGTGTGCTACTTTTTTTTACTTATTGCGTGTAATACTCGATGTGTTCTATGAAATGTACTACGCTGAATTTTCACGCAGAAAACTTCGTTTCGTGAATCTTAAAGTTTCCTTTTTGTTATGTTTAAGTTTTTGGACAGATATAATTAGTCATAATCAACTATGATGCACAAAAAATATGCAAGAATTGTGAACCTTACTTGAGGCTCATTTAAAGTGGTTAAATTTAGTTCATCCGGTTTTGTTTTTTACCGATTGAGTAACAAATTGAGGAATTTGTATGCACGTAACAATACAATGCAAACATGTCTAGAAGTGTCATATTGTTGAGGATGCCATTTTAGGTATAAACATACAGGAATCCAAGGGTATATTGCTGTTAATTGTCATGCTGCCACATTTCAAAAATTACATTTTTACAATTTTTAATTTGTAAATTTTGATGTAAAGTTACTAAACTGCTTCAGTAAAGAAAGAAGTACTTGTCTGTACCTAGATGTTAAAGCGCCCCCGTTTGCTGAAAAATATGATGTATAGACGCGTTGCGTGTGTATCGGAGGGTTTTCCAAGTTATATCAATTTTAGGCCAAAAACAAAAATAAGTCGGTCTCTGGTCAGCGCGCGCGTCGATTTTAATCATGCGCGTCGATCTTTTTTTTTTTCCAAAATGTTCCGCGGTAGCTCCAACAGCGCCCTCTATTTCAGCACCTCAATTTTTTTTACCAAAGGGCACCAAGGAATGGGAAATTGCACCAAGGCAAATGATCGAAAGCACCAAGGCAAATGATCGAAAGCACCAAGGCAAATGATCGAAAGCACCAAGGCAAATTATGGAGGACACCAATGTACATGAGGACACCAAAAAAGCAAAATAGTACCCACCTTGTCTGTACAATCCAAGCTTGAAGAAAAAAAAAAAAGCCGCGTGGCCGCGTCAATTCCGGAACTTTGGTCTGACCAGAAACCGAATATTTTTTTTTTTTTGCCTTACAGTGAATGCATAAAAGCTTTACTCATGCCTGACCAAGCAATACTAAACCACTGCCCTCCGACTCTGACTCCAATGCAAAGGGTCTATTTATCGGCTTTCAGTAAATAGAGGGCGCTATTCTGGTCTAATGCATCAGCCTGTTGCATTTAACAGAAACTACAGTGACCAAAAGCATAAAGGCTGAAATATAGAACATTATGGAATCGAGTTTTTTGTAATTCCCTCGATATTTTCAACTGAAACGTTTCTCAGGTTTTTGACCATTTTTGTATGGCATTTTTTTTTACTAAATATACTGAAAGATTAGTTACTTTTGTGCCAAAGTTGTAGATACATGTAGAACTTTGATGTGCCTTTTTCAAACCATTTGTTCCTGTATGTGTTTCATGTACAACGTCATTAACTTAATTTAAATGCATTAACTTCATTAAGTTAATGTTATTAATATGAAGGGAGAATTTATCAATACATTGATATTTGCAATGCATTCTGGGTATAGATTACAAACAAACCAGGCAATTTGTGCACAAAACATATGAGGCAGTAAACCGGTTAAAACTTTCATTTGATACTTCTTGTTATAATATTATGCATGTTTGAGTAATCATATTTTGACACATTATTGCACCAGTTACTTGAAATATAATTATTTCAAAAAAAAATTAATTCTGATTTAAGAATTTTTGGAGGAATTTTTTTTTGGATATCATTTACTTTTTTAAATATGACCCTGACACTTGAAGAACAAATATTGGCCAACCAGAATCAAGCTCTGGTGACTGGTGACTGGTACCTTTGAAAACAAATTCAAAATGAACTCTTTTTTATTTTTAAAGTTTTAAAATTCTGATTTAAGAATTTTTGGAGGAATTTTTTTTGGGATATCATTTACATTTTAAATATGACCCTGACACTTGAAGAACCAATATTGGCCAATCAGAATCAAGCTCTCAAGCAACGCTGACCAATCACATGCATTGTTCTGTGCCTGGTGACTGGAACCTTGAAAAACATTTCAAGATAAATTCTTCTTTTGATTTGCAAAGCTTTAAAATTTGAAATTTTATTTTCAAATAATATTTCTGATATTTTGTGCATTAATATGTGAGTTAATGATTCATTAATTTTGGAAAATATGGAAGAAATAATACTTTAAAGTTTAACTGGTTCACAACCCCCATAGGTTTGTGCATAAATTGCATGTTTTTTTTATCCATGGCACATTTTGCAAACCATGGGTTGCTAAGTATGGAAGGCCCAACACTGCAAAAATGAAGACTAGTTATTAATGATTACAAAAATATTATTTGATTGTTGAAAATACAAAATTATCAACAAACCAACAAAATAATTCCTAAACATGCCCTTTTTTTTAATATGATAAGGATGTTATGAGGATTTTTTTGGAAAATACGTTGCCAACCACGGCTTCAATTTTTGCGCTTGTGGCAGCCCATACAAAATGTGCATGGGCTTCCAAAATTACAAAATTAGCCCATACCTAATTCTCATTTCTAACTCAAGTTTGCATCTGGAAACCATTTCTAACAAAAGTAGTGCATTTGTTGTCTGGACGATAACTTGAGAATAATCCGTTGAATTATATTGAGACTTTGTCAGTTGATTGGTTTAGTATCTTTAAAAAGCCCATAAAATTTAACCAAAGCAACTGTCTATTTGGCGGAAAAAGTACAGTCAGTGACAGAAATACACTCGCTCACAGTCTGAACTCTAGAAATAGAATTGAAATTTTGTCAGTTCAAATGTTGGTCATAACATGTTTAAAAGGCCTCTGAAATTTCACAATACAATTAATGTAACAAAAACAATTGAGTGTGTTCAACGCGAAAAGTACATGTACAACCAAAATGAAATTAACCAATAACGCAACAAAAACAACACACTTTTCCAGATAACTCAGGAAATATTTGTTGTATTTAATTGATATGTTGTCTATTGATTGGTCGTTAAATTTCAAGAGGAATTTTGACAGTCAATTTAATATGACAATGATTAAACATGTGCAAAGTATATAACTGTACATGTAAAATTGCGCAACTTTCTATAATAAAAGCTAATGCAAATTTGTTAATGTAAAAATGCGCAACTTTCTATAATGAAAGCTGTTGCAAATTTGTTAACTTATACTGTTGCAATGTCCAAAAGAGCCATACACAACTCCTTGATTTCGTAAAAATTTAGCTTTTTACAACTGCTCCTTGAAACGGACATAATTGAGAAAAATCTAGGAGTTTAACATTTAACCGTACCTCAAAAATTTCAAGTGTTACCAATTACTCCTGAAAAAAAAAATAATTTAATTTTCACCGGCACCAGACTATCATGTGACCTATAAACACCTTGACAAGAGACGACCATAAGCCATACAAAATCATTGAAGCATGAAAACCTACTCCGACAGCAAACTGCACGGTCAATTGAGGAAGGCCCTTCAACCAGGTTGTATCAAGACCCTCACGCTAAGAAGTCTACATCCATCTCACACAGCACTGGCAACCAGCATTCCAGCAGTCTTATATGCTCTTCATCAGGTTTCAACAATTGCATCAATCTCCAAAAAGGCAAAGGCCAACTACCAGTCTGACTGATTGGCTGCAAAGACATCTGGACTTCACAAATAATATTAACAGGACTTCAAATAGGAAGCTTTAATTATCCAATCCAAACCTTTAGTCAAACTTATATAAAAGTCTAGCCCAAAAAAGTCTAAGTCCAACAAGCCCAAGACCCATAACTCTAAGCTCTATCAACTGGCAAACTATCAATTTGGAAGCCCTTCAACTAATAGTCCAATTCCCTCTCAACCATCAACCACCCAGCGCAACTCAAAGTCCAACAAGCCCAAGACCCACAAAATCCTAGTCCTATCAATTTGCAGATCTATAAATTTGGAAGCCCTTCAACTAATAGTCCAGTTCCCTCTAAATCATCAACCAGCCAGCCCAGAGTCCGAAATCCCACCCTCCAGCTCCAAACCCCCTCAGCTCCCAACTTTTAAAAACCCAGCCTCAGACCCTCAGATCTGGAAAAATCTTAAGGGGTACCCCTTGATTCTGAAATTCTGGCCAGAGCTGAAAAATTTTCTAAGTCCAAACCCAGCCTCAGACCCTGAGATCTGGAAAAATCTTAAGGGGTACCCCTTGATTCTGAAATTCTGGCCAGAGCTGAAAAATTTTCTAAGTCCAAACCCAGCCTCAGACCCTCAGATCTGGAAAAATCTTAAGGGGTACCCCTTGATTCTGAAATTCTGGCCAGAGCTGAAAAATTTTCTAAGTCCAAACCCAGCCTCAGACCCTCAGATCTGGAAAAATCTTAAGGGGTACCCCTTGATTCTGAAATTCTGGCCAAAGCTGAAAAATTTTCTAAGTCCAAACAACCTAAGGGTTTTAATTACGAAAACCGGAGAGTTTTTCAAGAAAGTGCCATGGCAGAGCGGGAAAAAAGAGAGCTGGCATGCAGAAGGTACACGGTTCAACCCTGCCCCATGCCACTATTTTATTTATTTTTAAAATTTATCTCTGCTGTGAGGAAAAATTCTCCTCCCGGGTCCCCAGCTGGGATTTGATCCGGGGACGCCGGCCTGGCGGTCAGCGAGCTAGACCGCCAGGCCAATGGCCTCTTCGAAAATTTGTTCTCGGAACTAATATTTAAAGGTTAGATTGCGCAATATTTAAAAAAAAGAAAAAAATTACCCTTGCCCTCATTTGAATAATTGAATAATAAAAAGCAGAAAACTGAATATTCAGAAGGAAATCACCATAGGGCCAAAATTCTGCTTCTCAAATTTAGACATTTATTCAATATACTTTCTACTGTATGTACACCATTTACAAATGTAATTAGTTAAATTAGGTTTTTTTTCTAAATTAGTTTACAATTTGTAATGTAATAATTGTCGATATAAATTTACTTCCCTTTTTATATGAGAATCTAAATGCGTCACTTAATGCTTAACATTTTAGTGGGAAGTTCTTTGTTCAAACTTTGCACTTTTTTTGGGGGGGGGAGAATTGGCCATATTTGTTTACTATAAAATGACAAACTTTTGCTTGAATGTGAAAATGAGAGGGTTTTTTTTAAGTTAGCAATCTAGCTTTTACTGGAGGGCCCCTTTGTCATTTAGTTTTGCCTACAGCATCTTATAATATTTTTTTTACTTTTTAATTCAAATTCTAAAAGTTGTATCCACTTTACAAAGAAAAATACCCATTCCAATATAGAGTGACACCTTGTCACAAATAATTTGAAGTACAACTAAAGCTAAATAATTAAGTTAACACCATATTTCATGAATAATTTCTAGTACAACTAAAGTTAAATAAGTGAAACACTGATTGCAAATAGGTTACACATAATATATGAATACTGCCCTCTACAGTCCAATATTTTAGTTGTGTCTATCTGGCTTGATTCTATGCAAATTAATTATAGAGCTCTAATCAGATATTTACAGATCTTGTTTCCTTACAAACATTGATTCTCCTTCTCAGACTTTTTTCATATAGGAAATCTAATATCACACATTTCACTTTACAAAAAGACAAAGTTTCAGTGACCTATTGTGACTAAGTTACTAATGTTCAACTTGCTTGTTTGATGACATCTTTTACATTGCACAAAATTGGTCTCATAATTTCATTTCATTCATGTAAACCTTATCTTACACCTTGTAACAAAGCGCTTCTATGAATCATGTTTAAACTACTTTTTATTTGGAAATCATACATTAATTCTTATAATTAAACAATTGTTTGTAATTCATGGGCAATAGAGGGCACTCCTCGCTTTTTTTAAAGCCAAAATAAGAGTCCCCAACTTTAAGTTTAATAAACACCAATATTCATTAACATACAAACAAAAATCTCAATTGTTCACTATGTTTTAATGCTTATTGTTTCATTTCACTATTAAATTGACTGATTGGGTTGTTCTGCAAATTGTAATACATGAATATGGCCTGGTAGTAAGTACTTTGCATGGGTTGCACTTTAAAATTTACATAAATAATAAATACATAAATAATCAGAAATACAATAAGGCCCAGTTATTTGGGCAACCAGAAAATCTACAGTTTTACCAAGTATATGGGCAATTCCATGGCGACAGACAAAGAGTTTTGGCGGGTTTGAAGTTAATCACGTATCAATTTTATAATAGATTCTATCCCCATCAATTTTATTTAAAATCGGTTTATGCGCAATTCGTCTTGTATGTGATACGCGAAAGTGACACCATATCCGTTAACGTAATAGAAATAATTCCGTATAAATTTCCGTCTTTTTCGTTAAAACCATTCTTCTATTTCAATAATTAGATCAACTTTTCATTCTTATCTAATTTTATGAAATTCCAGACATGTCGGATTGCAATTGGAATTGGATGCTCTTAAGACTGAACTTTTTAAGGTCTTTGGTGAATTTTTAAAAGAATTTTTGCGACATGAATTCCTCACTGATATGTATTATTGTTTTCTAGATGCTAAAAGAATTTTTACATTTTTACAACCTGTAAGGGCAGCTAATTTTGTTCCAGAAAAATAACCAGTGAATCCAGCGTAAGTTAGGTTTGCACGAGCAGTATAGTTGGCCTAAATGTATCTTGCAATTTACTAACGCACTGATCTTTTCTGTTGTCCTCATCGGGACACTTTATCGTGACTCACATTACATAAAAGCAACGCAGGAAACAAATGACAGAACAAATCTGAAATTTCTCTTCATTCAAGGTAAAGGTGCAACGGATACAATATTCCATTTATTGATCATAGCCAGTAGATAGTGTTTACAAGCAAGTTGGAAAATTAACTTTTTAAAATGACTGTGACAGACATTACTGCGACTGATATTACGCATCGAAACATTTCTGCTGAGATTCAGGTTTTATTTTATTTTATTTCTAACAGTGACTATTGGCAACAAGAAAATAATTTCTCAGGATCAAAGAATGTAGTTTTACAAAACACATAATAACAACTTATACAATCAGCACCTCAAAAATAAATGAACATAAAGCAGATGAGGAAAGAATTTTCTCAAAAATGACCTTACAATATTAAATGTTGTCTCCATTAACAATAACTGTGTGAATAGACTTGCATATTTAATACAAGTCATCTACATTTATTTCTTTGCTAATAACAATTTGAGGTCTCAACATGCTAAACAAATTTCATGCTAAATTTTTTAACTACTTTTTTCTCAAATTTGTAATCATGTACACTTAAGTGAAACTCCTCATGTTCTGCTCTTTTCTGTCTATTCCTCTTTCATTTGTTCCTCTTGTGGTCTTCATACAATCCTTTTCTTCCAAGTTTTGTTTCTGCTGTGTCCTTCTCTGTGCTGCTGTGAATTACGTTGCTACTTGGGTGTATATCTTTCCTGAATCTAAAAAAAATCAACAAAATTATTTGTATTTTGTACATGTTTATACTAACACAATTTTTATTGTTATTTTTCTAGCAATACCAAAGTTATCCAGTGAACAAACAACAAAAAGGATGAATAAAAATCTGGCAACATTTAGTAACAGGGAATTATGAATATTAAAATATTTGGTGACAAATAATAATTCAGTGCTCACAGGGAAGACTCCCCCACCCCTCCCTATCAGAATGGCAAATAACAGACTACTTGTACCCAAAAGCAACACAAATATATTTTTCATATTATAAAAGGCATATAGATGTCTAAATACAAAAAAAGGAGTTGTTTTGTGAAAACTACATAAGCTACTCAGACAGTGGCTTGGCACTCAGTTGCATTTTGGTTCCAAATGGTTACTTCTTGTATGTGTATGGACTTAAATAACATGTGTACTTGTATTCTCCTCAACTACGGACTTTGCAATAATGTGACTGACACTAAATTACGCTACGAGATTGTAACTGCATGACATTACATGTGGCCGACATTACAATATTTCATGGCTGGCCTAAGCATTAAAACAAACAAGCAAATAAAAATCAATTAATTTACTAGACTTCCTAGAAATCATGCCAAGAAAAATTTATCAGAACAGTTCACTGGTCCATGTATTTACAAAGAAAACAAATCACTTTTAGTGATTGATAATAAACAAAGTTTGTATTTCATTTTACAAGCAAAATCTGACTAAAAATTACAACTAAAAATAATGTCCATTTTAACAAAGACCTCTCAAAACGGTAATACAACAAAATTGATGAAAAATATGACTGAATAGGTTGCAAAAGATTAACTCAAAATTCCTTACCATAAGTCATCAGGACGTCACTGCAGACTTTGTTGTGATGGTGTACCGTAACTCACAAAATAGTGCGCGCATGGGAAGAAACTATTTCAGTTTTAAAAGCGCCAAGCATTATTGTGTCACTTCGGTAAATGGAACTCGAACAAACTTTAAATTTATTTTGGCTTATATACGTGTCTCCACCAGCATGGAATTGCCCATATAACCTTTTTAACTCATTTACAGCCTAGTACATTCTAAATAGGCCCAAGGCACCTTGGATGTACTTTGTCTGATGTTTGATGTCATCACAACGTGGTGCAGTTTCAGGGCATTCGAGCATCAAGAGCAACATCTTCTTGGTAAGAGCAGGAAAACCTGAAATTCAAGTAACACAAAAACCAAAATTGAATATAAATAGCATACTTGTGTAAATGATGTTAATGACTTTTTCATAATTTTGCGGGCTTTTGTAGCTTTTGAGGCTTCAATAAGTTGGGAGAACTCTTTGTAGGGAGAAGTTTTGTAGACAGAATTTGGAAATTTAGCTTTTTTGCATTCATATTCACCGCAAAATTTAGCATGAATTTATAATCAACCCATAATTCACATAAAGATTGTTGCAAAAGCAAGTATTGAAGTATATTGAACAAGTTTTGAGCTCACCTGAAACACGTGTTCCTCTTCTTGTGGTTCTGATAACAGGCTTTTGATGAATTTCCAGAGGGAAAAAGTTCCTCCTATCAGGTCGGCCCGCTTTATCAAAGAATGTGCAAATAAGGTAAAAATAGATTAGTTCTGGTAGTTAACATGATTTAATGCATGCATGTGCTGAAACGACATCTGAGCACACAGAATGGAAAGTTACAGAAAAATGAGCGAACGTTGACCTTAGTGTTCACATAGCTGTTTCAAACAGGTGCTGTAACAATATCTTGGCTACTACAGGAGCCCCACCAGTGAATGTTCATGTGTCGTAGGCCAATTCACACAGCAACCTGATCGTGTTCTGGTCACCACAGATGGAGTATTCACTGTTTCAGGCACACAAGAGACAGGGCGGGGATGGATGGAGCTGACACATGGATGCCTTGAGCCCTTCAAAACAGTCTGCTGGGCTGAACGGAGCTGCAGCGCTGTCAGGCCAATCAACAGTTGAGTGCAGGTGCCAAAAACGAGTACGGCAGAACAAATTCCTGGCAGGAAGAGTGGGAGTCTGTCTATCCACTGTGTACGGTCATCGTGTGCTTTTAGTGAAGCCTTGGGCTAGCATTGCAATCTATCGGCCATGCTCTGAATGAGGCAGTAGTCCATATGTGTTGGCAGCCAAGTAATCTGGTCAGGGTGTGAAAGGGGGCTGATTCAAATTGCCAGCTGCGGTCGGTTGTCGCTGAGAGTAATTTACAGGAGTAAAACTCTCGAGCGGCGGAGCAGTGGTAATGCTCTTGGAGTGTATCTCCTTCCCCTTGTCTGTACGTGTGACTGAGCTGGAATAGCAGCCACTGAGAGACTCGGAGATACGCAACAGGTGAGCCACCGCCAAAGCTGGGGACCAGAGGGCAGAGATCTGTCCGCTCAAGCTGAAGTTGGCCAGGTCCTGCACTCATGAACTGAATGGTGTAGCAGACGACAGAGGTCAGCTGCATGGTGGAGACACCACGGACGGTATCGTCAGGTGAAACTGCGTACGGCTTGCGTGACTGTTTGACTGCAGTATCCCGTTTTGGATCCATCAGACCCAGACAGACCACCTTTCTATCTGCAAAGACATAGTTGGTGGCGGCCCGGGTCAGAATGTTGCAACCTCCGTACCGACTTCACCACCTCTTCCCATAGCCACTGCAGACTTTTTGTCTGGCAATTGCCAGCACTCAAGACATACAAAGTGCACTTTTCAATGCAAATTTGTAGTGCGTCCAGCATTTGCCAGGAGGCAAGGAGAGAGGTTCCTCCTTGCACAGATCATCTGTCATCTTGGCCACCAGTGCCAATTAAAGCTTGGTGTCCGTGTCCAAAAGCCACTGCAGGCCCTCGCGTGAATTACTGCAGGAGCAACACAAGTACACCAGCATAGGCAAGAACCGCAATGTCATGCCCGTGCACCGCTTTCTGGACACCGCCCTCACCACAAGTTCTAGAGTCAAGTTGAAATGTATCTGGGAGATCAGACAACATTGTTTGACTACTGAACAGATGGAAACGGGCTCATCCCTGAAGGCGTCACAAACATTGTGCCGGCCCAGGTATAGACATCCCGGATAACGTCTGTATGAACCCCTCTAGTGTACCGACCAAGGCCAACACAGTGAATATAGCATCATGGGAAATGTCGCTGCAAGCATTCTGCAGATCAAGCCACGCCACATACATATTTGTCTGACTCTGGCATGCATCCCCCACAATGGACAACATCAGGTGGGTGTGCTCAAAGCAACCCTCATCAGTCCTAGCACTCTTCGAGGTATCACTGTTGAAATCACAGTCTTGCGCCCAAACGAGTCGGACGGTAAAGGGTTGCCATCGGCGAATTTAACAGGCATGACTGCAGGGCAATTTACTAGAAGTAGGCCGGGCAAACTTGGTCACCCTTCTTGTACAACAGTACCGAGGTAGCTGTCTTCAAAGAGTTGGGAACCCAACCTTTATGCCCCAAAACACACTGTCTGCCAATCTGATATGATGATAATATTCAAGCTGGTCTTTCCCAGGTGCGGAGTTTGACATCCGACCTAGGGTGGAGGTAACCTCCATTTGCATAATGGGGCACATCAACTCAGAGCCAGACTCCCCGGCCTGGGCCGAGTCAAAAACAAGAGTTCATGCAGAGTCAACACTGCATGATTCTATTACGATCGACCGCCCTTTCTGAGTGAACTTCTGTAAAGTAGTTCACCAGTGTTTCCTCAGTGCCAGCATATCTGACCTCAGAGCCATCATGGACCAGACGCATCGCCCGTCTGCTACTGGACCTGTAAAGCTTCTGAAGCCTGCTAGCCTCCGGCACATCAAATTCTGGCCCGCGCCCATATCACAGCACACCACGATGTTGTGCTGGTCGGATTCTTGCCACATGCTGATTATATCAGTGGAGCTGTGAGCCAGGGCAACCGCATATTGAGCAAAACAGTCACACACCGACTTTAAATCACCGGCGTGTGACAGCACCACCAAGGCAGTAATTCTTCTACTCTGAGGGCTGTGAAGCCTGAAGTCTCGGCAAACCCCGTCTCAGCAAACCCCGTCTCGGCAAATCCCTCACGAGCGCCACACATCAGTCAAAGGGTTTTGGTTGTACCCCCGGCATATACCCTCATCTGTGTTACGGGAACCCTGAGGGGCCCCGAGCATGCATGCATCCACAGAGTGTTAGATTGCCTGGGCACCCCCTCATCCACATTACAGGAATCCCGGAGGGAACCAAAGGGTTCAACCGTGGAGTATTGGAAAATGGCCAGATCTCGCCAATGGTTCCGACTGCAGGGCAATCAGCTGGGAGTTGGTCGGGCACGGGGGGTTGCCCTTCTTGTACAACAGTACCATGGTAGCTGTCTTTCAAGAGTTGAGGACCCGACCTTCATGGAGACATCAGTTAAATATTGCCACTGTAGATTGAAAGACACTGTCCGCTCATCTGATGTGACGATATTTAAGCAGACTGTTACTTCACATGGTTCCCTAGTCTTTTCTTACATACTGAACATCACCTACCAAGACAGAGTCTGCATCCAGGACCTCTAAAGCCAGACGTCAGCTTTGTTGACTTGGACATCAGCTCCACCCTCTGGCTACCAACCTCCTCAACTGCACATGCTCTGGCATCTCTCCCATGACAGATGGCAGAGAGGTTGGTAGACGGTACTGTACCATGAACATGCAGCAAAAATACTTGATTCAGACGTCCATCTGAGGCCCAAAGAAAACGCCCTGGAAGACCAGGACAACTGGTGAATGATGCTGGCCATCACCTGTCAGCAACCTCCCTAGGATATGCCACAGATCAACAAAAGCAGACAACATGCAGGGACATGCTAATTGCCAACACAGGCTCAGAGGAACTATTTTAAAAGAATTTAGGAATGGACAAATAACAGAATCAAAATGATAATGGCACAAAATTCTGTTTGCAGGAGCCTATTGTACTTAAAGGTGACTGCATAATTTGGGAGAAATCAAAAGAATGTTTTGTTTTTTAAATCTATAACCCATTCATTTATCAATTTTATTTTATACGGAGAAACTAGCCAATTTAGAAGTTCAAACTTCAGTCGACTTTGACTTCACATTCACATCAAAACTCAAGTTAACCTAAGGGAGACTTTTTTTTTTGGCCTAAGGGCAATTTGGTGGCAAAGTGGACACTGTATGCTGGAAAGTGGAAATCTATGAAATCTACAGAACTACAAACAAATAACCACCACAAATGGGGTATGAGATTAAAGGGGGCAACGAGAACTTTCATTTTTGGTGTGCCAGTGAGATGGAATACGGTTAAGTGGGTTTTTTTTTAAGAAAAATGTTTTTGGGATAAAATTATGGTTCTTGTTTCACAAATTGAATTTTTATTGTAAGGTTTCTTTTAGGGCAGAGAGAAAGATTCATAAGCTATGCCAAAAGAGTGTTTTGGTCACTTAATGCTTTGATAAAGGTAAAGGATCTCGTAATAATCGGCAATTTAGCTGAAACCAACTGAAATGATTTAGTTACCTCATAATTCTGAGACTGCACATATATGCTGCCCTCATGTGACCAAGGTATGACCAGTTGTCCGTTGCATGAAGGATGGAGTTGAGTAGATGGGGTTCCTGCCAGACATCATCAGCTTACCATGACGACAAAGAGGATTGGGAAAAGAAACAGACAATAAAATGGAAATTAAAGGGAATATACATCATTTGCTTTTGCTGTAATTTTCAGAAATGGATGGGATTGGGGGGTTGGAAATATAAAGCAAATATAGTTACACTGACTTTTTGGAGGTTTTGGGTTCGAAAATGCTATAAAAACCAAGAAAAACGATCATTTTCCTGTAGTCTGGTTCCCTGACTCCATATAAGAAGAAACAGAGCAGTTTACATACATTGGGGAATTGTAAGGTCAGGGAACCAGTCTAGCTGGCTCGTACCCGTTCATAGGTTTGTAATCGATTGCAAACAAGTGCGATGGTCAATTGGGGCCAGTATTTGAAAAAAAGCCAGTTATTTCCAACGCTGATCGGCCGATCAGCGTTGGAAATTGATACAAAAATACCACTTTTCTTGAAAATGACAGTATACCAGGTGCCATAATTTTACAGGATGCTTTAGACTGTCATTTACCAACATCCTATTAAGGTATTTCGCAAAAACTTGGTAGTTTTATTTTTCGATGTTTGCAAATGTTGTATATTCCCTTTAACTCATGTCATCTACAACCGTAAAATGAAACCTGTCGAGTAATGAATCTCTGGGAGCTTGATAGGTGGATTTTCAAATTTTTGTGAAAACTGCCCAAGAAATATCAAGATTTTCATCAAGCAATAAGTTCAAGAAGTTCAACAAAACTGATTTTGATTCATTATACATTTGTCAGTGTATGAAATTGAGCTGTACAAAGTTGCAACCAATTTGTGAAGACACCTTTATATCATTGTCCTATTTTTCTTCAAATAAATGCGCTTTCAAAATCATTTTGTTATTGCCATCAATATGAAACTGCAGTTCCAAATTAATTATCTCATTATCCAATCTAAATATTTCGATTTTTAGATTGACTGACCTGGTTGTCATTTTCGTTGATAGAATAATTCAACCCCATCTCCTGAAAGAGAAAGTTATTTCAAACAATTATCGACCAGTAAGTGATTGATAAGCCAGCTGTGCCTACTACTTGTCTGCTTTTGTCTGTTGCCTGTATTGGACTAGTCACAGTGCTTGCTTAAAATATGATCTGACTGTTTGTGACTAGCCTGTGTAAAACGTATGGCAGGGGACAGGATTCAATTTTTGACTGTCTGTGACTGATCCAAAAAAGGAGGGTTAAACTGAAAAAATGGTAAGTTTTGCAACTTTTCTGATCATTTTGCTTCTTTTTAACAAACCGACTAGACATAATCAATTTTACACCGTCTCATGCAGAGCATCAAAAGCCACTAATAAGAATGCACTACAAAGTACAACATTTGATTTGTTCACAGACAAATGGCCAATTGTAATTTCAGCCATTTGAGGATGTTTATCCATTCCTTTTGCTGTCTATAATCGATCAGTTGCAATCAGATGCTCACCTTGGATTGGAGGATCGGATTCCCCTGAAGTTGTTGATTCATCGCTACTTTCCTTGTTGTCTCCAGTAAGCTTCTCATCTGTGGTAGTTTGTACCTTGCAATGTTATCAAAAACAAAACAACCATTCCAATGGTCAAGTTTTCAAAGCACATTTTGCACACAAATCTCCTCCACAAATTTCATATTAAAATGGCTTTTGGATTAATAACACAAAAGCAGGGTTTTACTTTTTTGCCCTCTGAAGCCTATTTCGTGTGTTGACAGAATTTGACTAGTCACAATGCTTGCTTGAAATATGATCTGACTGTTGGTGACTAGCCTGTGTAAAACGCATGGCAGGGAAACAGGATTTTTTTTTTACTGTTTGTGACTGATCCAAAACAAGGAGGGTTAAACTGGAAATTTCTGTTTTGAAACTGTTCAATTTACTGATGCTTTTTTTTTAACAAACCGACTAAACATAATCAATTTTAAACGCCTCATGCAGAGCATCAAAAGCCATTAATTTAGAATGCACTTCAAAGTACAACATTTGACTTGTTCACAAACAAATGGCCAACCGTAATTTCAGCCGGATTGGACGATCGGATTCCCCTGAAGTCGTTGGTTCATCGCTACTTTCCTTCTTGTCTCCAGTAAGCTTCTCATCTGTGGTAGCTTGTACCTTGCAATGTTATCAAAAACATAACAAAACAATCATTCCAATGGTCAAGTTTTCAAAGCACATTTTGCACACAAATCTTCTCCACAAATTTCATATTAGAATGGCTTTTGGATTAATAACACAAAAGCAATCGTCTTTTTCATGGGTTTTACTTTTTTTGCCCTCTGAAGCCCAGAAAACTGAGTTAAAAGGAGATTGAGATTTGTTGAGAGTTGTAATCAATTTCAATTCAACAAAAAGGCCTTTGCTTATATACTCTGAATTCCGGTAAGAAAGAAGAGGCAATTGTTATATATTCTAAGAATTTGTTTTTTTTATAAAACCCACGTACATTTTAGAAATCTTCAACTTTTTGAAATCTTTCAAATTAAAACTTTTCTGTGCACAATGGAAAAAAACTAATTCAAGAAACAGATTTTTCTGGAGCCTGATTTGAATTTCATTTTGATAGGTGAATCTTCTTAGTGTTGAGAATTAGTTTTCAAAAGTTGCATCGATTTCCTATTTGATTAGTCATTACTTCTCAAAATCTTACCTCATTTTTAGGTGTAAACCTTCTGGAAGCATATCCTGGTAAGGCTAGTTTGAACAGGGCCACCACGTGAAGGTCCCAGGATACCAGCCCCAAACACGCTTTCAGTATCGAAGGGTCCATCGCTGGGCAAAAGGCCGGCCCCGGAGGGCCAGGCACAGTTGCCGACTGTCCGGTCCACCCCCCCAACCCCGAAGGATCAGGAAGGTTATACCCTAACCTATATGCGTGCCCCCCTAAGTCCATCCCCCATTACGGGTTCATGCGGTCTGATAGGAAGTAGCAGCGTTTGCCGGCTGTGAATACAGGGCCACGCCCCTATAAAGAGGGACGCACTACCTGCTCCTTTAAGGCACGGCATCCTAGGGTTTCCAGGCCGCTGCGTAGGACCCACGTCCCCACGGTGACGCAACCCGTCCCTTGCAACTGGGTTTGCCTCGCACCTCAATCGGGCACCAGTCCAACCCCGATTAACTGGGTTTGCCCCGCACCTCAATCGGAGCACCAGTCAAAACTCCGATTAACTGGGTTTACCCCGCACCTCAATCGGAGCACCAGTCAAAACTCCGATTAACTGGGTTTGCCCCGCACCTCAATCGGAGCACCAGTCAAAACTCCGATTAACTGGGTTTACCTCGCACCTCAATCGGGCACCAGTCCAACCCCGATTAACTGGGTTTACCCCGCACCTCAATCAGAGCACCAGTCAAAACTCCGATTAGTCGCAGCGCAGTGGCTGCGTGCAGTGGCCGCGCGCAGTCGCCTCGCACAGTCGCCACGCGCAGTGCCGCGCGCAGTTGCCTCGCACAGTCGCCACGCCCAGTCGCCGAAGACCTGTGGAGAAACCACCACCTACACCCCACACAAACCACCACCTACACCCCACATGGTAACAAGCACACACCCACCACCAAACAGTACATCACAAACACATATTTCAACCGCCCTGGGAATTTTGTTTTGTTTTTATGTAAAAAATTAATCAAAATGTGTTTTTTTTAGTAAATAAAAGAAGTAGTTTTTAAAAGAACAATTTGGACTTAGAGCCTAAACAAATTGGGGAATGTTTTTCTCTTAAATTTCCTTTTCAGCAAAATCCTGTCAAGTGGCCTTTTTGCCGCGCTATATTTCAAAAACTATATCAATTTTTTGTCCAGGATGGTTCAAGTTACATCTATATATGCAAGCAAATTTAAGGATTTGTTTATTATGAGCCCATTTTTAGTACAAAAATTTCTAAACAATGGCATGCGCAAATTGGTTCACAGAATCTAATGTGTACTACAGTTGATATGACTTTTAGAATCAGGATGGATTTCAATTTGCTTGCACATTAAAAAGTAAAAGAATCTTGGTTTGACTCACTCTGAACATGAACGACTCCTCTTCTGGGGGGAACAAGTGCATGTGGCCTTGAACTGCAAAGAAAAATGGTTACCTCACCTCAGTTAACATGCAACCTTGTTCCCCCTGTGCCGATGATTCCGAACGATCCAAGGAACGACTCCACTTGCAAACTGCCACAATCCGGGGGGACAAGTGCATGTGGCCTCGAGCTGCAAGAAAAAGGTTACCTCACCTCAGTTAACATGCAACCTTGTCCCCCAGTGCCGATGATTCCGAACGATCCAACGAACGACTCGACTTGCAAACTGTCCACTTTCACAATCCCCAGGTCTTGTACATTGTCATGCATGCCTGCAAAAAAAACAACCAATCTTGGAATACAAATAAATGTTCACAAATTTGAAGTATATTATTTTCATTGCCTTAGGTCAAATAATTAAATGCTGATAAAATACCAGATTTATTATTTCCACCTTGTTTACATTGACATTTAACCTAGTTAAATGATGCAATACTAACATCAGCAAAATCCTTTTTTTTTTTAATTATCTGATAATTAACAATGATTTAGGTGGGGGGCATTACCTCCGAGTTTTCTGAGTGATACAGGCATCCACAGGTAGCGAGGATGGCAAATTCCATGTCTCCCAACGTCAGAAAGCCACCAGAATTCCACGTGTCCAACGTCCGAGAAAGTCACCAGAATTCCACTTGTCCCAACATCAGAAAGTCATCCGAATTCCACTTGTGCCAACATCAGAAAGTCTTCCGAATTCCACGTCTTCCAACAATCAGAATAAGCAGTGTTCCTCAAAGTTCAAGTTGGTCCTTCCAAACAAGCATCGTCCTTCCAAATTAGAATACTCTTAATTGTTTAAACAAACTTCCAACATGGCATGGAATTCAAGGTAGGCATGTTCTTCAGTTGTGCTTCCAAGACGATTGTATCAAGTTATGTAGCAGTTCGCAATGAGTCCGTACTGGAGAAACGCAATACTCAACAAAACAGTCATGTTCCTTGTTTCAAACTGGTCAAATTTGCAGCAGTTTTGTCGTCACTGTCAATGTCCAAAGTTTATCCAGTTGCAACTTGGAGGCGATTTCAGAGTTTCTCCATAATGACTTTCACATTTTACTGCTCCATACTGAACATTGTCCCAAGTGTGTCAAGGGCCAACTTGAATATTTATTCATTTTTTAAATCATGTGGTTATAGCAAAAAATACATGCGAGTTACCCTAGTTAATTTGTAATTGTAGTTTTGAAATAAAATCCTTTCAGGTTTATGCTGTTTAAACTAACTAATCCTTTTAAACATTTTTTATGAATGTAGTTTTAAAATTGCTTTTTTAGATTGAACACATCCTTCACTGTTTGGCTACTTATCATTTATATCAGTTTCATAAAGAATAATTTAATTTCAGTTTTATTTTCTGTCCATTTTTAACTTGACATTGTTTTTTATAATTTCCGTTCATTAGAACATATAGTTGGAAAATTTTAATTGTTCTTTTTATATTATGCTCTGAAAGAATTTGTTTAAATCGTTTTCTTTCTTGTCTGTGCTCATTATTTCAAGCCAAACGTAAAAGTTGACTCGAATTGTTTGCTTTTCAATCAATTTTGTAAATGCTTAGAACTGTTTTTACTGGCAATCCAGCATTGAAACCCCCCCCCCCCCCTAAAAAAAAAGTGCACAAGTGAAGTCAAGTTCCCAAGAAGCATGGAATATTTCCCCAGTCCTTGCAACATTTTGACAGGTCTGGTTAGTGGTTAATTAGGTGGTTTATGTCATCATAGTGCCAGTGGTTAATATGACTGTCTGTCAATGGTCGATATGACTGTCCGTCAATGGTTGCATGCAGATGATTGAATGACCTAATAAAATGCTGCAAAGGTCCACAGTTTTACATAGAACATGAAGTCGAAGCAAAAATGACTTTGGCATACTTGAATGCTACCACATTGTAGTCAAAACTGGATTGCAAATTTGCAATCCCAAGTGAGCTGCTTCATATCTAAAGCTAAATTTTACTTTTATTAGCTTTGACCTTAGGTTTTGTTCATGGTTCTGCTGATGTTTTCTAATTTACTTTTAATCAAGTGGAATACTTAATTTTAAGCAATGAATTTTGTTGAGGTCTTAACATAAGATGCATTCCTTTTGTTGTCGAGACCCAAGTGAGTTGGTGTACAAAATCATATTAAAATTGGAAGATTCAGGACTGTTAGGGTTAAATACATCTGAAAGTTACTTTTATTAGCATTGACCTAATGTTTAGGTAAGGTTTAGCCTATGCAACTTACTTTCCAGTATTTTCAATCTAGACCCATTTTTAGGCATATATGTCAAAGTTTAAACATCATGAAGATTTACTGATTCAAATTACTCATTTTAGATTTCAGTTTAATAACGATCTATGAAATTATTTCAATGCAGGCCCCTAAGAAGTTGGCCCTATACACTTGACTGGAACTTTGTTCTAGAGCATATTAATTATGGGTTGGATGGGCACACTATAATCGTGGCAAACCGCGAGTGGCAAGGACTTTAAAAGTTCGGCCGTTCCTTCAGTTAAAGATCAGCTTGATGTGGTTCACACTTCCATTCTTGACATCCGATCCACTTCGGCTCCGAGTTTGACTGTCGTGATAAACACCTGTAAATGACAAGAGTGCGATTGGAAAAAAATGTTGCAACCTGACGCCACTTCCGTGATTGTGTACAAAGTCTATGGAGAATCTTTCCAGATTCCCATATCTGGCCATCACTTGTCACCCTGTGCACAACCCTATGCACAACCCTATGAGACTGGACTGAACATTTCTGAAAATTTTCTTAGTAAATACTTCAATATTCTCCCTGCTAAATTTGACTTTTCGCAGTGGCTATCGTTACAGCAGCCGTAACGCATTTCCCATTTTCTATCGTTACGGTAGTAGGGCCTACTGCGACTTTTATAAAAACATGAGAAGAAAATATAAAATTAGAAGGAAAAAAGTGACTTTGAACGTTATGAAATTCGGACTTTATTTCCCTTTTAAAAAAATCCTCCAAAGCCTCAGGTTAGAAAAGGAAAAAAAATTAGAGTGCAAAACTGAGATGCGAACCCGCAACCTCGCGGTGCAAAATCCTACCCTCTATCGACTGAGCTGTCGCACTGCTCGCTAAAATGTGGGGAAACAAATAATTATATACCTGCGTGCGTATCAAAAAAGTATCGTAGAGGGCGCTAAACAACGGCTGCCGTAATGATAGACACTTTGTTGACTTTTTAGGGCATATTATAAACACTTTCTGATGGCTGATAGGTCACTAAATGAAAATGGTGGCCAGATATGGGAATCTTTCCCATTTTTGCAATGACTGACCTTTATTGAGATAATAGGGCCTATAAGAAGAAAAAAGTCAGGTTGTAACATTTTTTTCCACCCTCAATAATGTTTTTCTTAACCACGCCCATCTCACCAGATTCTCAGAAAATGGAGAAAGAAAAAGATCATTGAAGGAATTCCTTCACTAAAAACTTAGGCTAGAGCCGCTTTTTTAACAGTGCATCAACTTCAGAAGTATCTACAGTAGTTGAGTCACTTCTACCTAACTTTTGCAGGCCAAATGGTTACCAATTTCAGGCCAAAATTGGCAAACTTACTCTGACTGTTGTGACGTTTTTTGGAAAGTCCTCCGCCATTTTGCCAGGCGCCAAATTATGAATGCGCAACGAACCACGCCACGAGCAGACGAGAGAGAACAAAAACCACATCGTTTAACAACAGGCGGCGCTCTTCACAATTAACGGTGTCAAGTACAATCTCGTTTACGTGGTGTTGAGCAGTACGCACTCACGAGTACATAATATATGCAAGAAAATTTAAAAAATAAAGTAAACCCTGGGGAGGAGTTTGCGAAAAAAGTTCCCGCGTCTGAATTTCCCATCATGCATTGAGAAATCCCAAATCCCAACAAGTTTCTTTTTAGGAAGTGGGATTTTGAATTCGAATTCCGTTATCCATTTGCGTATGGAAATCGGAATGGGAGAATCGATATCCGTTATCCATTTGCGTATGGAAATGGGAGATGGGAAATGGGAGAATCGATATCCGTTATCCATTTGCGTATGGAAATAGGAAATGGGAAATAGGAGAATCGATATCCGTTATCCCACTGGCGTATGGAAATGGAATGGAAATAGGAGAATCGATATCCGTTGTCCTTTTGCGATTGGAAATAGGAAATGGGTTTGTTATCCGTTTTTCTTTTTGCTTAGGAATTGGGAAATGGGTTTTAATATCCATTTTTCTTTTTGCTTAGGAAATAGGAAATAGGAAATGTTTTTTTTTTTTAAGGCGTTTTTCGTTTTGCTTAGGAATTACGAGATGGATTTTGATATCCGTTTTTCTTTTTGCTTAGGAATTAGGAAATGGGTTTCGTTATCCGTTTTTCTTTTTTGCTTAGGAATTAGGAAATGGGTTTCGTTATCCGTTTTTCTGTTTGCTTAGGGAATTGGGTAATGGGTTTCGGTTTCAAATTCTTAGGCAGCTATTTAGTGCCGACAAAAATTATTTTACGGTGATGACCACTAATTGTGTAGCGCGCCCTCTTTTGAAAGGAAATTAAGGATTACTTTTGGTAGGTTTTCTCGGTGTTTAAAAAGGTACGTTGTTTTCGCTTTTATATTTATTAATGATTCCTCTCCAATTTAATTGATTTTGGTTATCTATCATAATCAATTATTGTACGAAATTTCAACCCATTGCAACATACATTTTTTGAGATATGGTCCGGAAATCGAGCGGTTTTTTTAAGTCATGAACATGATGAAAGTTAACTCCGAATTCGCCATGTGTTTTTTTTTCGCAGGTAATATTTTATGGATGTTAAGTTTATTTTTTGATGACCCCCACCCCCTGAATTTGACAGTATTGTGTTACCTTTGGTAATCAATCAGGAGATATAATAACAACAAATATTTTTTGAGTAATTGTCTCCACAATCAGTGTGTTGTTCACTGTTGTTTTTGTTCCTTGAACTTGAATCAAAATTCGCCATGTATTTTTGGCGAATTTGAACTTGTTTTTGTTGTATAATTTTTATTGGATGAAAATTCCACTCTATATTCTGCAACTTTGTATTATATTACACGTTTAATGCATAAACAAAATTTTAATGAATTAAAAAAATTACCAATACACACTCTGTGATTTAACTCTGTAGAAATAAATGATTCACACACAGCTGAATGTTACTTTTGTCTTATCATCATTTTAATAAAAAATGTGTCTTTATAGAGTGTATTCCCCTTCGGCTTGGCCATGATCGTGTCAAGGCCCCTAGTAGCCAGTTTTAAACGTACTTGTTTAATACCAGCCAATCACATATTTATTCCCATTCATAAACACCTTTCAAAAGTCAAAACAAGTAAAAAATTCACAATTTTCCAACAATTTTAATGAACAATTTTACCTCATGTTTTGTGAAACACCCCTAGGCCATGTCTATGGTATGTGCCTCACGCGTGAAGTAAAATATCCTTTTATGGAGATTGACGCGTGTGAGGTCGTATTGCGCGATGTGGCACAGAACGCAGCAGTGCAGGAATAAAGTGTTTAAAACCAGCCGGTGTTTCATCAGCGGTTTAAAACCAACCACGTGACAGGCTTTCGACCAATAGGAATGGGTGAACCGTCTTAGGTTTTTATGTATGGATAATAATATAAAATATTGTTGACAAGAGTCAAGTTAAGCGTAACAAGTTACATTAATTTTGACGACACAATTGAACAAATTGTGTAACATACATAACAAAATTCTACTCAAATATTGTTTTACTTTCTGCTGGTCCCAAGGGCAAGCCTGACTTTCACTTGTAACTTAGACTGGTGGTAAGCCGGTGAAGTGAACTGGGCAGTGCTGTCATATAGGATTACCCTGTGGCCTAAAATGGATGGGTTAAATCCGGCCCATTGTGTCAACCAGATGCCTGAAAAGACTTCCAGTGAATAATCATTCTGAATCGATGGAATAGAACTTTGTGCACTCTGGGACCAGCTTGGCTAGACTAGTTTAGTCTTTTTTACAGCATTTTAAACAAGTCTTTATTTAAAGAGTGCAACAAGATGAAAACAAATGGTATTTAACACTCGTTTTTTTTAAAAAGGTTTGAGCAAATCCACAGACAACAAAATGTAATCAATAACAAAGTTCTACATATCTACAATAAGCCAGTTCGGTATTCCAACTTCGCATGAGCACATTAAGATTTTTCAAGACAATTTTTCTTTCGGGATAAAAATTTCATCGTATGCGTGCAAAAGCATAGTGGGTACCAGCAAAATTGAAGAGATCGTTGTGTACTGAAGTACCGCTTTGCAAAAAACTTTTGGACAGCGAAGTGTTTTTAGGTGTCTTGTGTGCCCAAACTTTTGTGCGAACGAAAGTTCCACTTTTGATTGCATGAAAAATAACACAGAATGCAGATTTGGTATAAACGAGGTGAGTCTGAGCATGCTCAGTCACTACTTGGTCGGTAATACCAGAAACGAGCTCTGAAGTCGTCGCTACATGTCATGAAGCCAGGGCCCGTCGGGGAATGGACGATGCATCGCACGATGTTGTTGTGACCTGTAGCGAAAAAAATGAAACCAAAAACACGAAAAGACAAAATTAATCAAACGAGATGAACGTGTTTAACACATTTGTCCTTGTACCGTCCCAAACTGCCCTGATTTTTGGGGTTCCTGATTAATTGACCTATCGTCGTTTGCGAGTTAGCCACGCCCCTTAGACAACCCTATGGAATTTTACACGTTTAGTTTTGTTTGTCTCAGATTTTGCGTGTTCCGCGTCCATTTGTACTTCTACTATATTCCACAAGCTGCACTGACGCGATTCTCACAACAGAAAGTTCGCCAACAGAAAATTTAGTTCTATTTCAAAATTAAATTAGTTGAAAATTTACTCGCACTTTTCCAAACTACCCTTTAGGAAATATTCCAACCCAACTCTGTAGTGAGTAGGAACAATAAATGCAATGCGCATACCCCTTGCTATGCATGTAATACTTTTCAGCTGTTCAGTTGTCTTTTTGGCCGTGCACGGCAAGATTTTCAAAGTAGCAAATGTCATGTGACGCGCTCTCGACCAATCAAGAGACAGAATCTTGGGGTTTAGGCATTAAAATATCAGAGTGGAGAGCATGGATGAGGTTATTATAAAGCAAACCAAAGCAAACTGTAAACAGACAGAGTGACTGACTAACAGACAGAAACACAAAGTTTGGCAGAAATTATACAGACCTAGAGACAGGAGTTTATTTCTCTCTGCGTTACGCGAATCCCAGCAACACAGACTTGTAGTCTTCTCATCAGGGAAAAACACTGTAGCGGGAAAAACACAGGAAACAAGACTATCAATATCACTGACTGTACTTATGAAAGGAGTCAGGTTGGCGTAGCGGTACTTTCCTCGCCTTCCACCGCTGTGACCCGGGTTCGAATCCCGCCTGGGCCAATATGTGGATTGGGTTTTCAGTCCCTACCTGATTCCTTGGGTTTCCCCAGAATATTCTTCTGGGCTTTTCCTCCCACCTCTAAAACTGTAATTTCTTCTCATTGTCTTCTCTCTACAGGTTTCTTCATGCTTGCGAGCTACAGTGCCTAGGGAACTTTTGAGGAATCCTAAGTTTTTTTACCAGAACTATTATAATAAAAATACTGAATACATGAAACAACTTGAGGAATTCTTAGACTTTTTCACTTTTCTAGATTTTTGTGGTGTAAAACTTTCACTAAGAAGTTGAACTTAATAAAATTGCCAATAAACATGAAAGGGAAACTGACCAGGTGCCTGTATAATAATTACAAAATTGAACAAAGAAATTGACTGGAGCAAGGTTTGAACCTGTAACCTCCGGATTGCTGTTCCGGTGCTCTACCAACTGAGCTATCCAGCCTTATGTTAGTGGTTCCCTATTTGTTGTCAGTGTCTAAGTTCAAGGGGCGCTAGTCAGAAGCCATAAACCTGTATATGCCATGTAGCCAGGGATCACGCCCAAAGTCACGATGCTAGCAACATTCGCGATGCTGCAAACCTTGGAAAATAGCAAACGAGGATCACTCAGAGAGAATAGTATTTTTTATAACAAACTGTCAAAACAACAAAACCCATACCATAATCCTCGGAGTGGTTGAAGACGGCTCTTGTTTCGTGGACCTGTTTGTCTGAGCTGGCGCCTGTGTAAGTGATTAACACACGGCTTGTAGAGACCTCCCACAACTTGACCAAGCAGTCTTTGCCGCTGGAAAGTAGGTACTATGTGAAAGACAAGACAAGAGATGATATAAGTGTGAACAGAGTTTTTTCTAAGAATGCAGTTTAAAACAAGGTGATCCGCAGATCACACGTGTAGCCTTTTTTTCGTGGTCGATCCCTGTATGTTTTGTGTTCTTATTCTTGTAGAACCTGTTCATTTTCAGTTGAAGAAATGATTGGCTCTTGGAATGTATTTAATTGCTTCTATGAATTAACAGCATTTCATATTTTATCCATTATGAGTTATGACCTCAATTGACCCCTGGATGACCTTTGACATTCCATCATCAAAACAACACATCAGCAGCGTTTAGGCGACACAAAAATGTTAAAGCGTTATAAACTAAATTTTGCAGCTCTAAATTTTGCATCACCTTACTCATTCTTAAGCCTGCAAATTTCTCCAAAAATTCTATTGGACAAAGAAAAGGTCCTCAGTATTTCACCAACCAAGTTTGCAGACTCAATTCAATTTTTAAAGGAGACATTTCTTCAATATTTTGCACATGAGAGGGAAGTCAAGTGATTTTAAAATGAGGCTAAAGACTAGACTGGTACATGTCCGACCATGGTCCAACTGTTTGAAACGACTGACCTCTTCATTCAGTGTCAATAGTCTGGCGGCTGACTATGAAGAAATGTGTTGTAAATTGAGACTAGTTCCCGGTTCATGCCACGTTTCTTTTGGCACAGTTGATTGATGCAGTACTGAAGCAGTGTTGGACTGGTTGTTTCAGGTACCAGTCTATTTTCTTGTTTTTGCATGTTTTTAATACCTTAAGTTTTGGGACTCTCATACACAGTATTGAGAGTCCCAAATTTTCGGACTAAGCCCAACCCACACTTTACCTTTGAGTTCCTAGAGAACTGCACCGAGCACACATCAGTACCACTGTGAGCTTTTTCTAAGGTGTTGACGCATCGGTTACTGATCCCATCCCATATTTTGATGCTTCCGTCTTGACTGGCGCTGGCATAGATGCTTGCATTGGGGCTGTAGGTGACCTGGAGTGAAATGTCATCGAGGAATTCTAGTTAAAATAGGTCACAGATTGTGGAGACAAAGAAACCTGTACACCAAACAAGGGATAAATAATTTTGATAACAGCTTTATAACTGGCAAATAGAATAAATATATGACTAAGGTGTCTACATTTTGTAAAGTTCAGCAAATATCTTAAATAAGGGAATAAATGTGTACTTGGCCAGTGTTAAACACTATGTTTAAGATCACTTGGAGTCTGGATGCTGATAATGACCCGAGACGAAATCAAAATTTTTCGGTCTAGAAGTCAAAATAAGTCAAAAATCACAATTTTTTTTAAATTCTTGTTTTCGCTGTTTTGATGCTGACTAACTAAACGTGATCACATGGGGGCAGTATTCATACAACTAGACTAGTTCCCGTCCCCTACATTATATGATGGCAGAGTGATAAGCGCGGGACTAGGAACCATTCTCAACAAACAACAAAATATCATATTGAAACTGCACGCTGTTTCTGACTCCCCCTCCCCCCAGCACCGCCCCACCCCAACAATATTAATGACAACTTACCGCTCTGACCGGTCCTGTATGTTGATCCTTAGGGTTACTGGATACATAGCACTGTAAGGTCGTTACATCATACAGTCTCACTACAATCAACAACAAAAACATGATGGATTTAAAAATGGTTTTAAATTATTCTAAAAAAATTCACCGAATACAAATGTAAAAAAAACACACACAAAAGCAAGTGGATCAAAATTTGAATTTGAGATATATATGGTAACTGCTATAATTTCAATATTTGTTAATTAAACACAGGAAAATTACATGTTATTTTTTCAATAATACCAAAGAAGCCATGTAGGATTCTTGCTAGTGTGAACAGGTTTCTTAAAATCTATGCATTCGACCTAGGTAAAACGGGGAAATTTTTGAAAAGTATGAAAGTCCCGTTAGTGGATTTTTGAACTTACAGGTTGGATGCTGGGTGCCGACTAGGAGGAAGTTTCCTCCAGGATGAAAGTTAAGACATGAGATCTCTTCAGCTTCTTGCAGGCTGCGGAACGCCCGCTTGACCCCCGACTTGGAGAAATCAAAGAACTTGATAGTAAAGTCCTTGCTGCCAGAAGCTAGGAGCGGCAAACTGGGGTGGAAATCCAGGGCCGTCACATCCTAGTTTGGGAGAAACAAATAGTTTTAAAGAAACTTGAGTCACTGCACAAAACAAAAGTCAACCACACAAAAGAATTGTGGGCAAAACTAGCTTCGCAAAACTTCAAGGATTGTAAAGTGCAGAAGACAAGTAAGGTTTAAGGGTGCAGATCTGCAAATAGGCCCAGAATTGTCTATGTGAGCTAAATCACAATTAGTATGCCATTAAATTCTCAGGAATTATAGCATTTTGAGAGCCCTGAAATTGAGAATTTGTAAAAAAGAAGAGTGGAAGCTGCGCAGGGGACTGTGAGCTTGTATTTCTGTGAAATTTGGATGAAATTAGGCCGTATAATGGCTGCACTTTGCATTGGAGTGTAGGCGTCCATTTTCAAAATGGCGATGGGCTTCAGACTGCTTTTAGGGGTGATCATCTTCGGATGGAATTTTCTCCCAAAAGTCATCAGTTAACCCCCCAGACAATGAACAGAAAATGAAAGATGAGGATATAAGCTTTAATTTGATGTGTGTCTCAAACACCTTGGAGAGTTTTGAGTATTTTAATAATTTTGGAAGTACGCGTAATTACCATTGGGTCTAAGGGAGTTGATTTGCAGGTCTGCAGCCTTAATGGATATATTTCTCCTCGGAGTATCCGAAAAAAATTATTTGTTTCAGCGCCCTCGTTCACTACAAAAACATTGCCAATAGGTGGTGCTCTTCACTTACCTCAATATGATCGTACAGTGTCCTGATGACTGGATGACTGTCGACGTTGTGTTGGGATTCTGGCATGTTGGTGGCGCTCTTCGCAAGCATTCTCTCCACGTCCAGTATCTGAGCAATTGCAATGAAGTTCAAACATAAAAGATTACAAAAATCACTCCAGTATTTTTTTATCTTGAAGTTTGACTTGTGAAGTCGCATTTGTCATCCTTTGATTCACATGCCTGTTGTGCGATTTGAAATGGTTTCGAGAGTACAGTTGAAATAAATTTCTATCACGTTACCTTGATTGAAGCATCGTCTGATCCCGTGGCAACCAACTGACCTGAAAGAAAAAGAAAAACGATTACACGTTCAAACTGCTTCTTTGAGTTCATTAGGAGCCCTAACCCTGCTGAATCCAACAGGATCCAACTATGTCACATACCCGATGGAGCCTGTAGGATTGAGCAGTTAACTCCTTGTGTACATTCCTCATGCAAAATGTTGGATTCAGCAGGCAACTGAACCGCATTATAACGCCAAGTTGGACTCCGTTGGATCTAGCAGACAACTGAAAATCGGGCACAGTGGATTGAGCAGGAAACTCCGGTTGGACTCTGTTGGATTTAGCAGGGTAGTCCTGAGGAACTACTAGGGGGTTAGGATGCTAAGAGAACCAAATAGCAAAAGTTGATGGGTGGGTGGGGGAAGTTTACAAAATTTGTTCCCCGAAATTTCAATTTGCCAGATTGTGGGCCATGAAATTGAAAGGGAGACAAAACTGGGGTTTGAGACGACCCAAGACTGATGATTGAAGCCACATTTGCATACAGTGCGCCACACACACGCGAGCCGTGTTTAGAGAGCGCGTACATCAGATGCACAGCGTCCTTCCCCAACCCCTTTTTTCCCAGTCGTGATTTTTTCACAACTGATTTTGACACAATGCTGTCCGTTTCACGTTTTGAGTGTTTGGGTCAGGACTTACCATCTTTACTCCAAGCTGCGACTCTGCACGGTGCCTTGTGAGACGTCACATAACACGTCTCATAGTGGGCTGCCTCTGGTGCTAAAGTTTGCACTGAAGAAAATATAAACAACAGAAATATCATCAACTACAATGTATGTACCAAGTTTTGAGTCATATTTTCATTAAAAATATATTTGACACCTTAAAGTACAAAAATCAACCCAAACCAGTTTAGGGCTGTGACAAAAATACAGAAATCTGAATATCTGGTTAAAAACCGTTATCCACCAAATATCTGTCAGCGGTCTGCAAAAGATGGGGAAAAACTGTCAGTGATGTTTATGTGGTTTGTCACAAGATTATCCAAAAACAACTGATAAAATTATTGTCAAAAAGCTAACTAGGTTTAAGATAGTAATGGCAGTAAACTCCCTGTGAAATTATTCTTTCTGGCATGCTGTCATTTTAAAGAAAACAATAAAAGAAGGTCATTTCCAAAGATGCATCAAGTGACACATTTTTGGAGATTTCCGTTTGAAATTTGGCGAATCCGTAATGGGTGCGCGCATGCAAGCGTTGACATGACGCACATGTGCGTGAGGTTGATATTATTTGATGGTTCAGTGTGTGACATCGCGTAGCTGCAATAGGCTGAATGGGAAACATGTCCCCAGACGCTGATTTGGGGCGCAATTCAAAACATGACTCGGAAACTTTTGAATTGAAACCGAGACCCTAGAATATTGTTTTTCTCGGAATATACAGCATTCACTGAGCTAAAACTTCATCAGGTTAGTTGTTCAGTACCCTTCTTTAGATTTTGAGCACTTTGTTGCTTCAAATGGAAAAAAATGCACAAATGACAAATGATCTACCCTGCTTTTAAATTATACACCAATACAATTTCTGTAAATGTAACATATGACAAATACAGTATGATGGGTTGGCCACAGTGTTTCTCTACATATATATTTAAGGGAATAAGTCTTTTTCACATACCATCGGTATCAAACTCTAAATCAATCCCGGTGCCAGGAGCAACTGAGTCGACCAGTTGAACTTGAACTTCACCTGTAACAAAATTAAAACAAAATTCATAAATCAGCCTCTAATTGCTGGTTTCCCCCTGTTCACAGTTGTTGAATAAATTAACTGTAAATAAGGAAAGAAAGTTGCCAAATAAATCACAACGGCAAATTGACTGGGAAGTAGGTTCATATATTAAATGAGCAAAGGAATCGACAAGTGCGTGGTTTGAACCTGCGACCTCCGGATTACCATCCAGTGCTCTACCAACTGAGCTATCCAGCCCTGTGTAGGCGGTTCCCTAATTCGTCAATCTCCTTGTTCAAGGGGCGCTAGTCAGAAGTCATAATCCCATATATGGGGTCCTACTAAAGCGCGTCAACAAGCGTCAACAAGCGTCAACAAGCGTCAACAAGTTTTAGTAATCGTTAAGTGCGCGTCAACAAATTTTGTATAGGCCTTTGAACAATAAAAACAGCTTTATATGGTAGAAAAAGCAATAATGAGCATCTTCTGCATATCAATTAAAGTTAAAATTATTTTAAAACTTGGTTTTTTGAACGCGAAATGTACGACGAATTTGTTGATAAAAGTAGGCCGTCATCTTGTTTGGATGGCGCTGTAGACTTCGCGCATGCGTAGTATGGCTCTTTACACTTCACGCATGCGTAGTACGGCTAGCTACACATAAACAAGATGGCGACAAATTCGTCGTACATTTCGCGTTCAAAAAACCAAGTTTTAAAATAATTTTAACTTTAATTGATATGCAGAAGATGTTCATTATTGCTTTTTCTACCATATAAAGCTGTTTTTATTGTTCAAAGGCCTATACAAAATTTGTTGACGCGCACTTAACGATTACTAAAACTTGTTGACGCTTGTTGACGCTTGTTGACGCGCTTTAGTAGGACCGCATATATGCCATGCAGCCAGGGATCACGCCCAAAGTCACGATACAGACCTGGGAAATAGCAAACGGGGATCGCTCAGAGATGATACAGCTTTTTTAAAAGGAAAGTATTTGACTTACGGTCTGGTTCAGCTCTGAGGCCAAGCTGGACGACATGTTGCAATCGATTAGACGGTGGACAGTCAGGGAATGCGTAGACTGCCTTGCTGAGCTGACCGGCGATCTCATGGTGACCATCGTGAAGCATTTGACTACAAACAACACAAAAAAAGCCAATAAAGTAGACGATAATTCCCCCATTACTATAACAATAGCCCAACTTAGCCCAGGTTGGACTCTGTTCTGTACACGCGACGGAGTCCAGGGTATGGACGTCTGCTGCTGTAGTGACAAAAATTATTAAACACTTTTTGATATTCTTACCTGACTGCCTGATGGAGGAAGCTGAAATTTCGTTTACAAATTCCATGTGTCCAGAATTATGCATAGGGTTTAGAAAAGGTAAATATTCTAGCGGGCGACGTTTTTACTGAAAATATACTGTGGATCCACGCTTTCGTCGAAAACATCCTCAGTACGAACATGTCATGTGAAGACTTAGGCCAAATAAAACAAAGAAACATGTTTAGCGTCCCCGCCAGCTTCCTTTTTGTGGAGACGAACTCCTTTTTGTTTTGTTTTTGTTTTTAAATGATAAATTTTAAACAGTGACACAATTTTGGCCTTTTTGTCTGTTGCATATGGTTGCATCTAGCCCATATAAAGTCATTTCCCGAGTCCAATGGCGGCCATTAAAAATAAAAAACTAGGCCCTAGCGACTGTCTTGAAAAATAGCCCGGTCGGGCGGCCATTTTGGAGGGGAAAAAAAAAGAAAAGGGCCTCCCGCTTCCTTTTTTTCTCTCAAAAAGGCAGGACGCTAATCATGTTCATACTGAAAATGTTTTTGCATGTTTTGGAAGTATGCGACCTGAAATAGTGTCGTTTGGAAGATAACACTGACGGTGATTTTGAAAGAAGTTGCCGGCGGGCACACTTTTATATACATGTGCATTAGCCACCCAAAACAACTCCCAAATCCCCTCCCCGGATCCACCTTTGGGAACTGATAATCTTTAAATTTTGTAAATTCTGAGCCCGAGACAGAGAGGTATGTACAGCGCTGCGCGTGCGAGCGCCCTCTATATTTTTCCACACGTGCATGCAGCACAAACAACATGAACACAGTAGCGATCGTATCGGCGCGAGATAAATCTAAAAATACCTTACCTTATCATTAACCGGTACATTAGATCCCTCTCCCGAACAGTAAGTGTCCCCGTGGTCATTGTGGATTCTTTATTAACGAAATTAATTGATAAAACGCAGCAGAAAGTGGGAAATTTCTGCGCCGTTTGTTGTCGCTCCGAAGTTCGATATCCTCGCAAATTCAGTCTGGTAGCTCTGTAAATGTAATTGATCCTCATTCTTTTGCACGGAACTGGCTAATTGTCGACGTTGGGAAGCCAGACATATTGAAACCTCGTCCCCAGGGCTTTTAAAGCGTGAGTTATAACCTGGCATGCATTATTTGTTTGTAACGAGGTTGCCGTTTATACTTTTTCCAGTCTTCTTGTTTCTCTTCAAAATAGTATAAACTATAATATTGAAATTTATGAAAACTCAAATTCAGTTTTTTTCCCCTTGAAACCCTTAATAAATTTACACTCTTCAAAATTTGGCATTTGTATTCATTCAATATTTGTCCTTTCAGATCATTCAGGGAACCAGCATGACCAGAAATATACTCGATAGCCACAGCGTATTTCAATTCTTGACTAAACACCTAAACTTTTCCAAAAACTTTCTTCACAGATTCAAGATGGCATCTTGTGCGATACATCACTCATCTTCAGCCAGCCGGTCACTTCTACGGACAACGCGATGGTCTATCTTGCAAGGTATAACTATCTAGCATGAACAACATGAAATCATATTATTTCCCCAAATAATTGGTCCTCCTTTTTATAGGTCATGTAACATAGGCCCTGCAGTCCACTTTTAACACTGCATATTTTGTATTACGTGATGTGTTAATGTATTATGTATTTCCTTTTTTATGTCATTGCTTAGGAAACATTGCACGATGCCTGTCAACAAAAGTTACCCAGACGCCTCATGTGATTGGATCAGCTTGTTACCATGGCAACAGATACGACTCGGCAACCAGTCAACCTCCACGTTTCTCTCTGACGGCATCGTTGACAAAGACGTCTGAAGTCAAACCCAGCGCAGTGGGCAAGAGGCAAGCACGGTTGTATCCTGTATCGAACTTAGAGGTCGATTTCGAGAAAGCGTTCACAAGGCTGACTATATCCCCTCTGGAGTCCAGACTTAACGCAGAGCTAATGCTACCAAGTGTGGATCGGCACCACGCTAAAGTCATCTTAGATCCGTCTCCGTTCGCATCATTGCTCCGTGATTGTCCAACGATGACTCCCCTTGCGCCGCTCTACGACCCTCTCTCAAATCCAAACCGCGAGATCCGACTCCCATTTAACGAGAACGCGACTAAGAAGCACGCTTCAAACATCCTCCACAAGCGGCGTCGCAAGATGAACCGTCACCAGTACCTCAAGTGGAAGAAGCGGAATAAGTTCAAGCTCCGCATCCAAAAGCAACGAAAGCAGAAGAAGAAGAGGTTGAAGTGGGAGCAGCATCTCGCCAAGTTCCGCTTCACAGGACTGAAACCGGGCGAAGGGGAGGAGTACTTGGCGAAGAGGAGGGCCAAGCTGGCCATCTTCCTGAGGCATCTTGGGATTGAGACGGATGAGGAGGAAGTAGCCAAGAAAACAAAGATGAGCAGTCGAGTTCAGAAGGTCGGGAGAGTCCTGCCTGAGCCCCTGTTACCCGAACATGCAAAAACTTTTCCGAACAATTGAGACGTACATGCGTGGTTGTTTATAACATCTGACATTCTGTCAAAACCACGTCTAGGCAAAGTTTGAAATAAATATACGACCAAACAGGATTAGGCAAGTCTAGTAAAGCTGGTCCCAGAGTGCACAAATTTTTTATTTCATTGATTCAGAAAGGCTATTCACTTGAAGTCTTTTCAAGCATCTGGTCTACACAATGGGCCGGATTTAGCCCATCCATTGGCGTTAGAGGTAATCCTATACAATAGCACTGCCCAGCTCATGAGTGACAGTCGGTCGATTAGTCAGTCAGTCAGGTACAACAAAGACTCTAGGCTAGCCTTCTGGAACCAACAAAACATATGTGTGGTTGATTTTGTGGGTTGATTCAGAATTCGATTTTCAGGGTTTTTGTTTGTAAATTTGTTATCCTAAATACACGCGAGATAAACTTTAAAAAGTTGCAGACCATAGTTTTGCCTCTAAAGATGATTTTCTTGAATGATTTAGTTCAAGAAATGCATAACCCAAAATGTTAACAAGAAATTTCTGTTTTCAACTTTTTTTGACGTCATCAACTTCAAATGGGGATAATTTTGTCATGGAAAGTCCGTATTTGGAAAGTACATGACAGTCATTGTAAAGGGGAGATGTGTATTTTGTCATTTTTGTCTCAGAAACCTATTTTCAACAAGCCGCCCGACAGAAAATGTCGCTAATGTGTGGGCTGTTGTGTTTTTCAGTTAATAAGTAAATTAAAACAAATGAATTTTACACATAATTTGTTACTTGAAGCTACATGCAACAAGTCATCCTATTATGTCATTTTACACTAATTTTGAATGCAAATTCACGAGCTGCAAACTTGGGACAGCCAAGATTTTCCGGAATACCCAATTTTTGTTAATTGTTTTATAGGTCTCGACATTTAATAAAGAAAAAAAAAAAAAACCAGTATAATTTTTATCATATAAAATTGTTTTATTTATGCAGTATTGGTTTACTTAGAAAAATGTGCAGATTAAGATAAGTTATTCAAAATGCATTTCCTTAAAGTTTTCCTAGACTATTTCCTGGAAAAATAGACTTACTGGAAAAATAGATCAATTTCTAGTTTACAATTTCAGAAAAAGTTGCATTTACAATACATGGTGCAAAATCTTTGGAAATAAAACATAATAAAACAATTCCCAAATCAGTTATGCCATTGAATACTTAACATTACTCAGTAAAAATGGAATTGTTTCACTGCTTGATAAGTTGATACTAAATATGTATTAGAGTACTAAATAAGGCATGATAATTTATGACTGTTTTTTCCCCAACCAAAAAGGAAAGAATTATAAGTGTTTTGACTACATGTATATTAAAATATTTTGTAATTGATGACTTTTCAATCAACTTTGAAACCTAGTTTAAGGTAGAATGGACAGTTTGTCATTTGTGAATAATTTTTCGTTTAAAGCAACAAAAGTGCTCAAAATCTTAAGTCGGGTGCTTAACAACTAACTTAATGAAGTTTCAGCTCTGTGTATGCTGTAATATTTTGAGAAAACAAAATACACGTGTTTTGGATCTCGACTTTAATTCAAAAAGTTTCAGAGTCATATTTTGAATTGCGCCCTCTCGTGACATGATCCCAAAATCAGCATTCGGAACATGATTCTCATTCAGCTGATTAAAATTACGCGGTCACACACTTAACCGACAAATAGTAACCGCGCACGCGTGTGTGTCCGTGTCAACGCTCACACCCATTCACAGATTCACCCAACTACAAACAAAAATTTTGTTTGCTTTAAAATGGCAGCATGCCAAAAGGACTTTCACAGCGAATTTAGTGTTCATTACAATATGTAAACCAAGTAAGCTTTTATATAATAATTTGGTCAGTTACTTTTTGGACAGCTGCAAATGGCCCACTCTTCCTTATAGTACCTTCTAATTCATCAAACTTTGAATTTTTCTACTCCCCAGATTGTTAAATAAATCTGATACAATTCAGTTCCATGGTATTTGAATTGTAAATGACATCACTAACTTCCTTAATTTTGTAGCTAAATTTTCAGATATTTTCATATTAAAGGAAAGTGTAGTTTCAAATAGAGCGCTGCAATGATCTTTTCAAAATATATCAAATATATGCTTCAACTGCATGAACACACACAAAATTCAGTTATTCCCCTCATTGGAATTAAATTATTTGTGTAATGTACGAATTCAGAGAGGTTTTATACACAAATAATGTTGCGCACCTAAGGCATCACTGATGGAAGATATATTGAAGCCAGCATTCTCAATCAACGCTTGCCCCTTTTCTCGCCCCATGGCCGCCCCTAGCGCTGCGCCCTCCCCCTTACACAGCGACGTCGGTACGCAATTCAGCAAACTGAGGCTGTAAAGCACGTGACTATGCTTGACGTCTTCGGATAGGTTACCCTTGAGAGTTGAATGCGATTTGGGATCGACGACGGACAGAGCGCCCCCTGGAGTCAGCGCGCGGAGAATCCCCTTGAGCACTTTGTGCGGGTCGGTCAAGTCGTGGATGACCATGTGAGCGAACGCGTAACCGAATTTGTCGGTCCAATCTGCGGGTAGCGCCGTGACGTCTTGACAGATGAAAGTCGCGTTTGTCAAGCCCGCTGCGTCGGCTTTAGCCTGCGCTTCTTTGATGCCCGTAACAGAGAAGTCAAGTCCGTGTACGTGGCTTTTCGGGAAGCGTTTGGCCATTTCAATGGTTGACGTCCCAGCTCCACAGCCAATGTCCAGTACATTCAGGCCCGACTCTGAAACGTTAAAACAATCCAACATATCAACATGTATTATACTGGATAAGCCATTGAAAACAAATAAGAAATTTATACAATGCCAAAAAATATACATAAAAATTGCAATAGAAAATCTGACTGGACTTTAAAGGGACACTGTGTCCTGGAACAGCCCAGAGACAAAGCATGAGAAAAAGTAAGAATTTTACCCAATTTGGCTTGAATGTCCGGCATGGAAGGAAAGAAATCCGTGATGAACTCATTCTGGAACATGGGCCCATGGACCTGCGTCATCAAGGCATCAAACCTGTCATACTTCTCATATGGAACACCTACAAGCAAAAGAGGACAAATAAACTCTGATAAAGTTAAATTCCCTGTGCCATTTTACAACTTCCATCCTGAAAAATGGACTTCTTTTCTAACGGGGTGTTTTTCAAGCAGTACAAAAGTTAGTCATTTTTTTAATGAGACATCCATAAAAAACAAGTCAGGTGTGTTTACAAACACAAATGCCCCGCAACCGTGACTGTTCCCATGACATAACACCACTCTTTTAACATCAACTTACACGTACCGTAACTTGGTCACATGGAACGTTCATTGACAGCATTAGTGTCTTCTGTAGGTTTTATATGAATTAATCCCTAATCCCTATGATCTCAGAATCAATACAAGATTTCTATTGTTTGAGCCACTGTGACCTTGACCCTTGACCTTTCGACCCCCAATGCGATAGGCCTATTTGGATTACCAAGATCGTGATGATCCACAAACCAAATTTGAAGTTCACATGTGAAGAATTTTTCAAGTTATCGCGCTGACAAAATTTCTTTTGTTTTAGCCACTATGACCTTGACCCTTGACCTTTTGGCCCCAAATGCAAAAGGCTTCTTAGGATTGCCAAGGACAATCCACAAACCAAATTTGAAGTTCATATGTAAAGTATTTCTCAAGTTATCGCGCTGACAAAATTTCTATTGTTTCAGCCACTGTGACCTTGACCCTTGACCTTTCAGCCCCAAATGCAATAGGCTTCTTAGGATTACCAAGAACAATACACAAACCAAATTTGAATTTCATATGTAAAGTATTTCTCAAGTTATTGCGCTGACAAAATTTCTTTTGTTTTAGTCACTGTGACCTTGACCCACGACCTTTCAGCCCCAAATGCAAAAGGGTTGTTAGGATTACCAAGAACAATACACAAACCAAATTTGAGGTTCATATGTAAAGTATTTCTCAAGTTATCGCGCTGACAAAATTTCTTTTGTTTTAGTCACTGTGACCTTGACCCACGACCTTTCAGCCCCAAATGCAAAAGGGTTGTTAGGATTACCAAGAACAATACACAAACCAAATTTGAGGTTCATATGTAAAGTATTTCTCAAGTTATCGCGCTGACAAAATTTCTTTTGTTTTAGTCACTGTGACCTTGACCCTTGACCTTTCGGCCCCAAATGCAAAAGGGTTGTTAGGATTACCAAGAACAATACACAAACCAAATTTGAGGTTCATATGTAAAGTATTTCTCAAGTTATCGCGCTGACAAAATTTCTTTTGTTTTAGTCACTGTGACCTTAACCCTTGACCTTTTGGCCCCAAATGCAAAAGGGTTGTTAGGATTACCAAGAACAATACACAAACCAAATTTGAAGTTCATATGTAAAGTATTTCTCAAGTTATCGCGCTGACAAAATGTCTTTTGTTTTAGTCACTGTGACCTTGACCCTTGACCTTTCGGCCCCAAATGCAAAAGGGTTGTTAGGATTACCAAGAACAATACACAAACCAAATTTGAAGTTCATATGTTAAGTATTTCTCAAGTTATCGCGCTGACAAGATTTGTCCGGACACACACACACACACCCACACCGACTTACGTTACATACCTTGTGTGGACATTGCTTTGTTTTCGTGTAGTTAAGAAAACTCGGTACAAAAAATCACTTTACTTAAACTGTGAAAACTCTTTTAACCCAATTTTTTTTCTATGATTCCCTATAGTGTTTCTCTTCATTCTGCTACGGATAAACCTAACCCAAAAATGCCTCTAAACCTGTTTTCCAGAAAGGGCAAAACCTTATGTGGACACGGCTTAGTCCACATAAGGTTAACACAACCTGCATTATGTGGACCTCTTTTGTTCACAAGTCCACATAGGGTATGTAACACAAACTCACCCACCCCCACACACCCACCCAACCACGGAAGGACAAGGCGGAAACAGTATGCCCCTTCGGCTTCGCCGCGGGGCATAAAAAACAGCTGAAGTTTACTTATGGAAGTATTACTTTATTAATTTTGAATTATTTTCAGCCAGACACGTATTTTGTTTTGCCATGATTTTGATTTTGTTTAATCACATGTTTTGGTGGTAAAGTGTCCAGCTTGAAGACACAACCAATCCAGTGAATCCGCAAAGGGAAAGATGAAATCATCTCTTCTACAAACCCCCAGTTTGCAATGCAAAATTGTTCAGGAACAAATTTTAAAGAAACCCTCAGTCTTTGAACAATTTGCAACTGGTGTACTTCTTCATAAGGTAGAGAAACCAGTTACTGTAGAGTGTCTTGCCCAAGAACACAACCAAGAACTAGAACCAAGCCAGAGGTCATCTCTTCGACCAAACCTTCGTATTTGGTTTCATGTAATTTTCCTCAATTTGCAATGCGAAAATGATTCAGGAACAAACAAATAGCTATCTTTGAGCAATTTGCAACTGATGTACCTCCTCATTAGGTAGAGAGAACCAGTTGCTGTAAAGTGTCTTGCCCAAGAACACAACCAAGAACAAGAACACACACAAGCACAAGCTAGAAATCATCTCTTCGACCAAACCTTCATATTTGGTTTCATGTAATTTTCCTCAGTTTGCAATGCAAAAATGATTCAGGAACAAACAAATAGTGATCTTTGAGCAATTTGCAACTGGTGTACTTCGTAATTGGGAAGAGAGAACCAGTTGTTGTAAAGTGTCTTGCCCAAGAACACAAGGTCAATCCCACACAAGCACAAGCTACAACTCATCTCTACAATCAAACCTTGTTTCTGGCTTCAAAAGGGGATGGAACCCATGTGATTATCCTCAGTTGCCATAAGATGATGATTCAGGGGAAAAAAAGATATATTTCACGTTGTTACCTGGAGGTCCATCTTCTTGGAAGCAATCGGCGACATCAAAGAAAGCTGTGCTCAACGTTGGGGTGCACATGGCCATTCCTCGGGATTGTGTGATAGAGTGACGATGTTTAGGAATCCAGTACTTCTCTTCAACTGGGTCAAAACTGACGATGTGTGCCGTCACCATGGATCCTAGCCACTCCCTCACATACCTAGTGAGTGAAGATAAAAGTCCAAGTCTGAAAATACCCAAGACAAGTGTAGCCAACATACCAGAGTGCATTTTTCAATTCAAACAAATCACAAAGGAAAACTGACAAGGTACGTTATAATAATCTTTAGAGTCGAACAAAGAAATTGACACTGGAGCGGGGTTTGAACCTGCGACCTCCGGATTGCCGTTCCGGTGCTCTACCAACTGAGCTATCCAGCCCTATGTTGGCGGTTCACACACAGAACACCCCCAACACAGATTTATTCACTGCTTTTTAGCAAGCTGGCATGTTGGTATGTTTGGCCGACCATAGATCATACCAGCTGAAGGAGTTCTAATGGTGTAGTTTGTTCATAGTGTTACTACAACGAAAATTTAAGAACAGTGCTTCAGAAGTATCCACGGACAATTTGAGGTATGGAGTGCCATTTAGTCATGTGGTGAAATGGCTTGCAGTTTGATAACTGGGACCAGATGAACAAACAGGCATAACTTTCTTATTTTGGAAAGGATTCCATACTGGGCCACCACCCAGACCTCCTGCACGAAGTCTATGGGCCATGACAGAAAAAGTTAGAGTATTATAAAATAATTTTTGCACTCCTTATTTGATTAAAATAGTGTTTCCTCGTCAGATCTACAACTTTTGGTACTTTTCATGTCATATTAAGGGAATATGAGTGGTGGCCCAGTATGGAATTCTTTCCACATATTTGCTTTCAATCACTCCTAGGCAGTGAAAACTGGGTTGAAAAAGGGAGTTTTCAACTTGTGGTCCACTTTTCATGCTCTAGTGATTTCCGCATGACTGAGCAAACAATTTGGTCCTGGGGAAAGCCAAGTCAATAAACAATGTTGTTTTGGAAAGGTTTAAAACAAAATAAATAAATAAAGGATAGTAGATACCAGCAGGAAAAAGGAATCGGGCCGGTACGAGAAACTGGTTTATTTTTTACTTGGCCTCACCTTTCTTTAAATTTGCCGGCTTCAGCAATCTCTTGACAGGTCTTGGGCGTTTCCATGGAAATCATCAATTTGAATAAACCAGTTTCAAACCCAAGGGCCATGGTGATGCATGTTATGCCATTGTTGACGATACTCCTCATACGGCTATTAAAATCCTTCTCCGTTTCATCACTGAAGTCTTTACTGTCGCCCATGGCTGCTGTCTACAAAAAGGCCACTTTCCTGAAATAAAAATCAAATTCGGAAGTTTGAAAGACATGCAACATTACATTTATGAGAATTCTGTTTTCAAAAAGTTTCTTTATTTCTAATGAAATTTAGCATTGGTTCTAGGCCAAACTTGTTTTATAAATTGTTTCCCCACCGGAAAGATTCCCATGTCTGGCCATCACTTGTTGCCCTGTGCACAAACCCTACGAGACTGGTCTGAAAATTCTTAAGTGTTTTTTCAGTAAATACTTCAATATTTTCCCTGCTAAATTTGGCTTTTTAGGACATATTATCACTTTCTGATAGCTGATAGGTCACTGAGGGGAAAAATTAGTGATGGCCAGATATGGGAATCTTTCCGCTTGAATCTTGTCCGCTGAAAAACACCATTAGCGGGAAAAAATCTTGCAACCTGATGCCACTTTTGTGATTGTGTATCAATCAAGAGTCAAGAAAATATTTTCCAATAACGGGACCCTCTAATTACATCATACATGATATAAAAAATGGCGCAGAATGCGCAAAATCTGAGACTAACAAAACTTAGTGTACAAAAACTCCATAGGGTTGTCTAACAAGTAACATGTCTAACTAAGGGGCGTGGCTAACTCGCAAACGGCGATAGGTCAATTGCCAAATGCCGCCCGTGCATTCACAATCACACGCTTGACAAGTGACTTACCAGTGTTTGGATCCAGGAAAATAGTCTAATAAAATCCAGTGTCGCAAATTTTCCCTTGCTAATGTGACCAAATCAAAAGGTGGTGTGACATTTCTAGAAGACTTTTCAATAATAATACAGTTTATTCGGCATATACTCCCAAATTCCCCAAGTTCAGAAGATAAAATCGACCAAAGTTCACTCACCAAAATGCCAAAAATTACCTGCATTGTTAACAAGGGCGCCCTCAATCTCAATAGTACACTGTCGATCGTATCAGTGGGCGGTACCCAAACTGAGGGGGGGGGGGGGGCGCATAAACCCAGGGTTCTCCCCACGTACAAACGTGCGTATCGGCCCGATACGCTGGAATTGCGGCCCGATACGCCGACAAAAATGCCGATCACATTTTTCAGCCCCCGATACGCACAATATAATTATTATACAAGCCATTAAAATGCACAACATAATCGTTTCATACACCATTATTTCATCTTGACATGCAAAATCTTGACAAAAATCCCGCATTTCTGATGCATGCGTGATCAAAATGCACACGATGACGGGTCTTTCGCGTCAACCGCCAGCTATATATTAGCGCATACAGCACGGTACACTGGTTCCCTTCGCGTGCTAACAGTATCGATGCTATGATGAAGGACCGGAACCAGTGACTACTGCCTCGTGCGTGCATACGTACATGATGATGATGTCGGCCGAAGTTGGATCGTAAAAACACCAAACAAACATCGATGGAGAAAGAGAATTTCTGCAAATTAATTCACAGAACGTGATCTTTATTTTCTGTGTATGTATTTTCCATTAAAATGACGAGATTGCAAAGCTCGAACTTGTGGCGAAACATCGTAGCGTGCTTCTTAGAAGCAGTAGGGCCGTACACAGTGCAGTAATGCACACTGATACTGCGCGATGTACGGCCGGCCAGACTGAATGTTGGCAGTGCCAGGGGCCGTGATCGATGTACGTTAAGCATAGTGGAATCAACCTCCTCAAATATATTTTTAATTAGGTGAGGCAAGTTTTAATCACTTCTGATGGTCAGTCTTGATAATTTTCGTGGTGCAAAGGAAAATAATCCAGGCACAAAACTACATGATTCCTTGTTCAATATGCTCCATTCAATCATGTGTTTTTATTCCTCCATGATTCAATCAGCAGCCAAAACAATGGCGAAATAATTTGTCCGACCTACCGACGCTATTTTGAAAGCCATGTAGTCGGAAGCAAAAGTGATTTTTTTCTTCACCTTAATTTCTTAATTTGAAACTTGCTTGTAAATATAATCCATACTTTCTAGATCAAGAAGGTTTAACACAGGTTTTGAAATGTTGATTTTTATTTTTAAGTTAAAAACGTTGATATTTTTTTTCTCTCATTACAAAAAATATCACAAGATCTCCTCTAAATTTTAAGGAAAAATCTTCCTTAAAGACTCCCCAGATTTGCTCTAAAATGCACCAGAGAGCCTCTAAAGTTCAAAATTTTTCGGGGCCCTTAAGCGGGCCCCGAACCCCACGCCGTGGCTTCGCAGGTTGGTGAATCACAACAAAACTTCCCCCACAGGTTTGAAAAAATCCTGGGGAGAACCCTGAAACCGTCATAAATTTGGTTTATTTGGTGTGTTTTTTTAACAAAGGGAAACTACTTAACATAAAATGTGACAATGGTCATGTATTTCTCCAAGATACAGTAAAGTTTTTGAGATCAAATTACAGAGGTTAAATTTTTTAAGTGAATAATTACAATTGATTGGTTCTAAGCCGCGGAAGGGCGAGGGTACATTACTCAATTAAATTGCAAAAATAAATGCACATAGGGAAAGACAAAGACTGAAAACAAATAAGAAACGTACAACTGTGTGTCACGGTTTTCCTTTTATTAAAGAAGTGGGTTTTTTCACAATTATGTGTAGGCTTTAATGTACATGTACATTCATTTTTTGGGGTTATTGTCGAGTTCATAATCTGCGGATGACTAGCTAGTGCTACGAAAAGACAAATTTGATGTCATTTCTTTAAAGTCGGTTGCTTTACTCCAATTCTTTCAGATGTAAGCCTGGCGTCATTGATGAGATTAAGAGGAAATATGTGCTGGTCCCAGAGGGCCAGCCTAGCGTCCTCTTTGCTGCTCACTGTCAGTTGTGAGCCGGGCAGTGCTATTGTATAGGATTACCCTGTGACGCTATTATATGGGCTAAAATCTGGCCCATTGTGTAGACCAGATGCATGAAAAGACTTCTAGTAATAATCCATTCTTAATCAAATGAATAAAAGTTTCAGCACTCTGGGGCCAGCTTTTAACTACGCTTGCCCGGTCTCATTTTCAAGAAATCTTACACCATCACAATATTGGAATGTCATGGACAATTAAAAAAAAAAATTAGCATTTTTTTTTTTAATCGGGCCTCATGTGTGTTAGCCGAATAGATATTTGCAGACTTGTGCGTACTTTGAACTCCAGTCGGGTTGTCTGCTTGTTAACAATGATTTCTAGAATTTTATAATAAGTAAATACCGGCGACTGTAACAACAATTATCAAATATTAATATACAAGACTAAAGTGGGTAAATATTTGTAGTACAGGGCGAGTAAAAAAAAACCCGAAACCCAAATGTCTGGACTATTGTTTTAGTGAAGTTCTGCATGTAGCACTTTCAAAATCTAGGATATGAAAGCCCAATTCATAAGCTTTATTTTAGTACAAGGATCATTCAGATCATTTCGGTTAGTACAAGGATCATTCAATCACTCATGTACTTTTCAAGGTACGGGATCTTAAACACAACTACCGTTTTAAAGTTCTGTCCACGAATCACAAAAAAGGTGTGCGTTCTCTCAGCAAATTGAAAACATTTCACACACATCCCTATGTGATTTGAAAATTACATTAGTGATTTGAATGATTCTTGTACTAAAAGAAAGCTTATGTATTGGGCTTTAAAGCCTGGTCTTTGAAAGTGCTACATGAAGAACTTCACTTCAAATGAAGTGAAGGAAAATGCAGATTAAGATATCAATTCAAAATGCATTTCCTTAAAGTTGTCCTAGACTATTTCCTGAGATTGAAGACTTACTGGAAAAATATATCAATTTCTAGTTTACATTTCCAGAAAAAGTCGCATTTACAATTCATGGTGCAAAATCTTTGAAAAGGTACATTCAAATAAAACAATTGCCTAAACAGTTATGCCAGTGAATACTGACCATTACTCATTAAAAATGAAATTGATTCACTACTTGGTAAGTTGATACTAAATATGTATTAGAGTACTTAATAAGGCATGATATACACGACTGTTTTTACCCAATTCATCAAACTGAAATTTTTTGCTCCCCAGATAAAAAATACATCCGATACAATTCAGATCCACAGCTTGAGTTGTAAATGACATCTTAACTTCCTTATTTAGGTAGCTAAATTTTCAGATAACGTTTTCATTAAAGGAAAGTGCAGTTTCAAATAGAGCCCTGCAATGATCTTTTCAAAATGAATCAAATATCCTCTTCAACTGAACACACAAAATTCAGTTATTCCCCTCCTTGAAATTAAATTATTTGTGTAATGTACGAATTCACAGGGGTTTTATACACAAATAATGTTGCGCGCCTAAGGCGTCACTGATGGATGATATATTGAAACCAGCGTTCTCAATCAACGCTTGTCCCTTTTCTCTCCCCATGGCCGCCCCTAGCGCTGCGCCCTCCCCCTTACACAGCGACGCCGGTACGCAATTCAGCAAACTGATGCTATAAAGCATGTGACTATGCTTGACATCTTCGGATAGGTTACCCTTGAGAGTTGAATGCGATTTGGGATCGACGACGGACAGAGCGCCCCCTGGAGTCAGCACGCGGAGAATCCCCTTGAGCACCCTGTGCGGGTCGGTCAAGTTGGGAATGACCATGTGAGCGAACGCGTAACCGAATTTGTCGGTCCAATCTGCGGGTAGCGTCGTGACGTCTTGACAGATGAAAGTCGCGTTTGTCAAGCCCGCTGCGTCGGCTTTAGCCTGCGCTTCTTTGATGCCCGTAACGGAGAAGTCAAGTCCGTGTACGTGGCTTTTCGGGAAGCGTTTGGCAATTTCAATGGTTGACGTCCCAGCTCCACAGCCAATGTCCAGTACATTCAGGCCCGACTCTGAAACGTTAAAACAATCCAACATATCAACATGTATTATACTGGATAAGCCATTGAAAACAAATAAGAAATTTATACAATGCCAAAAAATATACATAAAAATTGCAATAGAAAATCTGACTGGACTTTAAAGGGACACTGTGTCCTGGAACAGCCCAGAGACAAAGCATGAGAAAAAGTAAGAATTTTACCCAATTTGGCTTGAATGTCCGGCATGGAAGGAAAGAAATCCGTGATGAACTCATTCTCAAAAACAGGCCCGTGAACCTGCGTCATTAAAGCATCAAACTTGTCATACTTCTCATATGGAACACCTACAAGCAAAAGAGGACAAATAAACTCTGATAAAGTTAAATTCCTTGTGCCATTTTACAACTTCCATCCTGAAAAATGGACTTCTTTTCTAACTGGCTGTTTTTCAAGCAGTACAAAAGTTAGTCATTTTTTTAATGAGACATCCATCAAAAAAAAAACAGCTGAAGTTGACTTATTGAAGTATTACTTTATTAATTTTGAATTATTTCCAGCCAGACACGTATTTTGTTTTGCCATGATTTTGATTTTGTTTAATCACATGTTTTGGTGGTAAAGTGTCCAGCTTGAGGACACAACCAATCAAGTGAATCCGCAAAGGAAAAGGTGAAATCATCTCTTCAACAAACCTCCAGTTTGCAATGCAAAATTGTTCAGGAACAAATTTTAAAGAAACCCTCAGTCTTTGAACAATTTGCAACTGGTGTACTTCTTCATAAGGTAGAGAAACCAGTTGCTGTAAAGTGTCTTGCCCAAGAACACAACCAAGAACTAGAACCAAGCCAGAGGTCATCTCTTCGACCAAACCTTCGTATTTGATTTCATGTAATTTTCCTCAGTTTGCAATGCGAAAATGATTCAGGAACAAACACATAACTATCTTTGAGCAATTTGCAACTGGTGTACCTCCTCATTAGGTAGAGAAAGCCAGTTGCTGTAAAGTGTCTTGCCCAAGAACACAAGGTCAATAACCCACACAAGCGAAAGTTAGAACTCATCTCTACAATCAAACCTTATTTCTGCTTCAGAAGGTGATGGAACACATGTGATTATCCTCAGTTGCAATAAGACGATGATTCAGGGAAAAAAAGGGAAATATATTTCGTGTTGTTACCCGGAGGTCCATCTTTTTGGAAGCAATCGGCGACATCAAAGAAAGCTGAGCTCAACGTTGGGGTGTACATGGCCCTTCCTCGGGACTGTGCGATAGAGTGACGATGTTTAGGAATCCAGTACTTCTCTTCAACTGGGTCAAAACTGACGATGTATGCCGTCACCATTGATCCTAGCCACTCCCTCACATACCTAGCGAAAAGTTGAAGAAAGAAATTGACTGGAGCGGGGTTTGAACCTGCGACATCCGGATTGCCGTTCCGGTGCTCTATCAACTGAGCTATATCCAGCCCTATGTTGGTGGTTCACACACAGAACACCCTCAGCACAGATTTACTCACTGCTTTTCAGCAAGCTGGCATATTGGTATGTTTGGCCACCCATAGATCAACCATATACTCGCTGAAAGAGTTCTAATGGTGTAGTTTATTCATAGTGTTACTACATGTATTACAAAAATTTCAGAAAAGGGCTTCAGAAGTATATCCACGGACAATTTGAGTTAGGAGTGCCATTTGGTCATGTGGTGAAATGGCTTGCAGTTTGATAACTGGGACCAGATGAACAAACAGGCGTAACTTTCTTATTTTGGAAAGAATTCCATACTGGGCCACCACTCAGACCTCCTGCACAAAGCCATGGCAAAAGTTAAAGTATTATAAAAGAATTTTTGCACTCCTTAAATAATGTTTCCTCGTCAGATTTACAACTTTTGGTACTTTTCATGTCAGATTAAGGGAATATGAGTGGTGATTTCAATCACTCCTTGGCAGTGAAAATCTGGGTTGAAAAACGTGAGTTCTCAACTTGTGGTCCACTTTTCATGCTCTGATAATAATAATAATTTGGGGAGGCTAATCATCCTTACTCGCAGCTGGTATGCTGAATTGCGAAGGATGCGGCTACAACGTGGTCGGGCCGCTGGCACGTAAAGGCGCCTATGGCTGCTGGCCACATTGACTCGTGACCAGAGCACAGCCCCGAGATCAAAAGTGTTTGATTTTTCCGGAGGGAGGAAAACCAAAGGGCCCGGAGAAAACCCCTCGTGGCACAGGAGAGAACCAACGCAAAACTCTACTCACATGTGATCCGCGGCCAGGATTCGAACCGTGGTCACCTTGGTGAGAGGCGAGCACTTTACGCACAAGCCACCCATGCCACCGCTCTAGTGATTTCCGCATGACTGAGCAAACAATTTGGTCCAGGGAGAGCCAAGTCAATAAACAATGTGGTATTGGAAAGGTTTAAAACAAAATAAATAAATAAAGGATACCAGCAGGAAAAAGGAATCGGGCCGGTACAAGAAACTGGTCTATTTTTTTTTTACTTGGCCTCACCTTTCTTTAAATTTGCCGGCATCAGCAATCTCTTGACAGGTCTTGGGCGTTTCCATGGAAATCATCAATTTGAATAAACCAGTTTCAAACCCAAGGGCCATGGTCATGCATGTTATGCCATTGTTGACGATACTCCTCATACGGCTATTAAAATCCTTCTCCGTTTCATTACTGAAGTCTTTACTGTCGCCCATGGTTACTGTCTACAAAAAGGCCACTTTCCTGAAATAAACAAATAAGAAGTTTGAAAGACATGCAACATTACATTTATGAGAATTCTGTTCTCATAAACTTGGTGCACGGTCTTATGATGTAACTTAATTAATTACAATACAAATGTAATAGGTATAATTCACTTAGATCCGTAAATGTCATGGCGTCAATTACAACGCCACGTTCCAGAGATTCGAAAAAAAACCCAAAATGTAAATGCGAAACGTCACTTCGTACTTCTTCAGTATAAGTACTTACATATGAATCTTTTTGCAAATTTATGCGAGCAAAACCATGCAGCAAACGTACGAGCACAACCTTTGATTTTCTGAGGTTATGGATGGTACGCTGGTACTTTGACCGAGTCATATACGCGCGAAATGGTAGGAGCCGTCCGGGTACCCGTATAAACGCCAGCGGATATATTGTGAGTGTTTCTATACGACTCTGGAACGTGGTGCTGTAATTGGCGCCATGGTTATGTGTCAGCATCTGAAAAATGCTGAATTCTTTTTGGAAAGATTCCCATATCTGGCCATCATTTGTCACCCTATGACTATGAGACTGGTCTGAAAATTTTTGAAGTGTTTTCTCAGTAAATATACTTCAATATTTTCCCTAGTAAATTTGACTTTTTAGGACATATTATCACTTTCTGATGGCTGATAGTTCACTGAGGGGAAAAATTAGTGATCGATGGCCAGATATGGGAATCTTTCCTCTTGAATCTGCTGAAAAAACACCATTGTCGGAAAAAATCTTGCAACCTGGCGCTACTCCTAGAGCGCTCCGCGTGAGCCTCATAGTTCTAGGAGCAACCTGGCTCCACTTTTGCAATTGTGTATCAAGAGTCAAGAAAATATTTTCCAATAACGGGACTCTAATTACATGATATAAAAAATGGCGCAGAATGCGCAAAATCTGAGACTAACAAAACTTAGTGTCCAAAACTCCATAGGGTTGTCTAACATGTCTAACTAAGGCCCTTAGTAAGGGGCGTGGCTAACGGCGCAAACAGCGATAGGTCAATATTGCCAAATGCCGCCCGTGCATTCACAATCACACACTTGACAAGTGACTTGCCGTGCAGTGTTCAGATCCAGGAAAATAGTCTAATAAAATTCAGTGTCCCAAATTGTCCTTGCTAATGTGACCAAACCAAAAGGTGGTGTGACATTTGTAGAAGACTTTCAATAATAATACAGTTTATTCGGCATATACTCCCAACAGTTTATTCGGCATATACTCCCAACTTAACTTCTAACTAAAATATAGATAACTTAAATTCTAACTAAAATATGCTAAACTTCTACGTGTACAAATGCTTCAGAGAATCCATCTCAACTGAAACCATCTTCACTCCTACTTCTTGCATAAAGAAACCTTGCAATTAATTCTGGGTCTAACAGTGAAACTTTCCTCAATCAACTGTCTTCAACTGAACACTAATTCATCAATCAGAACATGATCTCACAGTTGTCTAAAACTTCATGTTTCAACACTTATATAAGTTTCACAGAATAAATGAATCCAATGAAGGAACTTTGAACCTTAACTTAATAATGAACTTCTTCACAAACTTTGAGGAATCGAATGTTTCAGAACTAAACTACTTATTTCCTCAAGTCTCAACAGTCTAAAGTATTAAAACAACTAAACACAATGCAAAGGCTTGAATCAAAGGAAATCTATGAATGTGAATCATCAGAAATGAAAGTTAAAATCAACATACCTGTAAGAAATAATGGAGAGTTGTCAGCCAAAGATACAGAAATGCGAGGACAACTTTATGGCAGATGTTGGCAGGGTCATTGCTTGTAAGAACAATGAAACCAACTTAATTTCCTGTCCCTTGCTGATGTGGCAACTCTTGGATCAGTCCATTATTTTCAGAGGTAAAGCAAAGCCTGGACTATTACATTAATAAAAGGGGAGGGGGCAAAATTGAAAAAGGGGGTGACCAATTTCCATGGCCTCTACACTCACCCCTGCAAAAAGAAATGTTGTCTCTAACATTTACAAACTTATAACTACATCCGATCCTATTCATCAGAGAAACGGTTCATTGTGTGTCCATTTCAAGAGCATAACACTCATCAGTTACTAGGCGGTTTCTCCTCAGCAAAGTAACTTCGTGGGACTCAGGGCGGATGGAGTAGCTAATTCCACTTCCCTTCATCTCCGGATCTTATGTCCAAGATCATCAGTGAAATGGACTGGAACTTGATGACCAGCACAGTAACGTCTTCGTCTATAGGCTACGTATCTCGTCTACAGCTTGTGGTGGGTTGACCTCACATCAATGCTACTGGCCGACGATCTCTTCCCCCTAGTGTGCACTGCGTAGGGGTTTCTTCTTGGGCGTCGTTACTGGCTGTTGGCTCATCGGAAGGTTACACTCTAGGAACCCCACCTGGCTGAGGTGGCGGGTGGGTCCACATCCAGCTGGGCGGCATCATTGGTGGGAACTGCATGTAACCCGGTTGGCTGGACTTGCAAAGGTTCGTCTGAAGAGTCGGGCTTTGCACTTTTGGCTGAGACAGCTGCCTCATCCGAAACAACCTCGGGGTCTAAGATATGAAAGCCCAATTCATAAGCTTTCCTTTTAGTACAAGAATCATTCAGGTCATTTCTGTTAGTACAAGGATCATTCAATCACTCATGTACTTTTCAAGGTACGGGATCTTAAACACAACTACCGTTTTAAAGTTCTGTCCACGAATCACAAAAAAGGTGTGCGTTCTCTCAGCAAATTGAAAACATTTCACACACATCCCTATGTGATTTGAAAATTACATGAGTGATTTGAATGATTCTTGTACTAAAAGAAAGCTTATGTATTGGGCTTTAAAGCCTGGTCTTTGAAAGTGCTACATGAAGAACTTCACTTCAAATGAGGATAATTTTGCCAAGGAAAGTCCATATTTGGAAATCAATGCGTCATTGTAAAGGAGGGTCTATATTTTTTCATTTTTTTTTTATCAGAAACCTATTTTTAACTAGCCGACTAGCAAAGTTTGATTATGACACATGTACCTAATGTGTGGGCTGTTTTGTTTTTCAGTTTATAAGTAATTTAAAATGTAAATGAATTTAACATGTAGTTAGTTGAAACTACATGTACAATGAACATGCATTAAGTCATCCAATATCATTTCACACTATCTTGATTGCAAATTCACGAACTGCAAACTTGGGACAGCCAAAGTATTCTTTTGTCACAAAAGATTTTCCGGAACACCTAATTTTTGTTAATTGTTTTATCAGTCTCGACATTTCTGATTTAATAAAGAAAAAAAAAACCCAGTATAATTTTTATCATATAAAATTGTTTTATTTATGCAGTATTGGTCTACTTAGGAAAATGCAGATTAAGATATCAATTCAAAATGCATTTCCTTTAAGTTCTCCTAGACTATTTCCTGAGATTTAAGACTTACTGGAAAAATATATCAATTTCTAGTTCACAATTTCAGAAAAAGTCGCATTTACAATACATGGTGCAAAATCTTTGGAAAGGTACATTCAAATAAAACAATTGCCAAATCAGTTATGCCACTGAATACTTAACATTATTCCATAAAAATGAAATTAATTCACTACTTGATAAGTTGATACTAAATATGTATTAGAGTACTAAATAAGGCATGATAATATATGACTGTTTTTTTTCCAACCAAAAAAGGAAAGAATTAAATGTATTTTGACTACATGTATATCAAAATATTTTGCCATTGACGACTTTTCAATCAACTTTGAAACCTAGTTTAAGGTAGAATGGACAGTTTGTCATTTGTGAATAATTTTTCGTTTAAAGCAACAAAAGTGCTCAAAATCTTAAGTCGGGTGCTTAACAACTAACTTAATGAAGTTTCAGCTCTGTGTATGCTGTAATATTTTGAGAAAACAAAATACACGTGTTTTGGATCTCGACTTTAATTCAAAAAGTTTCAGAGTCATATTTTGAATTGCGCCCTCTCGTGACATGATCCCAAAATCAGCATTCGGAACATGATTCTCATTCAGCTGATTAAAATTACGCGGTCACACACTTAACCGACAAATAGTAACCGCACACGCGTGTGTGTCCGTGTCAATGCTTGCACCCATTCACAGATTCACCCAACTACAAACGAAAATTTTGTTTGCTTTAAAATGGCAGCATGCCAAAAGGACTAATTTCACAGCGAATTTAGTGTTCATTACAATATGTAAACCAAGTAAGCTTTTATATAACAATTTGGTCAGTTACTTTTTGGACAGCTGCAAATGGCCCACTCTTCCTTATAGTACCTTCTAATTCATCAAACTTTGAATTTTTCTACTCCCCAGATTGTTAAATAAATCTGATACAATTCAGTTCCATGGTATTTGAATTGTAAATGACATCACTAACTTCCTTAATTTTGTAGCTAAATTTTCAGATATTTTCATATTAAAGGAAAGTGTAGTTTCAAATAGAGCGCTGCAATGATCTTTTCAAAATATATCAAATATATGCTTCAACTGCATGAACACACACAAAATTCAGTTATTCTCCTCATTGGAATTAAATTATTTGTGTAATGTACGAATTCAGAGAGGTTTTATACACAAATAATGTTGCGCACCTAAGGCATCACTGATGGAAGATATATTGAAGCCAGCATTCTCAATCAATGCTTGCCCCTTTTCTCGCCCCATGGCCGCCCCTAGCGCTGCGCCCTCCCCCTTGCACAGCGACGTCGGTACGCAATTCAGCAAACTGAGGCTGTAAAGCATGTGACTATGCTTGACATCCTCGGATAGGTTACCCTTGAGAGTTGAATGCGATTTGGGATCGACGACGGACAGAGTGCCCCCTGGAGTCAGCGCGCGGAAAATCCCCTTGAGCACTGTATCCGGGTCGGTCAAGTCGTGGATGACCATGTGAGCGAACGCGTAACCGAATTTGTCGGTCCAATCTGCGGGTAGCACCGTGACGTCTTGACAGATGAAAGTCGCGTTTGTCACGCTCGCTGCGTCGGCTTTAGCCTGCGCTTCTTTGATGCCCGTAACGGAGAAGTCAAGTCCGTGTACGTGGCTTTTCGGGAAGCGTTTGGCCATTTCAATGGTTGACGTCCCAGCTCCACAGCCAATGTCCAGTACATTCAGGCCCGACTCTGAAACGTTAAAACAATCCAACATATAAACATGTATTATACTGGATAAGCCATTGAAAATAATAAGAAATAGAATGCCAAAAAATATACATAAAAATTGCAATAGAAAATCTGACTAGCTTGCAATCCCCCCCCCCCCCCATAGATCCGCCACTGCCACTCACGATTAAGAATTCCAATTTGCTTGAAGGTACATATTAATTGCAACAGAAAATCACTTTCACACAAAAAAGTGTCCGAAACAGGCATGGAAGAATTACACCAAAATGCTATGCTGCAACTGACTGCATATATGTGTACAAGATGTGATTAGAACAGACAAAACATAACAAAAATTAAGAATTTTACCCAGTTTGGCTTGAATGTCTGGCATGGAAGGAAAGAAATCCGTGATGAACTCATTCTGGAACATGGGCCCATGGACCTGCGTCATCTGTGCATAAAACCTGTCATACTTCTCATTTGGAACACCTATAAACAAAAGAGGATTTATAAACTCCCTCCTATTTTTTTTACAAATATCATCCTGTAAAATAGACCTCTTTTCTAACTGGCTATTTTTCAAGCAATACAAAAGTTATTCACTTTTGAATGAGACATCCACCGAAAAAAATCGGCCGAAGTTTACTTGTGGAAGTATTACTTTATCAATTATGAATTATTTCCAGCCAGACACTAATTTTGTTTTGCCAGAAGTAGCCTGGTTCCCGCCCCACGATCAGTATCGTTAATGTATGGGCCAGGAGCCAGTCTGCTCGCAAGGCGTGAGAAATCGCCGCTACTGCCACAGTAATCAAGTATGCTCAAACTTTTGGGCATTTTGCAATTTGTTTATCAACTTTTTTGGTGGCGAGAACTGGTTGATGTAAAGTGTCCAGCTTGAGGACACAACCAATCAAGTGAACCCGCAAAGGAAAAGGTGAAATCATCTCTTCAACAAACCTTCAGTTTGCAATGCAAAATTGTTCAGGAAAAAATTTAAAAACCTCATCTTTGAGCAATTTGAAATTTGTGTGCCTCCTTATTGGTTAGGAAGAACCAGTTGCTGTAAAGTGGCTAGCTCAAGGACACAACCACAAAGACATCCACAAAGACTCACTAAAATAAGCTCTTCGATCAAGACCCTCATTTTTGAAATCATGTAATTTTCCTCAGTTTGCAATGCTAAAATGATAAAAAACAAATAAAAAAAGCCTCATTTTTGAGCAATTTTACAACTAGTGAACCTCCTAATTGAGTAGAAAGAACCTGTTGTTGTAAAATGTCTAGCTCAAGGACAGTAACCAATTTATGCACTTTTGCAGTGAACCTGCAGAGACTTGCTCAAATCATCTCTTCGATCAACCCCTCATTTTTGGCTTCACTCTTAACTTTTAGCATTTTGCAACTGGTCTTCCACCTCATTGAGTAGTTGCTGTAAAATGTCTAGCTCATGGACACAACTAAAGCAGTGAAACCGCAAAGGACAAGGTAAAATCATCTCTTTGATTAAATTTCATTTTGGCTTCATGTCCTTTTCCTCACTTTGCAATGCAAAAAATGATTCAGGGACGAACAAAAAAAACCTGTATCTTTGAGCAATTTGCAACTGGTGGCAATTGCTGTAAACTGGCTAGCCCAAGGACACAACCAATGCAGTGAACCCACAAAGGACAATCTCAAATCATCTCTTTGATCAAACCTTTTTTGTTGGCTTCATGTGATTTCCCTCAGTCTTTGAACAATTTGCAACTGATGTACATCCTCATTAGGTAGAGAGAACCAGTTGCTGTAAAGTGTCTTGCCCAAGAACACAACCAAGAACAAGAACCCACACAAGCACAAGCTAGAGATCATCTCTTCGACCAAACCTGCATATTTGGTTTCATGTAATTTTCCTCAGTTTGCAATGCCAAAATGATTCAGGAACAAACAAATAGTGATCTTTGAGCAATTTGCAACTGGTGTACTTCGTCATTGGGAAGAGAGAACCAGTTGCTGTAAAGTGTCTTGCCCAAGAACACAACCAAGAACCCGCACAAGCTAGAGAATATCTCTTCGACCAAACCTTCAAATTCGGTTTCATGTTATTTTCCTCAGTTTGCAATGCAAAAATGATTCAGGAACAAACAAATAGTTATCTTTGAGCAATTTGCAACTGGTGTGCCTCCTTGTTAGGTAGAGAGAACCAGTTGCTGTAAAGTGTCTTGCCCAAGAACACAAGGTCAATAACCCACACAAGCGAAAGTTAGAACTCATCTCTACAATCAAACCTTATTTCTGGCTTCAGAAGGTGATGGAACACATGTGATTATCCTCAGTTGCAGTAAGATGATGATTCAGGGGAAAAAAAGGAAAAATTATTTCACGTTGTTACCTGGAGGTCCATCTTTTTGGAAGCAATCGGCGACATCAAAGAAAGCTGTGCTCAACGTCGGGGTGCACATGGCCATTCCTCGGGACTGTGCGATAGAGTGACGATGTTTAGGAATCCAGTATTTCTCTTCAACTGGGTCATAACTGACGATGTGTGCCGTCACCATCGATCCTAGCCACTCCCTCACGTACCTAGCGAGTGAAGATAAAAGTCCAAGTTTGAATATACACAAGACAATGCAAGCGTAGTCAACGTCCCAGAGTGCATTTTTCTATTTAAACAAACCACAAAGGAAAACTGACAAGGTACGTTATAGTATTTTTAAAAGTTGAACAAAGAAATTGACACTGGAGCAGGGTTTGAACCTGCGACCTCCGGATTGCCGTTCCGGTGCTCTACCAACTGAGCTATCCAGCTCTATGTTGGTGGTTCACACACAGAACACCCTCAACACAGATTTATTCACTGCTTTTCAGCAAGCTGGCATATTGGTATGTTTGGCCGCCCATAGATCAACGGCATACCAGCTGAAAGAGTGTTTTCGGATCATTCAAATGGTGTAGTTTATTCACAGTGTTACTATTGCGAGAATTTCAGAAAAGTGCTTCAGAAGTATCCACGTACAACTATGAGGTATGGAGTGCCATTTGGTTATGTGGTGAAATGGCTTGCTGTTATAACTGTAACCAGATCAAGAATTCCATACTGGGCCACCACTCAGACCTCCTGCACGAAGTCTATGGGCCATGACAAAAGGTAAAGTATTATTAAAGAATTTTTGCACTCCTTAAATAATGTTTTCTCGTCAGATTTACAACTTTTGGTACTTTTCATGTCATATTAAGGGAATATGAGTGGTGGCCCAGTATGGAATTCTTTCCACATATTTGCTTTCAATCACTCCTAGGCAGTGAAAACTGGGTTGAAAAAGGTAGTTTTCAACTTGTGGTCCACTTTTCATGCTCTAGTGATTTCCGCATGACTGAGCAAACAATTTGGTCCTTGGGAAAGCCAAGTCAATAAACAATGTTGTTTTGGAAAGGTTTAAAACAAAATAAATAAATAAAGGATAGTAGATACCAGCAGGAAAAAGGAATCGGGCCGGTACGAGAAACTGGTTTATTTTTTACTTGGCCTCACCTTTCTTTAAATTTGCCGGCATCAGCAATCTCTTGACAGGTCTTGGGCGTTTCCATGGAAATCATCAATTTGAATAAACCAGTTTCAAACCCAAGGGCCATGGTCATGCATGTTATGCCATTGTTGACGATACTCCTCATACGGCTATTAAAATCCTTCTCCGTTTCATCACTGAAGTCTTTACTGTCGCCCATGGTTGCTGTCTACAAAAAGGCCACTTTCCTGAAATAATCAAATGGGGAAGTTTGAAAGACATGCAACATTACAGTTATGAGAATTCTGTTCTCATTTCTTAGGCGTTTTCTTAATAAATACTGCAATATTTTCCCTGCTAAATTTGTCTTTTTAGGGCATATTATCACTTTCTGATAGCTGATAGGTCAAATTAGTGATGGCCAGATTTGGGAATCTTTCCTCTTGAGTCTTGTCTGCTGAAAAACACCATTGTCGAAAAATCTTGCAACCTGGCGCCACTTTTGCGATTGTGTATCAAGAGTAAAGAAAATATTTTCCAATAACGGGACTCTAATTTCATGATATAAAAAATTTAAAAATGGCGAAAAATGCGCAAAATCTGAGACTAACAAAACTTAGTGAACAAAAACTCCATAGGGCCGGGTTGTCTAAGGGGCGTGGCTAACTCGCAAACGGCGATAGGTCAATTGCCAGCAATGCCGCCCGTGCATTCACAATCACACTTGACATGCTTGACAAGTTTACATTCAGGAAAATAGTCTAAAATTCAGTGTCCCAAATTTCCCTTGCTAATGTGACCAAACCAAAAGGTGGTGTGATATTTCCAGAAGACTTTGACAGTTATAATAATACAGTTTATTCGGCATATATTCCCATAACTTCCCCAAGTTTAGAAGATAAAATTGACCAAAAGTTCACTCACCAAATAATGCCAAAAGTTACCTGCATTGTTTACAAAAGGCCCTCAATCGATATCTCAATAGTACACTGTCGATCGTATCAGTGGGCGGTACCCAAATTGAGGGGGGGGGGGGGGCGCATAAGCCGTCATAAATTTGGTTTATTTGGGGGTTTTTATCAAAAGAAGAACTACTTAACATAAAATGTGGCAGAGAAAGCTGACAATGGTCATGTTTTTCTCCAAGATACAGTAAAGTTTTGGAGATCAAATTACAGAGGTTTAATTTTTAAAGTGGATAATTACAATTGATTGGTTCTAAGCCACGGAAGGGCGAGGGTATATTACTCAATTAAATTGCAAAAATAAATGCACATAGAGAAAGACAAAGACTGAAAACAAATAAGAAACGTACAACTGTGTGTCACGGTTTTCCTTTTATTAAAGAAGTGGTTTTTTTTCACAATTATGTGTAGGCTTTAATGTACATTCATTTTTTGGGGTCATTGTCAAGTTCATTATCTGGGATGACTCGCTAGTTCTACAAAAAGACAAATTTGATGTAATTTCTTTAAAGTCGGTTGCTTTACTCCAATTCTTTCAGATGTAAGCCTGGCGTCATTGATGAGATTAAGAGGTAATATGTGCTGGTCCCAGAAGGCCAGCCTAGCGTCCTCTTTGCTGCTCACTGTCAGTTGTGAGCCGGGCAGTGCTATTGTATAGGATTACCCTGTGACGCTATTAAATGGGCTAAAATCTGGCCCATTGTGTAGACCAGATGCATGAAAAGACTTCTAGTAATCCATTCTTAATCAAATGAATAGAAGTTTCAGCACTCTGGGACCAGCTTTTAACTACGCTTGCCCGGTCTCATTTTCAAGAAATCTTACACCATAACAACATTGGAATGTCATGGACAATTGGAAAAAAAGATCAGCGTTTTTTTTTTTTAATCGGGCCTCATGTGTGTGAGCCAGATAGATATTTCCAGACTTGTGCGTACTTTGAACTCTGGTCGGGTTGTCTGCTTGTTAACAATGATATCTAGAATTTTATATTAAGTAAATGCCGGCGACTGTAACAAGAATTATCAAATATTAATATACAAGACTTTTAAAGTGGGTAAATATTTGTAGTATAGGGTGAGTAAATAAAACCGAAACCCAAATGTCGGGATTATTGTTTTAGTGTTTTGCATGTAGCACTTTCAAAATCTAGGATATGAAAGCCCAATTCATAAGCTTTCTTTTAGTACAAGAATCATTCAGATCATTTCTGTTAGTACAAGGATCATTCAATCACTCATGTACTTTTCAAGTTACGGGATCTTAAACACAACCACTAATTTAAAGTTCTGTGAAAACAATTCACACACATCCCTATGTGATTTGAAAATTACATGAGTGATTTGAATGATTCTTGTACTAAAAGAAAGCTTAAGAATTGGGCTTTCATATATCCTAGATTTTGAACGTGCTACATGCAGAACTTCACTAAAACAATGGTTCCGACATTTGGGTTTCGTTTTTTTGACTCACCCTGTACAAGAGAAAGAGCACACATTCACAGTATTAAAAGCTTTAATACATATCGTTACATTGCTTTACAAAAGTACAATTATAATAATCGTAAAATATGATTAAAGTTCTTACAGTTCGATTCATTTATGCGGTGGCTATGATGATTTAGGAATACATTTTTAACATTTTAATAACAATATTGGGGTTTTTGTTTTGCGTACAGCAATATTCTCCACTATGATTATGAGAAGTCTGACAAAAATAAGATGGCTTTAGTTATTTTTGCTTCGGTGCGTTTTTAGCCCAAAAAGCTGGCACATCAGAAAACTCATGTTAATCAGTAAATTGATCTGGAAGTGAATGCAGTGACTCTTGTACTCATAGGCAACTGAAATTGTCTTGGAGTAAAATGGTTCCAAAGACTGCATGGTCGACTCTCGTAAGTACCTAGACCTATCCAAAATGCTAGTTATATCAGAATTTTGTATTAATAAGAGGAGCATCAGTCCCATTCATTGTGCACATAAATGCACAGACAGGATCAAGCATTTCTGTTTGTTATAATCAGAATTTGTATCACCAGTGTTTGTATTAAAAGTATAGTCCATCATTTGTAATTTGTGCATTTTGTTCATTTGAAGCAACAAAAGTGCTCAAGATCTAAAGAAGGGTGCTGAACAACCTACGCTGATGAAGATTCAGCTCAGCTTTAGCTGCATATTTCAAGAAAAACAACATTCTAGGATCTCGATTTCAAATCAAAAGCTGCTGAATCCTGTTTTGAATTGGGCCTGAATTCAGTATCAGAGACACGTTCTCACCGAGCCGATTGCAGCTACGCGATGTCGCGCACTGATCCGACGAATTACAGCAACTGTGCGCGCGTGTGTCGTGCCAATGCTTGCGTGCACTTCGCAGAATAACAAAACGAACTACTAATTTGAAATTCTTTTGTTGATTTCTTCAAAATGACAGATTGCCAGAAAGAATAATTTCACAGGGAGTTTAGTCCCCTTATTATCTTTCAAGCATGTTTTTCACCAAGCATGTTTTTCAACAATAATTACGCCAGTTACTTTTTGGATAGCTGCAAATGATGGACTCTGGCTTTAACGGGAGTCGACTGTATATTGTAATTTGCATATTAATTATCCTGCATTGATAGTAAAGTTTTGTGTGTAACAGCGAAACGGTACAAGTTCAGGGTTTTTTCCCTTAACATTTCAAGTTTACAATTCAAACGTTGGGCCTATTTTTTTTGTAATTAAAAAGTTTTGAAAAAATGACTTATCATGATTGAATCATTCTAAAGTTTTTTTCCTACTATACTTTGGTAGAGAATGAAAGAATTTTGTAATACGCTATTCTACGAAAAGTCATACGTCAAATTCATTGCTTGACTCAAGTACAACAAGAAAGCACAACATAGTTTAAACAATATCCCGAAGTACAGATTTTCGTAATGATGGAATATACATGTATCGTCTGTTTGCATCGTTAAGCATGTTTGCCAAAAAAAAACAAGTAATAAAAAAACAAAATAAAAAAAAACAAAATCCACACACACAATCAATAAAAACAAGTCAACAACATATTTATGTTAACATCCCCGTAGGCCCGTATGCCAGCACACTGAACTTTTAACTACATGTTCGAAATTAACATCAAAATCACACTTTTTATCAAATTTGAAAAGAAAACTGGTACTGTAAAACATTAAAAACACAAAATGCTAAAAAGAAAACTTACAAAAATGCAAACATACAAACAAATATTAGCAAAAGGTTATTTTGTAATTTGCGCGTTTTAAAAATTGATAAGTTCAAACAGTTAATATGAAAACAGTCAACAGCTAGTACTTTACTTAGCACGTTAATAAAAATGATAAAACTACATGAACTAGTGCGCCACCCTTTCGCAATTCCCTGCTCTCTCCATAATGCATCTTGTTCCGAACCCTGTACCTGTCATTTCAAACTCCGATCGTCGCGATTTACTCTTCATTTTGGCCTTGTTCCTGATTGGTCGCTGGTTCGTCGGCTGCGATTTGACGGCACTGACCCTTGACGTTACCGCCTGGTTGCCTAGGTTGTTTCCCCTCACGGAAAAAGCACTCCAGGCCTGCACGGTGAGAAAACAACAGAGTCTTTGAACCACTTTTTTTTTCTGAGAATTTTGCTGTGCAGTGTCAAACGGTCACTCCTTGGAGATAATTCTACATAATCAAAGGTGCTCAATAGGGTTTCATCGTATGACGTCAAAGTACTGTGTGACCATCTCATTTCCCCCTGATCGGACACCATTGCAGTAGGCAAGCATTTGGTTAGCAACCACATCGTGCATTGTAAACTAGAAAGTAGGCTTATTTTCACGAAAAATAACTGAAAATTCTACATCGTTTGGCAAAATGGTCACTACCTGTGCTGTGTATGGTTGTCATGATGGCACTCTACAATGTTGTGTTGACCAAGCACTACGTGTTGGCGCTGCGTTTTTCTCACAGTGTTTGCCATCCATCACAGCTTTGAAGGCTTGCCTACTACCTACTGTGCGTGGGGCTGTATGATCTTTGCCTACTACAATGGTGATGCTGACTTTGCCATAGCAGTACCTGTTTCAGATGGGGCCTTACTCTGATTAGCATCAGGGCTCTCCAAACTTTTACTCTGAAATACAGACTCCGTGCACAACTACCCCCTCTGGCAGGGACTTGAACGCACTACCTGTCATGGCTGACGCTCACTCACGGTTTTGTGGCATTCAGAATAAATTCAATCGTGCATACCATAGGCGCATGATTCAGTACGTGTGTAGTGGTAGTCCATCCCACGGGGCTCTTGTAAGCGGTCAAGAAGCACCATTTACTGTTTAGGGAACTCTACTTTATATCTTACCTTCTGCGCAAACACAATCCGAAAAGCACTTGCCGCCCTCTGGCCTGTTGAAAACGCGGCATTTCTGCAGAGGCCCACGTTGCTGACAGCACCTTCCTGTAAAAAAGTTAATGCATAACTTGTATTATGAGTACCAGGTTTTAAGATAGGCATTTAGAAGCCGTCTACAATGTGTTGGACACTCTGCAAGTTGTTCATAAGGGGAGCTAGCTTAGGGAAAAATACAAAACTAAAACACGCTATAACTCAAGACTTGGGGAAGTGTGGTCTAGTGGTTAGGGTTCTTGACTCATGATCAGAGGGTCAGGGGTTCAAATCCAGCTGCGGGCCATACCTTGTGTCCTTTGGCAAGCCACTTTACCCCCACTTGCCTCTCTCTGCCCAGGAGTACAAATGGGTACCGGCAATAGCTAGGGAGTAACCTGCGATGGACAAATATCTCATCCAGGGGGAATAGAAATATTCTTGGTCGTTTCATGCCACTGAAACCGGAGATAAATGCCAGCCTGATGAGCCATATTGGCTCGGGACAGAGTTTACCTTTACTTTTTATACTCAAGACTAACCTTGAAAGTTGTGCACTTTGGGAGAGCCTTTTTAGGCTTGCGAATTCTCGTTAGCCAAAATATCTTGAGGGTTGGGTTCAAACAGGCAGTATGTGAACTGACAATTAGAAACGGACCAAAATCACATACCTGAGGCACAATCGGAATGTTCGCTACAATCGCTGGTCACGTTGGAATGTCGTTCCATCTTCCTAGCTTCTTTACGGGCTTGTTTCCTCTCGGCGTTGGCGGCATGCTTGGATTCTCTCTTGGCCTCCTTGCGGGCCTCCTTGCGTGCTGAGCTGCCTTCCTTGCGCGCCGTTTTCTCCGCTTGTTTCTCGCGTCTGGTCTGCATGCGTTCCTCCTTGGCTGCCCGGCGGGCTGCTTTGTCTGGGTTGGCTCCTCCTGGCAAAACAAAAATTACAAGTTTACAGGTAGATGACACTGTTAAAGGTACATAGGTCCATTTGCTTTTTTGTGTATTTTTTTTGGTAAGAAGCAACAAAATTGTTCAAAACAACTAACTTGTTAAGTTTCAACTGGATATTACAAGTGTTGAGAACACTGAGAAAAATCCTGGGGTCTTGTAACTGATTCAGTTGCTGGCGCGTACACAAACGTGTCAGCGGGCATATTTATTTAAAAACCACCTTTAATGATTGTTTTCTTCCGAATGATACCATTTCGGGCGGAATAATGTCACGGGTATGTGGTACAAGTCCTATCTTCACTTTGAGCAAGTTTTTCTCGGGTGGGGGACGGGAAATTGGCAGCGGTGTTCCCCGCCCAAAAATACTGGGGGTGAGGAACATGTCCGAAAGAGTCCGAGAACCTTCATGTCTTGCAAAGGTTCCATCAAAATTTCCCGTCCCCACCACCCGAATTTCTTGTGATCCATCACAAGTAATTTGATTACAACACTGATTCTGCTGACTAGTGTACAAACATAAAAGTGCAAGCAATGTATTGGACAAGTGAGGCTTCCTTACCTTTACGTCCCTTCTTGCCCCTTCTTGTAGGAGAAGTCTCCCCTTGTGGCTGTGGCTCAGGTTCTGGCTCAGGCATAACCTGGGTGGAAACAAGTAAAAAAAACATTAATATCAAACTTACAGCCGCGTCCGAATCACATGGCTATGACCAGCAACGACACATGAGTCTATAGGGAGTGGTCGCAGCCACTAGCAATTAAGTGGCTTCCATTGGTTATTTCCATCTGTAGCCATGTGATTCGGACATGGTGTGGCCATGTGATTCGGATATGTGATTCGGATATGGATTCAGATATAATCTTAACGGTCTTTCACACTATCCAAAATCTGTGTCGGACCCGGGTCCAACAAGGAGATTTCAGGAACCCCTTTCACACAAGCAAGAATCCAACACAGCTTCAGTCTGGCGCTCTACCCCAGGTAAAATCCAACCCTGATCAGGACCAGGGTTAAGAGGCTCTACCCAGGTAGAAAATCCAAAATCTACAGCTGACCCGCGTACAACCCAGTGTAAGTGTGAACGGTATGCTTTCCTGCCCATGTCTACAGATGCAGATGGTATCCGGTATAATCTAGGCCTACATGTATGCATGGCGAAACATAAACAACACAAGGTACAGCTTAATTAACCGTAACCCCAGGCCCTTTTTGCCAAGAACCATCCTAAATCCTCCAAAAATTTGGCAACAACGCCTAAATTCTTCAAAATTGTCAGACAGTCCTGCCTCAAAATGCATTCATCGTCAATCCTCCAAAATCCTCCTCATCCCAAAATGTTGCACCCGTGTTTAAATGAAAGATAACCAACGCCTAAATCCTTCAAAATCATCAGACAGTCCTGCCTCAAAATGCATTCATCCTCAATCCTCCCAAATCCTCATGTGCTTCAATCACCATTCATCCTCAATCCTCCAGAATCCTCTTGTGCTTCAATCACCATTCATCGTCAATCCTCCAGAATCCTCATGTGATTCAATCACCATTCATCCTCAATCCTCCAGAATCCTCATGTGCTTCAATCACCATTCATCCTCAATCCTCTAGAATCCTCCAAAACCGCCAGGAGGATTTTGGAGTAGTGAGGTGGGTTAGGGTTAAGACATTGACACAAATGCACATCCTCCAAAATCGACAGGCTCTTAAAACAGTCATTCAGCCTCAATCTTCCAAAGTCCTCCAAAAAGCGCCTGATTGATTTCGGAGGATTGAGGAAGGTTGGATAAGATTGCGGATGACGAGACAAGATTTGAAATTACCTGAGGTTCTTCTGGGTTTGTTTCTTCGGTGTCGGCTGGTGGGGTATCTGCATCACCTGTTACTTCTACATCAGCTGGAAAGAATCACAGCAAACAATGTTAAGGGTTGTATAACATTGTATTACATCATAAGACATAGCATTACATTGTATTACACTGTATTACACTGTATTACTCTGAATTGCATTGTTTTTCCATGACTGCGGGAACCCTGTTGCAAGCACTCAGACAGCACTTGAGTATAATGTGCTTATGAAAGAATGGAAAAGAATGGCAAAGAACGGCAAAGAACAGCACAAAATGGTAAAGAATGGCAAAGAACGGCAAAGAATGGCAAAGAACGGCAAAGAACAGCAAAGAATGGCAAAGAACGGCAAAGAACAGCACAAAATGGTAAATAATGGCAAAGAACAGCAAAGAATGGCAAAGAACGGCAAAGAACAGCACAAAATGGTAAAGAACGGCAAAGAATGGCAAAGAACGGCAAAGAACGGCAAAGAATGGCAAAGAACGGCAAAGAACAGCAAAGAATGGTAAAGAATGGCAAAGAACAGCAAAGAATGGCAAAGAATGGCACAAAATGGTAAAGAATGGCAAAGAACAGCACAAAATGGTAAAGAATGGCTAAGAACAGCAAAGAATGGCAAAGAACGGCAAAGAGCTAAACCAAATATTGAACTTACATCATTCCCCCCCCCCCCAAGGCAAACTTACTCTGTTCTTCATTATGACGTCCGCGATCCTTCCTGCCTTTTTTATCTTTCCCCCGTTGCCTGTCACCACGGCGACGTCCACCTTCTTCCGGAGTTTCGCCGGCGTCGACAACTGGTGTAGAGAACAAAAATACTGCAAGTGAGACCTGCGCAATCCCCTTGGCATGCCGGCAGTTTGTCATAAAGTCAGTGTTCCTAACCAAAATGGAAGATTTCTATTGTTTTAGCAATAGTGACCTTGACCTTTGACCTGTCGACCCCAAAATCAACAGGCTTGATAAGACTACCAAGAGCAACCCACAAACAGAATTTGAAGTTCCTAAGTATTTCTCAAGCATTAGCGTTGACAAGATTTCTATTGTTTTAGAAATAGTGACCTTGACCTTTGACCTGTCGGCCCCGAAAGCAATAAGCTTCTTAAGACTACCAAGAACAAGCCACAAACCAAATTTCAAGTTCCTAAGTAAAGTATTTCTGAAGTTACCACGTTGACAAGATTTCTATTGATTTAGCATTGTTTGAAATCTGGATTCCCTGTATTTGACTGTAAACTTCTGAAATGGCAAATTACCGTCTGATTGAGGCTGTCTATCTTTCTTCTTCTTTGCTTCCCCGGTCTCCGCCAGTATCAACACAGCTAACAGGGTGAAGAGGAGTACCAGCCAAACCCTCATTGTGGTATCTCTGATGTCAGATGGTCAAGACTGAAAAAAAGAAAAAATACAAACAAAAAAATGTATAAAATACTACAGATTACAAGCGTGATCAATTTGTGGCAAGTTTACTGCAACAAAACTTATCATTAGGCCCCCCCCCCCCCAAAAAAGTCTCCGGTTTCTGGTATGGAGCTTGCCCCAAACGTGGTGTGGCGACGCGACTTTTTTTTTTTTTTTTTTTTACTTTTTTTATCTTCAAATGTCGGCTGATGACTGCAAATGGTGCCAGACTAAATTTAGTGCAAAATATATGGGAGTCCAGAGAGGCCACATAAAGCTTATACTCGATCGTAACCCCATCTAAAAACATGTTAAAATTGTGCAGCAGCATGATTCCAGTTAAACCAGTGAGTTTGTCGGTTTTGAGACATCATCTTACATTGAAAAAAAACCTTTTTTCATTTTGCCGATGCGCATGGCTACGGCGACGCGCGTGCATACCAGAAACCGGAGACTTTTTTTTTGGCCTTAGGCTTTCAACCCTCCGAGTCTTCTGTATTTCACAACCCTCCAAGTTTTTCAAAACCACTTTTGCCCATAGAAATAGCGCCCACACTTCAAATTCCTTTGAGGTAATCTTCTGTGGAGTATGGATAACACTTCAAATCCCTGCACAATTCTTTTTGTGTGGTTTAAGCTCAGGGCAAGCATGCAGATTCGGTCACGTTTTACTGCTCTCCACAGTGCTTTTAGCTTGAGTGTAGTGACTCTCTGCGTGACACAGTTTTTCAATTCACATCCCTTCCACTAAAACTGTCCTGCAGAGTTTTTGTGGTTTTGAACATTGACAGCTCACTAGGATGTTTAATAAAGGTGAACATTCATCAACATTTGCCCAAAATGTCATGTTTTAGATTGTTCATGAATTACTTTTTTATGTTATTTTTACAGCACTGTGAATTCAACAAACGCAATGTAATTTTATTACATTATTGGTTTATTAAAAATTAAAATAGGTCAATTTTAACAATTACAAGGTTTCATAACAAACTTGTAAAGGATAAATTAAAGACAGTGGATATTTAATGTGTACTGGCTTCCCCTTTTTATTTAGTTCTTTGACAGGGACGGCACTGAACATGCGCATTGAGTGTTTTTCGGGACTATTCAATTCAATACAGCAATTCAGTTAATTCAAAAGCCCAAATCATTATTACTCTGTGTTACTTGAGATTATGTCCTTAGTTACAAGAAAACCGAAACATAGTGAAGAAAAAAAATTATAAATGTTGACTACGTTCCTCAGGAAATCAGATTAAAAAAAAAAAAAGGAAAGATTTCCATATACGAAGTTCACTAATTTTCCTCTGTATTGACTAACAAGGCCCCAGATAGCAATTTCATGTCATCAAAGTCAATTTGAGCAGTGAGAAAATACAAGCATTTTCTAAGAAAACACTTAGAATTTTTCAGTCCAATCTCATAGGGTTTGTACACAGGGTGTTGAGTGAACTTCGTATATATATGGAAATCTTTCCACAAAAAAAAACAACATGTTTAGCATCCCCGCCCGCTTCCTTTTTGGAGGCCGCCTCTATTTTTATTTTTGAAAAAAAAAACGGCCTTATGTGCTTCTTTTCACAGGTCAGTTACAAAATGCGGATATCTCGCCGAACTGGATCATGGGTAAAGTTTAAGCAATATCCAATGACCTTCAGGGTGAAAAAAAGCTTGATAAAAATGTGGTTACACTTGAATTAATTTCTATTTAATCAAGTGATCCAGAATTTTCGATGATCCGAACTGTCCACTAACTTTGAAAACATGCATTGAAAAACATAAAAAACACACAATTCATTGAAAACCAAATGCAAAGACAACGGCATAACAAATTAACAATAACATTAAAATTAAATCGTAAAAATACAGTTCACTTACATGACTTAATTCTTAAAGAAATGCAAAATTGTTAGTAAAACTCCTGTAAGAAAAATCTCTTCGTTTAAGGTTTGTCACATGACGCTGCTAGCTGAGTACCACAACCGAAAACTGGGCCAGAACGAACAACATTTTATTTATAGCATTACATTGTCCATAGAGCAAGAACCCTTGCTCTTTGCGTAGCATTAACATGCAAATTCACAAACAGCTGAACAGTACAAAAAGCCAAGGCCGGTACATTCATTTTTCTGTCTCGTTTTCCCCCTCGTATTACAGCTTAGTTTATCGATTTTCCACCCGAAAATCACTCTCTCCCAACTACTGAAAACAAATGACTACAAACTGTCATGTAAAACCAGATAAAACAAATAAACTTTCGTCATAAAATATGAATTTACCCGCAAGAAAATCAGCACTGATGGCTCCCACTCGACGTCTTCAAAGAAAAGTGACTCAATAGTCGGGTAACAAGGGGGTATTTAATTCATGTAAGATTAAGCAGGGTGCAGAGTCTGGGTGTCAGACAATCCTTTGTGCATTGTATTTTGGTGCTGCACCAAACCAGTCTGAACCGCACCGGTAAACAAGCCGGCCATTATAAGCCTTTGTTTATGATGACAAAAGTTTAGCCTTCAATATTTTCGTCTTGACATAATCATATTCTTATATATGCGCTATTATAATAATGTATTGTTAAAAATACCTACAATATTTAGGCCTACACACCAAAAAAAATGTATGACAAAATCTTCTCAACTTTGTCCAGACTCCAACTAATCGAATTACATGAACTGCCAAACATGTGCCCCCCCCCCCCGGAAAATGCTGGCACCGCCATCCGCCGACACATTAATATAAGAAACACCGAATGCATTAACAAATCAATCAAGATTTGAAATATAGTATGACGATATTTAAGGAAATCAGTTTCCAGTCAAAATGATAAAAACCTCCTTAGTCAGACAAAATGGGTGTGGTTACCCATCCCCTTGAATCGTGTCATAAGATGTGTGGTACTCGTAATGCAACTTTCAAAAACCCTGTGAACGAAATCCCTTGAGGATAAAATTCTATAATAGAATGAAGCATGCCAGATAATGTTTTTAAGACCTCAACTTAATGAAATCACGATGTACATGTACGTATATTTGTCCGGATCCAGAACACTTTGTTTCGAGGGGGGTGGGTGGGACAAGGGCGGATCCAGAACACAATTGGGGGGGGGGGGGCAAACAAAATTTTGATCCCCCCAAAAAGTGGGTCCAAAAAATTACGGCGTGGGGTTCGGGGCCCGCTTAAGGGCCCCGAAATTTTTTTTGATTCTAGATGCTCTGTGGTAAGATCTGAGGCAATTTCTGACCACTTTAACCAATGTTTTTTTGAGGAAAAGATGGTGGTGTACTCATTGCCTGCCTTTATTGCGATGTCACAAAAAAAAAAAAGGTTTCCTTTTTGGGGGGGGGGCATGGCCCCCTTTGGTCCCCCCCCCCCCCTGAATCCGCCCTTGGGGTGGGAAACAATTCCCAAAAAGTGTGTCACTATGGCACTATGTATTGCTCTTGTTGAGTTTTGTGGTGGCGTACGCAGTGGCTGGCTGTTTTTTGCGATATTAAAAAAACCCAAAAATAACAAAGTGGGTTCGGTTTTTTCCTTTGGGGTGGGGGTGGGGGGTGGGGGTGGGGTGATGTCCCTGCATGGATCCGCCGTTGCGTACATGGCATATCATAGGCTAGTCCTTTCTCTATGGTGCGAGTGAGCGTCGGTTGACTATCATAGGAAGGAAACTCTACAGAAACCCTGAGGTACTGGAAAGTGGTCGTCTGAGTTTCAACGTGCTTCTTGCTGTTCAACACGAATTGCTTGCAAAATACTGAGCATAAGCATGGAGGAAGGAATAGACTATTCCTTCCTCCATGGCATAAGTAACCTTGCACGCACTTCATTGTCAAATCCTCTCAACACACTAATGTGCACGTTTCGGTACCCGTTTTGTGTAATCATGTACGCGTGCTGGGCGGATCTACAGTTGACTAAATCCCCCCCCCCCCCCCCCGCGACTGACAAATGTTAGTTAAATAATGATTTTAAAAAATTAACATTTCTTCAAGCTTCCTGAAAAAAAGTCATCACTCAATAAAGCGAATATTGATTCATCACTGCTCCAGGCCCTTGGTCTTTTTTACGCCGTGATCGCTTTAATATTCACCTCCCCCGGAAAAAAAATATATTGGACATCAACAGCCACCTACCCCTCTGGAAAATCATGGATGCGCCGCTGACGTATGCGGACACCGGTCGACATAAAAGAAAACTCGAACGTGTATTTTTTTCGGCTCTGAATTTCCCGTAATGCAAGCCTTATACACTGAACTCAATTGTGCAGATGTCTAGTCGTCATTCGTCTTGACAATTACAAGTGTCTCTCTGAGGTGTAAAAGCAATCTGCACGATGGACTCGTGATGTACTGCAAAGAATTCCCATACTGAGCCAGGATCAAAGACGTCCACGCTATCGTAGAATAATCTGCTTACACCGCCTCGAGGAAATTACACAACCTGGGACAGGCGATCACGAGGTCATTCGGATTTGGAATTAAAGAGATTTCAAATTGAGATTTAGAAAAATAGGGATGCGGTGAGGTTTTATTGGAGTGGTTTCCTGACTTATTTCCTGCTTTTGTATGTAAATATTATTGCAGTAGACTGAATAAATTGGTATGCCTATAGAAGAGAAAAATATCAAAACAACCACAAAAAAAAAAACGATTGATGATGTCAGAATCATTTCAAACAGATGTAGCAAAAACTATAGTTGAGCAGATTTCTCCCCGCGTAGTACAAGCAGTCGTACAAAGACGAAGGAATAAAATATTCTATGCTTAATTTGTACTCCATGCAGTAACCGCACCAAACACTATCCCCAATTCCTATTGCCTTCCTACCCAAAAGCATATCCAAACCATATACCTATGGGTAACAACTCTTATCCTCTTCTTATAATGATTCTCCAAAAACAATGAATTCAAAATTCCCCAATCTTGACCACAATATCAAAATGTTGGAATGATTTCAAACAGACAAGCGAGAAAATCTATCCTTTTCTTAAATCTCCCCCACAACCTTGACGTTGAGTTTCAAACACCTTCATTTGTAATTCTACACCCGGTGGCAGCGGCGCGCGAATATCAAGTCGGCTTGCCTGGAGTATCTCTCACGCTCGACATCCGTGCCGTGTGTAACCATGCACCGCATAAAATGCTCACTGCATCATTTACAATTTATGCCAGGTAGCTTGTAACCATAGCAACTAGTCATAACATTAGCATGTTGATTGGATGGAATCAGAAGATGCAACCTTGAATTTAGACGAATTTGTGAAATCTTATTTTTTTTCACCAATGTTCATGTGAGGCCCTGGTACAACATCCGAAATAACGATGTTTTATTTCTTGATGTCAATCAAAAGAAATGTCGCTACAAAACTCATGACATTGAGTTGATTTTTTTTACCAGAACTTATCTGGTTGATTTCGACTTGAAGGCATGTTAGGATCGTTTGCAACGATCCAAAGTAATCAACCAAATTATAATCAAGAAGTTTAGTGGATTAAAGATCTTTATATACTGGTACTAAACATCCCGTGAAATTATTCCGTCTGGCTTGCTGTCATTTAGAAATCAGGGGCGTAAATCCGAGGTGGGGGTGGGGGTATATACCCCCCACACTTTTTGACCGGGGGATGGGCTACTGAATCATCCCCTTCCCCCACTTTTTCGAGGTAAGAAACCCCAAAATGGTTAATTGGCAAACATGACAGTGTTTTCCCAAATGTTATTTGCATGTTGAGTTCTGACATTTGAAGAGATAATGTTCTTGACTTGACACTCTTATTATATGAGGCTGGCACTACATGGAAAGTCATGCATAATGCCCAGTGGATATTTTTCTCTATTAACTCGGAGACTATAATTCAACTGTGAGGCTTATATAAATATTTCATATTCTTGACCGCCACTGCGAAGGCAATTTGTATAGACTAACCAATTTGCCAGACACGATCAAAGCTTAATGAGGTCTTTGGAATTCCAGGCACATGTGCAATGTACATCGTAATTATCTCCCGTTCGGCGAAGCTTAAAAGCTATTACAATGACGCACCGGAGCGAGCCATATTCTGTCTCATTTGCACTTTGCCACTTGGATAATGGCACACTGGCACCGGGTTTGCGGTTATTAAAGGAGATGATTTATTCGTGTTGATCAAACAGTCGCCACTTTCATCACATTTTATTAAAATGCATATTCGCCCTGAACAAGGCTAGAAGACACTCCAGGTATGCAGGGTTGCAACACAGAAATAAAAACAAGAGCAGGTGCTCAGGAAAACCGAAGGTGAATTAACATTCCTCTTGAAACAGGACAGATCATATAGGTTGGAGGGAAACAAGCACCAGGCAAGGAATTCCAAAGAGATGCACGTGAAGACAGCTATTGGAATATCCTTAAGTTCTACATCTACGTACATCAACAGAACATGGATGAGAACAGGCAGACTAAGCGAGTTTCTCTTTCTGATTCAGAATCAGAACCAGGTTGGACAGACCAGTGGAGCAGTGACCATGAAATTATCTGTAAAACCAACAGAGGGTGGCAAGAGACCTATGGTGGGAAACTTGGCTTTAATGATAAACCCAGCTCTTCGCCCAGCTCTTTAGATAAGCTAAAATACGCTTCTGCACCCTGTCCAGTAAATATATGTGACATCATCAGGCAGAAGCTCCAGCCCAAGTGGCAGCAGTACCTTTACTCCATTAAGGGGATGAATAGTTGTCTTATACAGATACACGATAGCATCTGGAGGTAAATACTTCTGAGCTCGATAAAGACAGCCAACTCGCACACATGGAGACACTCTTTGTGATACCTGAGAAGTTCTCCAAACTAACTCGCGGGACCTTTCTGAAAGTGGGTATAGGAGTGGGGCTCAGTACATTTGCAGCAGGGGTTATGTGTGGACAAAGGCACAAAATCCAAAAGTGGGGTGGGGATCCCACTTCTGCCACCAATGCTTATCTTTGTCTTAATACACCCTTAATTCACTAGTAGTGACGGCCATGCTTATAGTAATTGACATACTGTTTTAATGGCATGGACATTTGGGAATAAGTGCATTTTATGCACTTATCCCCAATTTGAAGTAATTATCTTAAAAGGCTTACTTGGATTAAAGATTGTACTGCTGGTACCGTAAAACACCCCGTGAAATTATTCAGTTTGGCTTTCTGTTGTTTAGAGGAAATCAAGAAATGTCGGTGATTTCCAACGATAAAGTGTTATAGACGAAATCGTGTTCCGTGATCAAAAGGATGCCTATGTTTTTCACTATTTTCTAGAAATGTTTAATATCCACTGAGCAGACACTTGGATTTGCAACGTTCTTCCAGGATTTTGAGTGCTGAACAAAAGGCATGAACATTATGATCCTATACATGTATGCCTTTAATTTGACAACAGTCTTCGTAAAGTTGACAACATTTCCCGTTGCTTTTA